TATTTTAATTATTTTTATAAATTATAATGATTATATAAAAAACAATCATCCGACCTGTACTGACCTATGCCAGTGCAACCTGGAGCCTACGCAAAAGCCTGGCTGAAAAGATTACCAGTTTTGAAAGAAAAGTGTTGAGGCGTATCATGGGGCCATTTAAAGAGAATGGTACATGGTGTTTAAGAAAGAACAAAGAGATCTAAGATTTTTCCGACGATCTCAGAGTGTCTCATTTTGTGCGAATTCAGCGCTTAAAATGGCTGGGACACATTATCAGAATGGATGAAGGTAGAGCCGTGAGGAAATTATATTATGGAATCCCGGATGGAGTCAGACCACGTGGAAGACCGAAGGAAAGGTGGAAGAACTCCATCGCTGAGGACTTGATGATGGTGGGAGTATCCACCAGACATGCTGCTCACCGAAATGATTGGGAAAGGGCAGTTTCAGTCGCCTGTCGAGCCGATAAATAAAAATAAATAATAAATTATAAAAACACATCAATATTCCAACTTCCTGTACCCCGCAAAAAAATTATAAATAATAATTTTAGAAAACTAATAATATTTAACATAAATCACATGTTTTCAAGGAGATTAAATGAAATTTACTAACTACATGTAAACTTTTAAAATATTGTTAAATTTGAAAAAAGTATTTAAAATCCACCTAATTAAGGCAATGACATGGTTTAAAAAACTATTTCATTATACTTGTGTGAAAGAAGAAGTAAAATATAAAATCATTTCATGGATGTATAAAGCATATGTTTATAACCTTAAATATATTTACTGTGGTTTAGTAACCCTAGATATGATATTATATTTAAATAATTAGGTATCAATTGGCCGTTTATTCCAAAAAATCATTAAGTAACCTTTTAGAAAATTAAATTAGTGAATAGACTGATGAAATTTCCTTTTGTGATATTCCAACAGTATCCACTTAAAGTTAGTGTGACAACTTTTGACCTGTCAATGACAGAGAATGCGAATCTCTTAATTCCGTTTTAGTAAACTTTGCAATGGAAAATAACAGTTTAATAACTAATAGTCATACAATCCATAATCAATCAATGATATAATAAATAGGACTTTTGTTATTTTAATGGTATTTATGATTTGTTAGCTGTATTTTTTTAGCTTTAACTCAGTTAAAAATGCATAAAAAATTTTATAACAGCCCAACATGGCCAGAAAATAATTTCTATTCAAAGTTGAGCGGTAAGTGGAAGTTGGGTGTTGCGCGCACCAGATTTTAAAATACATTTATGAAAAAAAAAGTCTATCTAATTACCCGAATTAATGTGAGAAGTAATTTGGATAACCAATAATTTAATAACGTTGAAATAACTAAAATAAATAATAAAACTAACTAAAATAAACAATAAAAAAACATTAGTAATAAAATGACATTTATTTAATAATAAAACTTGGCCCGTGCGAAGTCTTCATCGTCTTGATAATTATTATAACTGCCAACAGCACGGAAAAATGTTAGTTAATTGTTGGTAGTTTACATTATAACAATCTATACTAGGACTAATCAAAAATTTTAATTTGAAGAACGAAGATTAAATAGAATAATTGAGTTTAAGTATTGAAGAAAATTTATGTAGTACATATCTGGACCTCAGAGGTAAATTTCACTATATCGACATGGTGATGTTTGAAAAAAGTTACATTAATGGATCATTTTAATAGTAGGATTGTACACATTGGCTATTATTATAAATAAAATTTGCTTTAACTACTTTACTGGTTAAAATATAATTTATTACACAGTGTGAAGATTTTTTGCTATATTTCAACTACTTTAATGAAAATTTGATTAAAATAAATAAATGTAACAATGCAGTTTACCTTAGAGGTCCAGAAGGTTCCATCCTTTTAACATTAAATAACTTATAGAATCATAATTGGGTACTTGCATAGAAAACAAAATTGCATAAATTTGAGCTAAGATAGAATTCAAGTGATAAAGAATGTATATAAGATTTATATAATAATTTTTAAATAATAATAAAAAAAACTAAATCTATCATGTGTGCTTTAAACCACATGATAGAAATGAAAACATCAACAAGACGAGATTAATAATATGAAATATAAATTATAAATAATAGTTCATTATAATGAGGATGAAATGCTGAACATTTCTCTCGCTTACAAGATGCAGGTCTGATTTTTAGCTTCTTAGATATTTCAATCCATATCTTCCATAAAACTCGTTATAATTTTGTTTTCGATACAATTTTTTCCTTTTCGCGTCTCTAACACAGCATCATATAAAGATACAATTTCGAATAATAGCCCATTACAGAGAGAATGAAATGTTGAACATTGCTCTTATCTACAGTATGCAGCTCCGATTTTTAGTTCCTGAGATATTTTAAACCATATCTACCATATACTCGTTATAATTTTGTTTTCGATACAATTTTTTCCTTTTAGCGTGTCTAACACGGCATCGCATGAAGATACAATTTTGAATAATAGTCCATTACAGAGGGAATAAAATGTTGAACAATTCCCTTCCTTACAGTATGCAGCTCCAATTTTTAGTTTCTGAGATGTTTTTGATACAATTTTTTCCTTTTAGTGTCTCTAACACGACATCGCATGAAGATACAATTTTGAATATTAGTCCATTACAGAGGGGACAAAATGTTGAACAATTCCCTTCCTTACAGTATGCAGCTCCGATTTATAGTTTTTAAGATATTTTAATCCATATGCATAAACACTTCAATTAGTTGATCTGACGGCGCAATCTAATTCACTCTCCAAAAAAAAAAAAAAAGAGTAAAATGTGCCTAAAGAAGTTTTCATTTAAAAAAAAGTTCATATTCATTAGCTAAAAAATTGAAATCATAATGCGTCTCAGAGGTGTGGCATATGTCCACTGCCATCAAAATGTCTCTCAGGTCTTATTTATAAACATGCATTTATAAAAGCTAATAAAATGTATTTTAAGCTATTTTTATTCAGAGACGACAAGGCGAGAAAAAATGGAAAGATATTTCTTGGGAGAAAGTTTTGAAGCTGAAAACACTATTCAAAGGTAAAAGGTATAAAATATCCAATGCTATGAGCTAGGCACTAGAACGCCATGATGTAGCATCTTTATTTTATTTTTTGATGTGGCATTGCTTCCACTCTCTTGACGTAGTTCCAACCCCCACCAATTTCCTTTAATGCTAATTATCTTTTGGAAATATGCATCAAAAAGTTTTGGGACTTTCTGCATTCTTATCGTGTTAACCAAGGCCCAGATTTTTATGCAGTAAAAACCTACAAAATACGCCATATAATATAATATGTAGAAAAAAAACAACATGAAAAATGCTGATCTTTAAATATGCTAAACTTACTAATTACTTGACTATTAATCGGTCAGTAATGTATTTAAATATAATTATGTACCTACAAGAAAGTTTTAAAATAAAAATGCAATTTTGGAGTGATTAAAAATCATAATTTAATTTTTTTTTTAATCTAAACTAAAGAATGAAAATAACTAAAGATATAAAACTAAAAAGGTTATTTTTTATTTATATAATAAAGGTGGAAAACATGAACCACATAAAAAAAAAAAAATTAAAATATCAAAATAATACCAAGTATATATATTAAAAAAAATGGATTTAATACATAATTAAATAACCATAGTAATAATATATCAAATATGGAAAAATATGTATAGTAAACGCATCAAAATTTTTTATGTTAATGAATAAAATTCTAGCATGAGTCTTTATTGAAACAATAAAATAATTAACAACTTGTGGAATAAATAACGTAAAATAGATAAAACATTTCAATTAGTCTGCATTGCTGACACACTTTGTTTTAGCATTAATTATCAGATGCATTTCTAAATTTGCTTCCGTGAAACCTAACCTTTTCTTGTTAAAAATATTTTTATAATTAGAAAATGATCTTTGAACATCAACAGGCGTAATAGGGGCAAATTTATATCCACTTAAAATTACTGGATTGAGGTCAATGTCATTGGTAACAGTTGAATCTGCGCAATTTAAAATTTTATTAATATCTTCCAGAATTGTGAGACCTGATTTTATTCAAGAAACTTCTTCCATTTTTGCATTTAAAATTTTCACCTGCTTGGTCTAGCACAACTGGTTTTTTATCGTTGTAAAAACTATTTCAAGTCTGTTGTAAGGTTCAATTCAAGATTTCAACTTTGATGAAAATTATGAAAATTTGGTATTTTGAATAAAACAGAAATATGATCTTTAGTAAAAAAACGTAGGATATAAACAGGAATAAAAATTTGAAATTTACATGAAACAAGAAGGGGAAATAAATTTCTGGCAATTGGTAAACATCTATAAAGAGAATCGTTGTAGTGTATAGCGGTATAGAATGTAGGTATAAAGTCTACAAATGTGGTAGATTTTGTGGTTTTGTTCATTGAATATAAACGTATTGTAATCTTGAATTGCATCTTCAATGTTGCACTATAATTTGTAGATATAAATATTCATTTACATAAATATATTTTGTTTATTTCATTAAATTAATCAAAATATGCATTTATCCTCAAATAAGCAAAATAAAATCTGGGTATTTGCATCACACTGTACTAATTCGCATAGATATCTGATCAGCAGTTAAAAAAAATTAAGCAAACAAAATAAGCAATTGCATAAAAATTCAGGCTCTGGTTAGATAACCTATCTACACAGACAAATAAAAATTTAAAATTCATACAAGTACCCAATGAAAACACTATCTGCCAACTTCCAAATATACAGAATAAATAACAAACGTATACCGATGTGATCGCAAATTTTATGAGTTTCATTATTTTGTTTAGATAACCTTTTATCAAGACCAAATATATACTAATAAAAATTGAATAAAATCTGTTCCACAGTCAAGTAATAGGGTATGACATTTTAAGGAATTACTAATATAAAAAAAAAATTTACATTTAACGCAACAAAATAAATTTAAATAGGATAAGACACCTACATGAACTGAGGAGGAGGAGAGCTATTCGAGTCCTGCCTCTGCTGCTGTGGGCTTCGCTCTCTGCGGCGTCGCTGCTTGCCGGTCCTCTCTCGGCTACGGCTTCTACTCCGACTGAAACAACCAGACGAAATAAAATTACATTTATATTGATTTAATGTTTTTCAGTCCACACATAATCTTGACTGATATTAACATACAATTTCTAATTTTTATAACACAGTAATTTTACCTATGTTGACTGAGGAATTAATAATTTATAATATTTATTTCTAATTAACAATGTTCTAGTGAGAATTCTCCCATTAGATTATTACTCTTAACATTATTACAGTTAACATCAGTTCTTAATGTCCAAACTCTGTGAGGTGATTTTAGACAATATTTCCATCAAAAAAGTTCATTTGAAGCAGCAGCCGATTCTAAACGGAAAAGGAGTTAAGAATAATTTTGTGTTTTTCTTAAGGTTATTACATTTTTCATTGAATAAGAAGGAATTTCTCAAAAACTGTTCAAAATAATTGAATTATAATTACACCATCAAGAAGTAGACATTTTTTTTTTAGAAAACAGTGATTTAATTTTACTAAGGTCACTTAATTAAATTTACTAAGATCACTGATTAAAGAGACTTTCAGAAGGGCTAATATGACCGATGTACAAAGTTATACAAACTCAGAGTAAAAATTAATTTAAATTTACTGAAAATTACATAAAATCTAAGTAACGGCAATGTCATGCCATTAACATTTAGAATCGACAGAACAATACATTATAAATTAACTTTTTGAATAAAACCTAAAATTTTATAATCCCATAAAAATATTGTATTAACCTAACTCCCACTCCAGATGATCAATGCCTTCCACATTTCACAGTCATTATATAGTTAACAATTATTTATATTAATTTTAATTATTAAATGGAATTCAATAAAATTGATACCAAGTAATTTCTATACTATTTTCTAAATTTTCTCCAAGTTTGGGCCAAATTGAAAATTTCCAGATCTAAAGTGGAAGTATTTTTTTTGGAGTAGTGGACAGAATTTTATAAAATCCATACATACTTGATTATCTATATCTAATCCCTGTAACCAATCCCTAACTTCCTCCAAATTTCAGCCAAATAGAACGGGCATTTTTAGAGATATAGACGTATCAAGGAAAATACGTTTGCGCATATATAAGAGAAAGTAGTGGACAGAATTAAATAAAATTGACACTACATTATTTTTTTTACCAACATCTACCTTTTATCCAATTTTGAGCCAATTCGAATGAGCTGTTTCTGAAATATTGTTATATCTAAAAAAATAAATTTGCACATGCGTAAGCAGTAGTGCTCGATGGAATTTGATAAAATTAATATGGGACCATCTAGGCACTATCCCTGAATATTTCATGAAAATTGGATGAACGATACTAGATGATATGCCCGTCACATCGATTTGACTACAGGCTGACCGACAGACACCGAGCCAAAATTGATCCTTGATGTCTGAAACGTAAAACACAAGTGGAAATTTTCGAATCTGAGCACATAATATTTTTTAACCTGTCGCACAAATACAATGCTTCCCTACCTTCGGTAGTGAAGAAGCAAAATTGTTAATGTTATTTTTAAAAAAATATTTTAACATTTGTTAATTTTTATTAATTTCAGTAATATTTTATCTAGTTTCAAACGTACATTTTTAATTATCTTCTTATTTTTCTTTTTTTATTTTCTTTTATTTTTTTTACATAAATTACATTTTTAATAATGATAGTGATATTGAATCTTTTAGAAAGTTTATTTTGCTATTTTAATTTTTAAAGAAAGTATTTCAACAGTTTCTAAAAATATTTCCACTTTTATTTATGGTTTAATAAACTTATTTCATATCTTAAATTAAAACTCATTTTATTCTTGACCCATTAGCATTAAAAATTAAAAAAATAATGTAAAACGATTTTTTAAATATATGCATTGAACAAATAAACAAAGCTCTGGCCTAATTTGAACCAATAACATTGAGCCTACAATAGTAGGAATTTTCAATGAGCAAGCATTCAAGGATATACTTGAGGTACGAAGATTTGTCACAGAGCGTGCCTCAACATTGAACACTACATTATTTAAAAAATATGTGGCATTGAAGCTACAAGATAGTTAGATGGTTAGCTGTGACGAACTTTTATAAGTGGTTTGTCTTTGGACAGTAAACAGTATTTTCTTCTTCTTTATCAGTACAGGTTATATTCCTGGAAAATGCATTAGAATAATTTTATCAGCAAGTGTTTTTGGAGAATTGTGAATTTACTTTACCTATATTGTATAGCATAGTGGTTTTACATTAATAATTTCAATAAAGAAGTGGGTTTATTGTAATTATTTATATTTTCCGGCATATAGTAAGAATTATAATTTTAAATAACAATAATTAATAATCAAACTTGTTAAAAACTAATGATTTATTGCTCATAATTATATAAACATTCTAGAATAGATATGAAAAATCAAATTATAAAAATACCTGGAATATCTTCGCTTTGGTGGAGGTGATCTGTTGACTTCTTGCCAACTTTTTACTGGACTAGGAGATCTTGACATTTCCCTTAAGCCGTCTTCTATATCCTAGAATAGAATAATAATAATAGTGAGTCAGTATTAAAAATAAACAGTGGTAACAATTACATAACAGTACACCTCATAGAATAAATAAAGTAATTCAATAATAGCTTATTTAATTGAAACTATAATTAAAATATGAATTATTGAAATTGTAATATTCAATAGAGTAAGATTAATTGAATACAAATGACTTTTTCAAGTAAAATATACAGTTATGTAAATATAAACACATTTAATTATGAACGTAGTTAAAAAAAAAAAGGAGCCAGAATCCCTATATCACAACGTGTTTGCTATAGCACTGTGAATATGGAAGAAAATATCATTCATAATCGGCATATTTTGTTGTATTATTTTAAAAAAGGTAAGCGTGCTGCAGAAGCTTGTAGAAAAATCTGCAGTGTTTATGGGGATGATGCCTTAACCGAACGCACCTGTCAAAATTGGTTTGCCAAATTCCATTCAGGAAATTTTGACATCAATGATCTGGTCGCCCACATGAAACGAGCAATGTTAAGGCCATTGTTGATCAAAATCCCACCCAATCAGTGCGAGAGATTGCTATGGCTATGGTCGCACACAAGCGTAGAAAACCATTTGCACAAGCTTCGCTATGTTTCCAGGCTTAACATTTGGGTCCCTCACATGATTTTGTTTTTTAATCACAAAAAAATGTTATAATTTCAATATGACTTTAGCTTTCTACAAGAAATTTAAGGCCACATAAGCTGCATGAAATCAACAGGTCTTCGTAAACAAACTACAAATGGAGATAAAAAAATAAAACCTATAAGGAGTATTTATTCCTTATGTAGGCATTAAATCATAAAACTATTCATACGGCTTTGAAGAGCAATAATTCAGCTTTCCAACGGATATAGTAACATCGAATATAGAGAACATCCTGAAGTGTGAATGATCGGAAGGGTGTTGTGTTCCACCAAGACAACGCTAGGCCTCACACCTCATTGGTCACTAGCAATAAATTCTTGAGCCTTGGATGGGACCTTTTGCCCTACCCTCCCTATTCACCAGACCTAGCTCCAAGTGACTAAAACTTATCCGGTCTCTGCAGAAACACTTGGATCAGTAAACAATAAACTCAAGACATTCTATGAACATGGCATTATGCAGTTTGTGAAAAGATGGGAAAAAATCATATTAAATAATGGTCAATATATTGTAGATTAAAATAAATTTGATGTCTATAATACATTGAGTTTTATTTCATAAAGCAGTACATTTTGGTGTATTGTGCATAAAATTCTAGGTATTCCCCCACCAAACTCTAGATACTCGCTATCAATTGTTGAACTAATTGTCTTCAAAGTGGTTCTATTCTGGTAAGTTGTATTGTTGATTTATTCGCAATAATGCATGTCCTTTTCGAATTTTGGGTCAATTTGACTCACCCTTACTGTAAATGTAAAATATTTCTATATTCAGCAGTTCAATATTATTTTATTTGTTTTAACAATTTTTAATCTCGCGTCACAATACCGCAAATTGTTATTTACCACTCCAGAAGAGGTTTTTAATGAAATTCGCCAAAGAAGAGGAATCTGATAATGAAGTCGAATGGATTTTTTGATGATTTGGACTCGGAGACAGAAGACGGGCCAATACCAAATGATGAAAATGTAAACGAATTATTTAATGTAAAGACAAAGAAAAAGTCCAGTGACTCTACAGACAGACCAGGTATAGACATTGTTTTACTATTGGGGAAAGATTGTGACATTATTTGGGCCAATCAGCCATTAAAATCAAAGTTTTCTAGGAACTCGTCTTCCAATATTGTTACTCATCTTCCTGGTCCTAAGCTGAAGCAAAAGGTGTATACCGCAGGTTTATATGTGGAGAGCATCAAATTTTTGTATGCACATATTGTTATGAAGGAGACTAAATTATGTGATATTTTATTATATATTTTGAAATTTAATATATTTTATTAGTGTTTCAGATTAATTTTTACTTTGTGTTGTACTTCAAGAATTTATTATTGTTCAGTTTTATGTTTTTTATTGTTTTCAGAAAATTACTTAAGTAATAAATATTACAAAATATATATTATGATGTTACTTATCCCTCAAACTGATAAAATAGCATAAAAATGAAAGAGAATTATTGCCGGGTCAGATTGACCCAGCGTTACTGTTTCACTCTCGAGTATTAACATAACAGGGTTAAGTTGCTCCAAAATCCTGCATAATTTATTTTCTACCACCATTAACTTTTTATAACTTGTTAATATACTGTAAATATTTTATATGAGGAGGTTCAAACGATAGTGATGTAAGTAAATTTTGCTTCTTTTTTCCCCCCAAAAAGTGAATATTTTGTAAACATACTCTGATGATATATTCATGTTATACATATATTATTAAAGTGTAATCAGTTTCTTGACAAAAAAACAAAATTTATTCACTCAACTGTCATTCTAACATCCTGCTATATCATTCTGACAAGAAAAAGTTCTACTTTAATATACATAATATTATTTTTCCTTTTGTTTTCCCATAGATATAAATATGAATAATTCTGCATATATTTTAGTCCTTAAAACATGAAGTTCTTAGTAATTTGGAAATTTAGTAGATTGAGTAACCTCCCATCAAAACCAAACTATTCAGATTATTGATGCTCTACTATACTATTCATAAAATAATGAAATACTCACTTTTTCTTTCTGTTTTCTAGCTGATATTTTTGCTCTGAAATATTCGTAGAGTCCAAGCTTTTCCCAACCATCGCTAAAAAATATAAATAAAGCTTAAAATATATATTTATACAAAGTCTTTATAAGATCATAGTACTCATACTTCATTTTGAGCAATTAATTAAAAAAAAAAAAAAATCAATAAAACTTTCATTATTGAAATTGTTTTTCTATTTTTCTATCTGTTTTAATTTTGTTTGGTTTTGCCACTTATTGAAATCACGAAAAATATCAGTATTGTTTAATATTAATTAGAAATAGTATTTTTATAAATTAAATCAACCAGATAACTAAATCATTAAGTATAAATATCATTATCTATTATTTTCTAAAAAATTTTTTTTCCATTGATTTTATTTTGACCAGATGTAATCTTTTAATTTTGTTCTATTTTGTTATTCTCAAGGGACTGTGTCCCAGAATAAAGTTATTTTCTATCTATCTAATTAATGTCTCTTTTTGAGTTTTTCTCTTTTATATTAAAAATTAAGAATTGAAAATGATTATTACCTGTCCCTAGGTTGATCGTGACCAGGAGGAGTATAAAAAGCCTTGACAGCCGCTAATAACCTCTCCGACGGAGGAGCTGGTGGAGGCAGTCTGATAGCATCTGGGTCGAGCGGTTTGTACTTGTAGTCTTCCAGCTGAGTAATTTAATTAATTAAAATAATTAATCAACTTAATTTTATAGTGTAAAGATAATTTACACCATTATTTTGGATTCATCATATTGTATATAAAAATTAAAATATCGCAAAATTTAAAAATGATTATATAAACATGAGAGCGGAAAATATTCAACTATGATGAAAGCACCAGTGATGGATAGGTTGGACTTTAAATATAAATAATAAGCTCCCTTGTTGATTTAAAGATTCCAGTTTTTTCTAGATTGAAGAATAATGCCCTCTATTAACAATGTATGAACAAAGTTTCAAATAGAAAATTCCAATAGTCCGGGAGAAGCCATGTAGTTTCCATTCTTGAACCGACGGCAGGGAATATTTCCTTAGGGTTGATTTTGGCCTTGTCACCTATCGCTGGTTCCATTCTTCTAATGTGCAGTGATCCTCACTCGGAGATTAGGCGGTAAATCCACCAAGCCATCTCTCTTCATCTCGTGCCGAAAGTAGTCTTCACGTAATTGAAGATCAATTGGAATACTTCCAGCTAAGAACTGTACTGCCTCATGAGACACTGTCTTGTACGCCCTATTGACTCTCAGCAGAGCCATACGCTGGATCGTCGAACTTTTCTTCTGTTGGCGTCATAGTAAAGTAAACAAAATTTTATCTCTGTATTCCTGATTAATACACAGCAGTACAGCTGTCATATAAGACCTACTGAAAGTCCCTTTTATCAATGACCTTCGTAAATTTAATCTATGTTTTCTCATAGAAAATTTTGTAAATAACCTGTTAATGTTTAATTGTAAATAATTTGTTTTGGCGGGAATTGGCGAATTTCCTTCCGCTTTTATATCGGGGAACTAGGTTATTTACAGTTGTGATTATTAAAACAAAACCCCGGCACTGGATATTGACTTTTTGAGGGTGTTTAACTTTTGTTGGGAATTCGGGAATTTAATACCTTTTGTGACAAGAAACAATAAAAATATATACATATAATGTGGGACTGAGTAAATACACTTTGAATGAATTGACTCACCTGGTTTCTTATTCTTCAATTGTGAGGCCTATAAGACAACTAAATAAAAGGATTATTCACTCCTGTATAATAAAACAATTTATTTTAACAACTGTAATAAATGAATATATTAAAGTCTTATAACTGTAGGCTTGATATTCTTAGTCTTCAGTGTAGTAGGCCTCTCTTTTCAGGTAACGTCGTTCCGTCTTAATGTCCCAGCCTCAAGTACCTTCTCAGCTGCTGCTACCTGACCGGACCTTTTTCCTTCTTCATCGATTTTCTATCGATACGAGACTTTTCAATGAACAATTTGTCTACTGCACAATTGAGTACAATTCACAGTGCAACCTCACATTCCTATATATTATATATTCCTTCTCATTCCCTCACCCAATGTCACATAAAGGAGTAAATACTAGGGGGATGTCTACTACAATTTTGCCTACTTTACGATGGTGTACTTAGAATTTAATTATCTTAAATAGTTTTTGAGCAATTCCTTCTTATTTAATAAAAAATGCGATCACCTTAAGGAAGACAAAATTGGTCTTAACTCGTTTTTCGTTCGGAATCAGCCGATGCATTAACTGAACTTTTTTGTTGGAAATTTTGTCTAGAATTTCGCTATTAAGAATTAAGACATCCTGTATAGAACTTTTAAGAAATATAAATAATACTTTACCTTGATAAGAGGAACCATGAGGCCAGCAGGCAGATCGAAATACGGAAGCGATGGAAGGAGATCTTCCGGTTGTATCTCTGGTTGGACAGGTGCAAACCCAGGCGGTGGCCTAGTAAGATCGGGCAACTCTATGGTGGCTAAAACAGACATTAAACTAAAAACTGTTCTTGATGCTAATGCACAGATGATAAACTAGAGGTATTCATGCAATCAGTGCTATGTATTATAAATCTCTTAAATTTACTAAAGTCGAAAAACTTATTTTATTCTATGATGATGTAGAGATGGTTGACCGTTGATATAATATGAGAAGGAGTTGATCGGGGGGTATGGTCAAATTAATACTAAATTAAACAAGTAGAATTATTTCATTTTTGCCGACGTTTCGACCCACTTTGCAGGTCTTCATCAGGGCGTAGGATGTAGCACTGCGGAGGCAGTTGAAACACTCACGGTCACAAGGCAGTTGACCGCACCCGCCGATCAACTCCTCATATTTTATTCTATATGTGCCTTTCAGTTGACAGAATGACTACCTCCAATTCAACATTTTTTATTATTAATTTTAGTGATATTTCTAGTGGGAAATTTTTTATCTTTACTCACAGTTATATATTTTAACACTGCAATCACTCATTCTGGAATTAACTTACTCGCTGTATATACAGATATAAATCAACCAGAAATATCACTAAAATGACTTTACTTAAAAATGTTGAAAGTTAAGTCATTCTGTCTACTGAAAGGCTGATATCACAAAACAAATGAGTGCATTCAAATAGACAAGTGAGTTATGAGTACTATTTCAATTTATTCTAGTATTTAGAATACATACTACATGTTTTTAAATAAATATGGACAAGCCAAAATATATGGTTAGGAGCAAAAATGGTGAAAATTTCGTTGTTTTAGATATTGAAGGAAATACATTTGAACACGTAGAGAAGTTTAGGTATTTATTGTCTACGATAACAAGACAAAACAGAACTGAAGAAGAAGTTAAGGCTAGGTTAAAAGGGGGAAATACTTGTTATTTTAAACTAGCGAAACTACATAACTCGCAGCTGTTGTCGACGAAACATGGCAGCTTACATTAAGGGATGAGCAACATCCTAATATTTTTGAAAATAAAGTATCGAGTAACATATTCTGACCAGAGCTTTTCATCTTTTGCTTACTTCTATTTGTAATAAGTGAAATTGAACATAAGAAAGAAATGTGGAAGAAATCCAGAAAATTTATGAAATAGAACAAAAATTTGTAAACCATAATTATGAAGAAATATTCATATCTCTAGATAGATATATGTCCGTATTTCTGGCCGATGTTTTAGCTGACTTCTGTACTCAATCCCTAATAAGAGAGGGAGTTACAAACATATTGATTTTAATTTTTACGGATAATCAAGCGATGATTGGTGCCCTGTTGATATAGCGATGATAGTAAGGCATTCTGCTCCAGTGATTAGTAGATGAGTGTAAAGGTAATTTTTACATTCTCGATAGCAGCAATAAGGTGATGATTGAACCTGGACAATCAGATATTCCAGGCAATGGGAAAGCTAACTGCCTTGCTAGGAAGGACTCCGTACAAGTGACGGCAGCACCAGAGCCCATCTGTAGGATTAGCCTTAGTTGTGACGAAACGCATATTATGGCAGCTGTTAGCAATAAAACTAAGCTCTATTGGGAACAGGCTAAGAAACAAACTCACTCTTAAGTAGTTTCTAGAAGAACTATCTCATAAGAGAACTGTATAACTTTATAGTGGCCCTTCACGTAGTTCACGTGCCCGCTACGAGAAGCTCACATCAGAAGATGATTTTATATTTTATTTTTTATATATATAACTTTTAAAATGTATATTGTTTTATTGTAAAACCTGTAATTTAAAAGTATGAAGGTATATACATCAATTAATCAAAAAATAAGAATAGAATACTCGGGTACGGTTCTCGTTACCCATCTTTCGCATGAAAGAATGATCCTTTTAGTCCTCAAGCTTGGATATGAGAAACCTTCCTATCAGTATATGATTTATATGCTCTGTATAGTTCTACATCAAATCACTATTTTCTATTATGATATTCCCATAACCTTAATCTTATTCTCTCTCTCTCTCTCTCCATACAAGTCTGGATGTTGATCCTTCCGTTAGTAATTCATCCTCCCTCAAAGTCAGTTTGAGGCTACAGTTCCTGTAGAGTATTAAGGTTGATACCTTACACCGCAGACCAAGAGTGATTCAGGTGCTGATCCACCTAATACTTTAGGTTATCCTGTCAACTTATCCCTTCATCCACTTAGCCATTATACCCCTAAATTGAGCTACGCTCTGTCAAGACCTTCTGGTAAATGCATTAACTTTACAATACCCCGACAACTACGACGGCAGCATTAGGTGTGTGACAGGACAGTATGTTGGTCACTGACGACTCAATAAGCACCTCTTTAACTTGCGCTTAATTGAGACCCCCACCGGCAGCTGCAGGCTGTGTAGCCTGAATCTGATGAAACTGCCTATCAGATTATATGCAGATGAGATAATTTGGTCTCATAAGAATTGTTAGATCCTGCTGGTCTTAACTAGTTAGCAAAGGCATCTGGCCTGTTTTAACAGAGTTTTAGGATGATGCACAATAGGCCCTGGTGCATCCTCTAGTCCGGTTTAAAAATACTCCCCATAATTATGGAAAATTCTCAGAAAATTTTGTTTGTAATACAATTATCTTATTATTTAATACTAATTAAATTTATCCAATTTCTAAAATTATTACGTAATGCTCTTACTTCATAATTACTAGTTTTCAGTTCTAAATTAAAAACACACAACTTTCACTTACCGCTCTACTTTGAATAGAAATTATTTTCTGGCAATGCTGGGCTATTATAAAATTTTTTGAAGTGCATTTTAAACGGAGCTAAAGCTTAAAGCTTACAGATAACAAGTAATTAAGAACATTACAATGACAAAATGTCTATTTAGTATATCGACGGTAGGCAATAAAAAATTAGTCACTCCATCTGCTTTTATAAACCACACAACTTTCTTTGCTTTTATAAACCACAGAATGACTAACTCTAATTTCAACATTTTTGAGTAATGTCATTTTAGTGATATTTTTAGTTGAAAAAGTTATCTATGCAGGCAGTGAGTAAGTTGATTCTGGAGGTGGTGATTGCAGAGTTGAAATATAGAACTGAGAATAAAGGTATAATATTTAGGTACTTATTTCTTATGAAAGATGTTCTGAGGTAAGATACTTTATTAAATATCTGTAGAAGAAAAGTTTTTATAGACTCAACAATTAAAAAAGTATATTTTAAATTTATACAAATTTTCGCCTCTTCAGGGGAAAAAACTAGAGATCATATCTTCCCTTCTAATTGTCTGATTTTAACGCATTTTTTTAGGAAATTCCATAAACTTGTAAAAAAATCATATAGAACATCCACAAAAAAGTGTATACTTTTTGAGTTATTCGAAATTTAATTTTAACATCCCTTGTAACTTTTTTTCCAGCTTCTTTTCGTTGGAGTATGTTACATAGATAAATTTAAAGGGTGTCGAGAAAATGACTTTAGCGAAGTTTCATTGAAATCGTTTAGGTGCTACAGTCTATAACAATGCACATTTTTCTGCAGTTTTATTTTTTCTCCTTTATTAACTTATCAAATTCTTTCAAAAGTTATATGTAGTATTTTTTCGTAACACTGAATAATGCGAAATGATTAACTTTTTAAAATAAACCATATTAAAGGTACTTTAGAGGAAGACATATATGAACATTGGGCATTTAAGCCATGTAAAGTGACATCAACGCAGATATGACCTAAATAATATTAAAGACCACTTAATTATGCAATTATACACCGAGTTTGATCAAAATCGTTAGAGCCGTTTTTGAGAAAATTGTAAAAATGTGTTTCAGCGTTCATATAAAGTGGCACTTCTGGTTAGCCGATTTTAACGAAAAAGTTACTGTCACATCCGGCTCATATACAAACCTTAAATACTTAATATCAGTTTCGTACTACTTTTCGTTTATGAGCTAAACTGTTAACACACACACACACACAGACCATTTTGCTATACTTGGTTATTTGAACTCAGGGGACCTCAAAACATGTATTTCCGTTGAAAACTGAGATTCGAAAATTTTCACGATCGCAATACTTACCCTTACTATATATTACATATATACGTAAGTCAAAGTAAAAATTAATGATTATAAGATAGTATATATTGCAGGTTTATTGCAAAAATGTCATTAACAGTTAAAGTTATATGAATACCCTTATAATCTAACTGACTTACGAGGAGGCGGTTGGAAAAGGAAGCCTGGGGGAGGTAGCGACATGTTGATCCCCAGATCAGGGTGGGTGTTCGGTGGTCCTGTCCCCGGAGGGAAGTGAGGCTCCAACGCTGGCTGGGTGCCAGGAGGTTCGGGGGCGGGCTGCCAAACGTCTGGCGGAGGCGGCGCGGGCTCGTTCCCGCTGCTCGCTACAATGCAATAAAACATGTTATTTATTATTATATATATGTTATATATTTAATATTATAACCATATTATGTATGTTAATAAATCAGAGTGAACAATATTTTTAATATTAGATAGATGTTAAATTATGATTAAAAATTGAAAAAACTTAGGTTATAATTGAAAAAAAAAACTCCAAAAAACACAGCCTTATGTCAGCCTTCATAATATTGGTACATTTCTAGAACTTTTTCAGCTAAATGATGTAGAGATGGTTGACCGTTGATATAATATGAGAAGGAGTTGATTGGGGGGTTCGGTCAAATTAATACTAAATTAAACAGGTAGAATTATTTAATTTTTGCCGACGTTTCGACCCACTTTGCAGGTCTTCAAGGCGTAGGATGTAGCACTGCGGGAGGCAGTTGAAAAGGGCCTTGTCAAGGCCTTCTGGTAACTGCATTAACTGTACAATACCCCGACAACTACGACGGCAACATCAGGAGTGAGACAGGACAGTATGTTGGTCACTGGCCACTCAATAAGCACCTCTTTAACTTGCGCACTCTTTGGCAGTTTTTCAACTGCCTCCCGCAGTGCTACATCTTACGCCCTAATGTAGACCTGCAAAGTGGGTCGAAACGTCGGCAAAAATTAAATAATTCTACTTGTTTAATTTAGTATTAATTTGACCGCACCCTCCCCAATCAACTCGTTCTCATTTTTCAGCTAAAGATGAATAATGTGTAAAAGTGAAAAATATCTTTGATTTCTTAGTGCGTACAACCTCAAATAAAAATATACTTTTCACAGTCAAACTAGTTTGTGGTAGAAAATGCGATAAGAATCTCACGTGAAAATTGAGTGGTGATTGATTCATAAAATCCTAGGATATGTTGATATATATTATTATCTTTGAATATAAATGACAATTTAAATACAGGTAACAATAACATAGTTAAATACTTATTACTAGGCCCTAATCTAGCCAGCTAGTCGACTTTTCTTAATCGATTTTAGTATAAAAATTTTATTAATCCATGTAGCTTATTTATACTTCATTTTAATTTCTTTTTACTTCAAATTATTTAAGGGAGGGGAAAAAGATATTCTCACCTTCTTCAACATTTTTATTGGGGAAGGAGGGGGGAGGGCGATCGCTCCCCTCACCTTCCCGAAGTGTACTTCTATGGCTGTAGGTATATATGGAACAAAGATGATGTAACATGCATTAATCGGTAGCACACTTACAAGTACATGTTAGGCTGTTAATGTATCCGATTTAGGCTTGTAAGTGAAGAACAACTGACAAGGCGAAATCATTTCTATTAGTTCTATTGGACAATATTCATTATGTCTACATAGATGTTTAATTACTCTGCCATTAAAGAAAAAAAATTCTGCTGCATCTTTAAAATGCTTTATAACCTACATATTTGAGCACTTGTTTGTGTTAATGGACTTTGTGTTTTTTTTTATTATTTTCTTAGTTAAAAAATGCAAATTTTTAATATAATTGACAATTAAAACACTAATAATGTCAAATAAATAAAATTAATGACTTCAATAGAGAATGATGATAGTTTACCCTGAGAGGGAGGGATCAAGTCGGGAGGCGGCGGCTGGCTGGCCTGAGCGAAGATAGGGGCAGCTTGTTGTGGTGGAAGAGGAGTTTGCTGTAATTGTTGTTGTTGCAGTTGCTGCTGCTGTTGTATTTGTTGCTGCTGTTTCTGCACAGCTTCCAACTGCTGCTTCTGCTGTTCCAAGGTCTAAATATAAAAAATGAAAAAAATAAATCACTTATACCTTTTCCTGACGAATTAATTTCACTTGTGTGACGAATGGAGTGCTGGCAAAGAAAAAAAAATATGAATGAACCGCAATAGAATTCATGTGAAAAAATAAAGTAATATAAGATTAACGTATTTTTAAATTTTTTTTTTTTTATTTCTTTATGACATTTACAACTGTATTACATAAATACATCAAGTAAATTTGGACATAATTGATATAATGACATGAATACACTTGCTGAGTAACTACCCAATGGTAGCACTCTAATGATATGACTACATTAGGAGATCACGGGGCCATCTTCTTTTCAGACGCCTCGGAGGGTTATCAGGAATTGAAGAGGAAGCAAGGTTAGAAACGAGAGGGTTGGGATGATTCTGAAGTTTATTATGGAAGGATAGGTATCTGGATTGGGCCAGATCTGAAACATAAGGAACATTAAGATCTTTATGGATAATTTTATTAGTGACAAAGTAAGGAGCATTGAGGATTTTACGAAGGATTTTGGATTGTAAGGATTGGATGCGAGAGGAATTCGATGGTTTAGTGGAGCCCCATAGCTCAACTCCGTAAGTCCAAATAGGTCTTATTATAGTCAAGTATATGAGTCTTTTGTAATTAATGGGAAGTTTAGAGCGTTTGTCTAGTAAGTGCTGAAGTAATCGGAAATGTCGAGCGGTTTCTTGTCGTTTCAGTCTAGTATGAGGATTCCAAGTTAGTCGTTTGTCCAGGTGGAGTCCTAGGTATCGGATTTGCTCAACAGGGATAAGTGGAGTATTGTTAAAGGAAACTGTAGGACAGGAAGTCGTTGGTTTACGACGAAGGGTAAAGGTAATTTGGTGGGATTTATTGGAGTTTATTTTAATTCTCCAGTTTTGACACCATTCTTCTAGATTTATGATGTGTGATTGAAGCATTTGGGATGCAATTGCTGGGTCATTGTTTACTGATAGGACACATGTGTCATCGGCATATGTGGTGATGACAGTGTTGGGATGGGTTGGGATGTCAGCTGTATAAACTGTATAGAGGATAGGACCTAGGATACTACCTTGAGGATTTTTAAATTTAAATTTTTTTTTCTTATTTAGCGAATAACTCGAAATAACAATATGTCAACGAGCTACGGTGATAATCCAAGTGTGACATGTGTACTCTTGGTGTTCCAATTTTATATTTTTATGATTAGTTTAATTGGATATAAATTTTCAATTTTTATTCCACTGTGAAGATTATCCATGGTATAACTAGAGACTGGATTTTCGTGCAGTAAATAAAAAACTCAAAATGTGTAAAATCGTGCAGTATAAATCCAAAATACGTAAAATTCTGTAATTAAGACCTAAAAACGTGTAAAATCGTCAATATTGTTTAATTTATAACATTAATACATCAAAATCATATCAGATCTTGAGTTAATCCAAAGATAAAAAAAAAAAATATTGAAATGTAACATTGAAAATGAAATTCCAGATTATAATCAACTATTATAATAACGATTATTATCAAATAATGCAGAGCATTGAAGGTTTGAAAGAATAAATGAAGGCAGGAATTATAGGTGCCTATGTATATATTATATAGATCAGACCAATTTTAGATAGATAACTTTTATTAAAAATAATGATGAAAACATTATTTTTTATTAGAGTTGAAGTTTCCAATATTACACACTCCCAAACGTTTTTGTTAAAATTTAAAGAATTTTGAATAAAAAATTGAAATAGACTGTAATGTTTGAGATTTTCAAGTGTTCAAAAATTAGTGTGAACATTCAATTCTTTGATAAGAATATTTTTTTCTTACTTGTTCCCCAATGAGCATCTATCACCTGATTGGTTCATAAAGTGTATAGAACTTTCTCATCAAATTCTTTTTCCTCACATTTCAAATCGGGGTATTTTTATATCCAGATTTTAATTTTTGACGGGAGACGAGATTTTACTTTCAGCAATATAATTTTTTTTTTTTATAAGAATGAAATTTCCAAAAATCAATTCAAAGGCCGAAGTGATACTGAAGAATTGAACGGTGAGTGAGGGTTCAAGCCAAAACAATAACTATAAATGCCTTACTAACAAAACAGCTTTTTATTATCCAATACTTTAGGCAAGTTCTATTCCAAGAATAGATCTCACTTGTTTTAACTTCTTTCTTTTGTAATGAATACGATTTTTGCTTCACAAAGAATTATTTACCTTTTTCATATTTTTTTATTTTGAATAAGGAATTTTATTTGAACAATATAGTAAAATAAAAAGTAATATAAATATTAACACACACACTTACACATGTGTATTTATAAATCATCTAATTTAGCACAAAAGTGCAAAAATAATGCAACTAAAATCAAAATTGTGCAATTTAAGCCAAAAATAGCAAAACATGCAATATAAAATTTAAATATGTTATTTTACAGGTTCTGAAACGGATAGATCTTCGGGTCCGGAGTTTTTACATGCAAGCGAATAAAAAGTGCAATAACATGGAAATCCGGTCTCTAGTTATAACAATACAAATTCCGAATTTTACTTATAAATACAGTAGACTCCAGTTTAACCGCCTCTCACTTAACTGGCTGTAGCGATAAAAGAAAAAAGAATGCTTAACAACCTTAACCGTTTGACTACGGACGGGATACATGCATGCAGAGATACTCCATTAGGAGTTGGGTCACTGATGAGGCTGGGATATATGCCTTCCCGCCTTCACCATTTGATTTGTGGCTTGGTCGGTGAATTCATTAGTCCCCTGTAGCTGACTCAATGCGGTCGTTCTTGATTCTGGTACTTCAATATTTTTGCTTAACTATAAACTTTTTTTATCATTTAAATAGTACAATCTTACACATTTTTTAAAATTATTTTAACATCTGAATTCTATTGCAGATCAAATTTATGCTATTTTTTTTCTAATAAATTATAAATCTCTCATTTAATTCAACCATGAATTAAAATCAGAAACTGATATTTCAATTAATATTATTTATATGTGAATAATCAATAATAAATTAAATAATATACCTGTATTTGCCTCATGGTGTGAGAAACAAAGGCGAGATGCTGCGATTGAAAATTCAAGAAAGCAGATTTAGTATCTGCTGTCAGTCGGTCAACGATTTCTCTATGATCAGCTGCTCTTTCAGACTTATATCGCGTCCAGGAGACGACCGGGTCATGGAGTTGGGAGACAATCTCATCAGAAAAATAATGGTTCTTCATTTCCCAAATGGTTAGCAACTAATGGAATTAGATAACAGATTTAACCAAATTCAAAATATTTTAATTTTGAATTTCAATACATAATTTTTAAATTCATTAATTTAAATAAAATTTACTTTATTTAATTTGGCTTGTTGCTCATCATTTACTCCGAGGGAAGCATTGCAGAACATCGGAACTACGACTTGCTCCAAAGCAATCTTGAATTCTTCTGTATGTTTTCTGACACTGCAAAAAGAATAAAGTCAGATTTATGCAATTATAAGCACCCAGTTTATTTCTATAAGATAAATTAATGGAGTAGATGAAAAAAAATGAAATCAAATTCAAGTTACTTATTCAATGCCAACACAAAGTCAACAAAATCTTAATTTTAAGAAAGTTAATTGACTGTTCTACATATCATAGGTGATAAATAGTCAGGACGTAGTTATTTATAAGGTTTTTTTCTTTCACTTACCTATATACGAAATATATAGTAAAGGACAGTATTGCGATCTTGAACATTTTCGAATATGAGTTTTGAATGGGAATATATGTTTTGAGGTCTCCTAAGTCCAAATAACCAAGTCCCACAAAAAAAGTGTGTGTGTGTGTGTGTGTGTGTGTGTGCGAGCATGCATGTGTGCGTGTGTCTGTATGTATGTACAAGTCTAGCTCAAAAACGAAAAGTCGTATAAAAGTGAAATTTCATATATAAGGTTAGTATATACCTTGTATGTTACAGCAACTTTTTCGTAAAAATTGGCTAAGTGGAAGTGCCACTTTATATCAATGGTGAAACACATTTTTACAATTTCCTCAAAAACGGCTCCAACGATTTTGATTAAATTCATTATATCAGTGTAAAATTACCCAGTTTTTAATATTATGTTGCTTTTATTCTCAATGATGTTCTCTAACCTTTTTTTTTTATTAATAGGCTTAAAGCACCACGACCTTTAATGGATCTATTGTGCACCATTATGCAGTTCGTTTTATTCTTGAAACGTTATTTTTGTCCCTTCTGCGTATCTTACTTAATAGGCTTGTTGGATTGAGTCACTCAATTTTTTTTATTTCAAACAATTAACCAGTTCACATTGATCTCTAATATAAAAAATAGTTAAATATAAAATTTGAAAGAAGTTGATAATTAACTAAAGAAGAAATATGAGATTATAACAGAGAAAAGTTGTAATGAAGGGAAAAAAGGGATACGAGCACGGTTGAGCTCATTCAAAGATTAGAACAGGCTTCCATACGTAACATAAGCATAATAAAATACGGACTCCGACAATATTATGTACACACACATATACGGTTTTCCAAAATGTTTTTGTTGGTATTATTTAATATTTAATTGTATAGATTACAGTGATATAAATATTAAAATTTGTATATATACGGATACTTAAATAAATAAAAATATCCACAATGAAATATAAATCAATACAGCATTTATAATTACTACTTTCACTTCCCCTTTATCTGAAAATACTTATTTCTGATAAGAAGAGTTGTGTGATGTACACACCAGATTTTTTTATTAGTGCCGACGTTTTAACCCAAACATGTGGTTCATCATCAGAGCTGAAAAATTGTTTAATACAATTTATGAGGTGTAATATTATAAGACAGATAATGGTTAATAACGAAAAAAATAGTGAATTATGATACATGAAATAGACAAATGAAATATGTAATAAGTTATACAAACAAAAAAAACAATATATATAATCAATTTATAAGAAAGTTAATATTTACTCTTACTAACCGTGTTTCGAACACTGAAGGTATTCAAGTACTGACACTTTGGTATACAAGTGGTAAGATCGGTAGAGGATTTACTTACCTACCAAAGGGTCAGTACTTCAATATCTTCAGTGCTCGAAACACGGTTAGTAAAAGTAAATATTACCTTTCTTATAAATTATTTTTTAGTTTGTTATTATATATTTTATTAACCATTATCTGTCTTATAATATTACACCTCTGATTACATTAAACAAATTTTCAGGGCTGATGATGACCCACATGTTTGGGTTGAAATGTCAGCACTAATAAAAAAAAAAAATCCTAAAAATGATTGCGTCCTGGCTATTTATCACCTTAAATCTTTATTTTAGTTTATTTGCCTTTTAGATACTTGGAATAGGAAAAAAATTTCAAAGCATATATCTATGGCTTACTTATAGTTTATAATTCATTCAAAGCTAAAATTACAATTACTTAATTTTAGATTATCATATCAGACACAATTGTTTTTCCATCTTTAACCTTTGTACTTGTCAATTTCGTGCGTTTATATTTATGCCAGTAATTCTATAAATTTCTGGTTTTGCTTTTTCATTTTAATATCATCAATTTAAGTTCACTGAAAAAACATTTTTTAATTGAAGTTGATAAAGTAAGGATCATATCTCATAATGGTATTTGGTCAATAATAATAATAAAAATAGTATAATAATTTTTTTATTGTTAGTTTTTTAAATTTTTTTATTATTCTCATTCTTATTATAATTGACTATATATCTTTACAAGATAAGGTTCTTACTTCGTCAACTTTAATTGAAGACTGTTTTTTTCAGTGAACTTGAATAGATAATTTTTGAAAGAAAAATAAAACATTGTAATATTTTTCGATAAAGAAATAGAAATTAGATAAACTACAATTGCATAAATATAAATTAGCGACATGGCCATTTTGATTCTAAAAACTAGTGTTTCTTTTCTAGAGGTCCCATTTACTTCTATAATACAACTGAAACCAGAATCACATCATTCGGTCTACCTTGGTGAATTGTACAGAAAAGAAATGGGAGGTCACACCATATTTTAATGGTGAAGGGATTGAATATAATCAGGAATTATAAAAAAATGAAATAGTTTTCATACAAACCAGTGATGGAGGATGTCGTTGACTAGGTAGATAATATGTAGTTTATGGTTGAACGTCTTGTCTGGTTCGAGGACCCTGGAAAAACAAATAATTTTCACTTCATTTTAAAATCTAATTTCAATTAAAGATGCTTTTTAAGTATTGTAAACTATCTTGTTTCATGATGACTTTAAAATAAAGTCTACAAAGGAAGAAGAAAAAAAAATGCAGAAAAAACTAAACAATGTTATCAATAAAACTCTGAGCACTTTCAAAATGAATTTGACATACTTATGAAGTAGATATCGGGCCAGCAGATCGTTGACAGACTTAGAAGTAGCTCTTTGAAGAATCCAAGCTTTCCCGTTAGATATAGAATCCTTAGTACATGTATCAGTGATCGGCTGCAAGATATTATCGAGATCTGTAAGGTTTATTCCCAGCTCATCAGCTTCCCTTATCAGCTTGTCACTCTCAGCCTTTCTTATCGCTTCTTCTACCTGACATCAAACGAAACCTAGGTTATGAAATGCACTTAAGCGAATAAACAAAATGTAAAACATCAGTATAAGAAACTTACTTGTGCTTCTTGCTGTTGAATGAGAACTAGGTGCTGGGCGTTGAGATTCTGCTGGGACTGGTGGGTCTGCTCTTGCAGGGCAGCTTGCTCTCTTGCGATGGACTCCATCGTTGGCTGAAGAGGAGCAGCCTGCACTAACCATTGTGAGAGCAAATTTACAGCTGCAGCACCTGCAATATAACCATGTCATTGAAATTATCTGAAAACCTAATAGGTACTTTAGAAAATAATCTCCCTCCACCGTTCACCATCCAAACCCAGTCCCTTCAGATCGGCTTTAATGCAATCTTCCCACCTTCGCTTCGGTCTACCTCTCGGACGTTTACCATTCAGTACAGCATATATCAAATTAAGGTAAGTAAATGTAAAAATGTATAACACAATCTCAAATAAATCTGAAGTTTAATAATACTAACTGACTGGCTGGAAATATTAAAGGGACAAATCAATCTCAGATCACCTCCTTTTAACAACATAATTTCTAAAACCATCTACCACTATATTGTATAATGAGTCTTAGATTTATTAAATTGGCTAAGATCATGCTCCTTCATCAGGTCTTTTGGTACTTGTGAGTTAGCCGGTCACCACGAACTGCTATCCGCCATTGTTTATAACCTCAACACTGATAATTCAACCTCAATGCAATTATCGTAACATGGAAAAATTTTTTAAGAGAAGTTTGTGCCCATGACATGTTATACAGGTCGAATAAAAAAATTGGAGGGCCTGGCAGTCATCAAAGTAGACGAAAGTCTATATGTACATATGCTGTTTAGGTGATTTTTTAATATTTCATCTATTTTTATTATTTCATTTATTTTGATATATATATGTCGCAATGTTTTCATAATGGTTTTTATATATATATTTATAATGTTTTGGTCTATTTTAATATGTATGTTGTAAAATAAAAGTATTTTTTTATTAATACATTTGTTTTTGTTCACAATTTCAATATCAATACAATACAACAAATATGAATATGAAGATATAATAATATGAATATAATACAATAAATATGAATACGAAGAGCTTATCAGTGTTAAGGTTATAAACATTGGCAGATAGCAGTCGGACGCTACCCGCTATTAAATAAATACCCTTTCAACTAGTATTTTCTAGTTAGAATAAAGAACTTAATTAAATTAAATTATATGGCTGCTTTCGACATCTGTTCAGTCAAAAGGAATAAATAAACCCCTAATGAGCCCTTTTTAGTTAAGGTCGCGGTCTTGCCAGATGGTTTTGCCACCTTTAGTTTTCATATCGAGGCAACTGACCAATTCTTGGATGAATTCCATTTAGAGTGTGATCATGAGATCTGGTGCCCAATCATCATATTGGAACACTAGAAAAGTAGTACCATAAACACAGGATAACATAATAACACAGGATGAGAGTTCTGTAGGAAGGTCTCCTGACCCCAGAGACCATCTAATAATAGAAAGGAAAATTATCTGTAACAGCCGAACTCAAGAACTCGATCCTGTAAGATAGGAGCACATTGCCTACCTCACAGATCTAACACTTAGATAGATAAGGAAAAGGAACATATTAAACATAAACAACTAAAGATAGCACCTCTTACTAGGTATACGTCTAACATAAATATTATGAAATTGAAACAATTAACTTACGAATAAACACACGTGATTTAAAAAATGTATAAATAAATAAAAAAATTAAAAAATCAAGATGGCAAATTTAAAAAGGTAGTGGTCTAAAGTTATTTAGAGGGAAAATCTTACCTTGAGTAGCTACATTATTCATAACAGTTTGAACGTTATTCTGTGAAGCTATTCCCTGCACTGCATTCATCAATAAAGCACTAATAGCAGATGCATTAGAATTTGTAGAAGAATTCAAAACTGGATTGGCGTTCATTGTAGTACTTCCAACATCTCTATTTTCTTTCACCTTCAGAACTTCAAAATTTTTTTTTTAATAATAATACTAAAAATACAGAAAAATAAAATAAAACAAAAATTCTTCAATACTAACTGGCTTGCTCAGTGGTAACTTTATATTGATAATAATTGAAATATTCTCCTCCGAAGAGAAAACCGAACTTGGGATTGCCTTTCTGCTTATTTTTTGTCATTTGCTCGAACTCGGGGCCATTGCGAGCAACAAACTGGGCAAGTTTGTCAATTATGTTCCTTAGTTCTATATCTTTAAGAGAAATGAATGTTAGAATTTTAAGTAATCACAGTATAACCTCACAAAACATACTAAATGTTTACCTTGTGGAGCTGCAGGAAGTTCCATGATAAAAATAATAAAATGTAGCTTTTCTCATAAATAAGTCTCAAATTAATATTGACATGAGCTAAGAAAGATTATAAACAGTTTGGCGCACTTAACAGACATAAACTTATTCGATACAAACAAACTTGAGACAAGCCGGCTATCTCCCAGAAGAGGTTCTGTTTTCTTTTTTCGAAATTATAACCTTTCTTATATACATGGCTAGAAAATATTACTTTCTACATTAAAAAAGCATTCCGATATTTTTTTTCAACCAATACAAATATAATATTTTAAGTTAGCGTTTTTAACGATTCCTCTATTTGCAAAGCATTTGTCAAAGAGGTAAGTAGACAAACAACCAAAGAAGCTCGAAAGTAAGATTCCGAAACTTCTTAATCAACCTATGAGTGGATGTCATAAAGGATCGAATGGAAATTTTCGGGAAAAAATTAATTATCGCTAAATATAAGAATTTAAAGAGATATATTTTAAATATTTAGTTTTAATATTTTCATAAATTCGCGAATTAGGTACAATTTGGATATCCTGGCTCTGCAAGAGGTTAGCTGGCTAGGGGAGGGCTCGATAAGAGAAGGAAAGTACACTATTTGGTACGGAGGAAGCGGGAATCATTGTTTATTTACTGGATTTCTAATTAGGAATAGATTGCTATCTGCTTTGAGGGACGTACAATTCTTTAGTGGTCAAATTTCGGAGGCTATATATCAGGGATGTTGGTTTAAAATCGCATTAATAAACACACATTGTCCGACCGAAGACAGTGATGATGAAATCAAATACAAATTTTACGATAAACTCGTATGGGTTTATGATGAATTACCGAGAAACTCCATGAAAATAATTGTAGGTGAGCAAACGCAAAGGTGGGGAAGGAAGAAGCTTATGTTCCGACGATTGGTAAAGAAAGTTAAAACGAATATAGTAATGATAATGGGATCCGTCTGATAAACTTTGCCATCTCGAAAAACCTGATAATTAAAAGTGCTATGTTTAAACATAAGGATATTCATATATATATCTGGACATCACCGGATATTCAAACACTAAATCAAATCGATCATGTCTTGATACAACATAGCTGGCAATTATAATTTAATTATTGTACGGTCTTATCGTGGAGCAGAATGTGGGTCGGATCATGAATTAGTAATCGTGAAACTTCGACTAAAACTTAATATAAAAAAGAGAAAAGAAAACCGTTTCGATTCCGAGAATTTTAATTTGGAAAAATTTATCAATTAGAACTCAATTCGAGCTGGATGTTAAGAATAGGTTTGAAGCTTTAGAACCTTCTGAGGAGGACCGCTAGGATATTGACAATTAATAGGACATAGGACAATTGACAATGTAATTATGGGCCGAGGTCAGGAATAATATTTGGTGCGGCCAACATAGGTCAGTTAATTTTATTTTATTTTTTTTTATGACCATATCATAATATGGGTGGTCAATTTTATTTTGTTTATGAATAACATACATTATTTATTTTATTTTTTTTATGTCCATATAATTATATGATAAACCTTAGGCATTAACATTATGCATCATTATATACATATCCGAGACGTCCCAGCGACCATGTTTTCGGCCACTTCCGGAGACTTAGTGCTGATTTTCTTTATCATGATTTTATTGAAATAAAAAATAATTTTATTCTGTGACCGAACTTCCCTTACAATTATAGGAGAGTAAAAAAATATGTACATTAGTCTGGCATGTTAATATCATACAGATATATACAAAAAATACTAAGGAAAATGTAAATATATATACTAAGGAAAATATAAATATATACAAAAAATACAAATACATACAAGAAATAATGAGAGAGAAAAAAATGAATAAATAAAAATAAAATGGTTCCTATCCATTGACTGCTGGCGATCAATGTAATTATATAACCCAAAAATTCTTACATGCTTGCGAAAGTTTGAATTTGTAGTATGTGGTGGAATAGGAGTTGTTTGAAGACGTTAATGGGCGTGGTTAGACTGCCGAAGGATTTGCTGAAGAAACTGATTTTATGGGAGGAAATATATAAATCTATAGATTGAGATCTGGTGTTGAGAGAGTGGATAGAAGAGGGTAAAGTAAAGAGTTCTAAGACGTAGGAAGGGTTTTTGGTTCTGAGGACTTGGAAAAGGAAAACACCAAGAAGGAATTGCCGTCGGGAAGTAGGATAAAGCCACTTCAACTCGGTGTATCAACAGGAAACATGAAAACGCCTGAAAATCCGAAAGATGAATCTTATGAAGCAATTTATAAGTTTGTTCAGTCTCGCCTCCAGTCCTGTGGACAACGCTCCATATACCAATAAACTGTAGTCGAAGTGGGAAAAAACAGGGGATGTTATAAGGAACTGTCTGTTTTTTTTTTGTTTTTTTTTGGAATGAAATCAGGGAATCATAGGAATTGTTTAAGGATAGTCATGGATTTACGAGTAATCTGGAAAATGTGGTTGTTCCAAGAGATGTTCGGATCAAAGATCACTCCGAGGTTTTTGACCATCGGAAAGAAATAGATGGGCCGGTTATTGAGGTAAAGTAGAGAAGAGAAAGAAAGGGAACTAATGAGGTGCATGGAGCCAATGAGGATAGTCTTAGTTTTATCTGCGTTCAGCTTCAGTTAATTTTTTTCCGTCCACCTGTGGATACAGTCAATATCCTGTTGTAGTTTTCGGGTAGCCCCAGACATCTCAGATGGTTGGAATGATAAGTAAATATGTAGACCGTCTGCATATAGGTGACAGTGAGAGTGACGAATGGAGTCAGGAAGGTCGCTAATGTAAATGGAGAAAAGAGTTGGAGAGAGTGAGCAGCCCTGAGGGACATCTCGTGACAATTGAAGGGACGAGAAAGGAGATTCAGGAATAACAACTGTCTGGGAGCGATGAGATGAAAAGGAGAGGAATCATTTCTGAATACTATTCGATATGAGCAGGCTTTGGAGTTTGGAAAGCAGGATATTTTTGAGAAGTCGAAAAGGACCAGGATAGAGATTTTCTGTTTGTCTATGGATGATTGGAAGTCTTGGGTAATGTTTAATAAGGCAGATTGGGTGGAGTATTGGGAACGAAAACCGAATTGTAGAGGGTTGAGAAGACTAATTGAAGAGGCTTTGCTCGAGAAAGTTATTCAACTGAGAGTGAACTAATCTTTCTAGAGGCTTGAATAAATTTGAAATGGGTCTGAAGTCGGAAGCTAATTTAGAAGCAAAAAATTTGTTCAACGGCCGGATAATGACTTTTTTCAGACTTAGGCTTTATTCAACCTTATAACTTTGCAGTTTTATGTAAATCGCTTATTTATTTATTTATTAAGTACTTCAGTTATATTTTCCAAACGAAGATAATGTAACTCTGCGTTTCGTAGCTCCCTGAGTTCCGCTTGCAACTTATATTTCTCTCAGGCTGACTATAATATAGGATATATTATTATATTATTAAGTCTACTAGCTGAAAAAATTGTATGTTAAGAGGAAGATGAAGAATCTTGTGGCTTTAATTTACTTAGGGTTGCCCGCAGGTCCTCTCACCTTTGCGCCTAATACACAAATGATATTTTCGCGTTGTCTTGGCGGATGCGATTTAAAGAGTTCCTCGTTGCGCTCGACAAGCAGGCCTGGTTTATATCACCTTTCTCAGGAGTCGATTGTTCTTTATATACATTAAATACTTCTTTACCTTAAAGGCATTCCGCAATGAAGCCATATCTTTAGTTTGAGACTCAAGCTTTGCAAAATAGTTTTCATGTAAGCTTTGAAATCTAAGACGCAAAATTATATCTTGTTGCATTTGCTTACCGATCTGATGGACAAGTTAGGTGCTGTAAACCAAATAGCCAACCGAAGTCAGCTTAAAAAAGGAAATGCGTACCAATGAGCTATGTGGGAAACCGTTTGTTCTGAGAGGAAACACTATAGAACAAGTGGAAAGCTCATCGGATATTGGTGCTTTAATGCCAAATTTCAGTCTTGGAAAGTATATCTAAAGTCCTTTTTTGTCAGAAACTGACAAACTGTACTGCATTTGAGGCAATAAGGGCCTAACTAAATAGGAGTACTGTTCTATACATCGTTAATAAGATAATTTCTCTCCTTTTTCACTGTTCCTATCTGGGTTGACCATTGAACAGAAATCTAGTTAAAAAGTCCTGTCACTTAAGAGGATGCACCTTGGAAGCCATATCAAAAAATCAAATGAGGTGCTTGTTTAACTATATCCTATATGGTAAAATAGAAAAAAACTTTACAAGACAAAACTACAGCTGTTTAATTCCAACATTTAATCAAAACTTTTTTTTGTCATTGAGACCTGGAAGGAGCATCAAAACCATCTTTCAACTCCTTCAAACTTTGGTATTATTTTGAAGCACAGGTGGATCTATGGGAGAGGGGCAGTGGAGGCTTTCTGGTTGAAGCCACCCCCCCCCCCTTCCAAAATGGTAAAATATAACCATGTTTTAAGGTAAGAAATATGAATTATCTCCTAAAGTATTATTGTTCTTGTAATTACATTTAATAGGACTTTAAAAATCACTTTAATACCATTTCGTATAGAAAGGTAGTATCTTTCTTTTTTTCCTAAGTACTTATCATTATATATATTTAAAAAAAAAAAAAGTTTTTGGGCTGAAGCCCCTCCCAAAATTAAATCCTATATCCGCTAGTGCTTTGAAGAATCATGGGAATATAATAACCACAGAAAAACTCAAATGAGGATAGATATTGAGTGGCTTCCTATTCGTCTTGAAAAAAAAGGAAATGAAATGGAAATTAAGACACACCTTAAAAAAGACAAAGGTCTCATAAATTTTATTTTGACATATTGTTTTTCCTTAGCCTCTTGTATGAAAGTAGAAATAGTATAACATAGTCAAGATATATCACTCTGCTGGTGGATATCTATTCTTGTTGTACTTTTTTTTCTTATCCTCCATTTTATTTTTCATCTATTACAATATAAGTAGATGCAATATATACATATATATCCTTGTTGCTTTATTCTTACATTAATTGTTAATAAAGAATATTTATATAAATATAATAATAATATTTCTTACCATAAGAAAGTACCTTAAGATGACAACAGTATTATTGAGAGACAAGATTTTTTTTTACAATAAACAAAATTCCTTAGTTTAGATAACGAACCCTATAGGTATGTGTATGAATAAATATTCAAACTAACCCAATATCAGAAAAATGGAAAGAAGATAATAAAAGTTAAGTAAATTTAATAAAGCCATAACAAACATTTTATTTTTCCTTGTCTGGATGGTTTATTTACAAATTATTCATCCATTTGATCACATGTTCCTAAAACTGTTTATTATTATTTTTTTTTTTTAATGATAAAGATTAATTATATTATATTTGTTCCTTGTGATTTTGAAATACTCCGAGCATTTGAATATTTTCTGATCAATAGTTGCTAATATTTAAGTATACAATTGTAATATCAACAAAAATTATTTATTGATTTCTCTTCCAAAAAAAATAAAATAAAAGGAGTTGATTTAACAAATACTTAATTTCAAACTTTAATATTAACAGTTTTTTATTATTTGATGATAAAATTGCATATTAAAAATTATAATCTGACAAATAAATTGGTGAATAGATGCAAATGATATTACATAACAGTATTAATTAAAATAAATAAAAAAAAATATAAAACAATCAATTTTTATTGATGTACTTGAAATCAGTATATTATATTTTTTTTCTATACTATTTTATTAATCTTTTTCAATACTATTACAATGTATGTTTTCCGATAATTATATAGGTCTAATAAATTTTTATAATTGATAGAATAAAATTTAGATTTATAAGCAAATAAAATAATGTCTGGAGAGAGCTATGAATGTGCTCCTTTAGAATAAGTGCTTATATATTGACTCACATCATTGAGTTTTAAAATTTTATTTTTAAACTGAAGACAAATAGCTTTCAGAGAAAAAAAAAAAAAATGATTGGGGAGATATTACAATAAGAAAATTTGAATTGATTCCTTATATGGTTTACATTAGTATGGAAATAACTGGCACTGCTTCCTTGAAAAGTTTTGACAGCCACTAATAAACCTAGATCTAAGATAAGAAAATTTTAAAACAAATATTTCCATAAAACAATAAAGGATGTTGCTGAACGAAAAGTATGTTTTAAGGTTAAGAGAAACAATATAACTTTAAATCCATCCTCCCAACCTTAAATGAATTTTTTTACTAGTTTTATAAATTTCAGAGATCCTAGTTTATTCATTTCATAAACTAAATGTTACTTCATTATTCTTTCCTCAAATAAGAATACAAAATTATACTTATTTTTAACTTTAAAAGTGAAATATTTATTTTGAAAATTATAGAATCAGTGACATTCGATTAGATTAAATTCATATTTCCATCACCTTGAAAATAAATTACCATTATAACCACTTATGTCACCTTGTAAGTAAAAAAAATAGGATGAAATAATACAATATACAACAAATATAAGAAAACAATATCTTTTATTAGTATTATTTAATACAAACAGTACTGGCAAGTCCTTTCAACATGACAAAACAATTCAAACTTAAATAAAACAATAAGTGTTATTTAAAAAAAATATATAACACATGGCACTTCTGACGCACAAGACTAATATTAAAAGTTCTTACATGATGTCATGGGAAATCTAGGCACTTTGTTGTAAAACATGGTACCTCTTACAATGTTAAAAAGCTTACTATTTATGTTTTACTTTCAACCAGCAGCCACTTACTATCTTGTAATAAAACATTACTTTTAAAAACAAATTTCTTACAGATTCTATTAATAACTAATGAAATACGTTTGAGGAATAAGATTATTGCACATAACTTCAATTCATGTTTCACAACCAAGTGCGTACAAGAAAAAAAAAAAAAAAAATTATATCATTCATAAAATACAAGAAATCAACCAGTAGATTCACAGTTATCACATAACTTTTTACATTATTTTGGCTCCTAAATTAACATTTCTGACTAATTAAGTGAATTATCTACTCACCTCTGATAGCCTCATTTCATTCATGCCATATTTGTTCGCAACAATAACATTTTCAACTTTTAACATAAACGAAAAGATTTTATATAAATATAGACAAAAAGATTAAATGTTATGCAGTAATTATTAATTCAAAAAATAAGAGTCGTTTTTTAAGTATCCTCATAATTACCAAGGATTTAAAATGTTTAACTATTCAAACAATACTATGTAAGTATAAACAATTAACAATAACTGTATAAAATTAGTTAATATATACAAAATATAGCTTTTATAGCAGATTAAAAAAATAAATAAATTTAGAGAAATATATACGTATTAATAATAGAAATAAAAATTGAACAATACAGCTGATGGGAACTGTAACATTGAAAACAATTTTTATATTTTAATATTAAAATATACCTTCAGGTTAAATATACACGAATCCTTAACAGTCCCTATTTAACTGTAATGTGCAATAATGAGCCATATTTAGGAACTTGTTAATTTATTAATAATTTGCTTCACTTAGAACCGATCTTTCAAGTTCAAATGAATAATTATACGTATCAGAGTTTATTCTATTTGAAACTCCATCAAGTTGGTTCTTAATCGATTTCAATTGGTACTCATTAACAGGCAAAGTATTAGAATCGAGGAATGTAATTTTGAATGGTATGGAATCCAGAGGATTGACAGGTTTATCAACAGGAGCTGCTGAAGAAGTAGGTTGAACATAGGGAGGACTTTGGTATTGCTGACTGTAGTGTGGTTGTGGAGGACCATATCCTGCATGAGTGGGTGGGTATGGTGCTTGAGGATAGCCACGAGATGAACCTAACGTCGGATAAAGTGGGTATGGTGGTCTTGATGGTTCTTGTGAAGAAGACACCACGTTGAAATCACCTTCTACCACGTTAGACACATAAACTTCAGGCTTGGGAGTTTTCTTAATAGAACCGAAAAGCCACTCCATAACTTGTAAAAATGAATAAATCTGTCCCCTAACTGACTAATGTGCGTGTCACAACAAATGTTAAGAACCCTACAAAAGATTAGATAACAACTGTTGACAGTTGAAGGTTATAAATTTCATACAATGAGCTCGAAACAATGCAACCACAAGATCAACTTCCTAAACTTATGAGTCAATTTTTCAGTTTTTGAGGATTGATTAAAATAGTCTAATCTTAGACACACCTTGTTAAAAATTCTATTTTAAAATTCCAATTTCATTATTTGGCATAGTTAGGGCAAGTTCCTAAACTCAGTGCAAGACATCGAAATCCATCAGGCTATAATTAAACTCATCAATAGATCCTTAAATGGCACTCAACGCGTTCCTATATTCATCGATTAAATCACCGATCAACGGTTCCATCGGTGTATTACTGTACAAATATCAATCTACTTTGATTAAGTTGAACAGATATTAACATATATAAAGCGAGACACCATTGTCCGGGGGGAGAGGGGGAGGAGAGGAAGATGTTGGTCCAAATTTGTTGTTACAATAATTAATTTTAAATAATTATGATCTGATACATATATGAAATAAAATGAAAATATATTTTATTATTATGGTACTGTTGTCCCTTTAGAACAAATTATAAGTGCTACATTCATGTGTAAGTGGTCATAAATAGAGCAGATGTTTACAATATGGTTATTTAAAAGTAAAAATACATACAAAGCGTAAATATACATAAATAATAATCGTACATAATGCAAACAGAGAAAACTAAAATAACAGAAATATTTTATGGGGGTACTTAGATAGCTCTTTCAGGTATATTTCGTGATAAGGCGGATTGAGAAAGGAGTAGGTGTTTAAAGAGGAGGGGTTTGAAAGAGGAAACTGATTGAGCGTGTCGAATGTCAGCAGGGATGGAATTCCAGAGTGAGGCGGCTTGGATAGCAAATGATTTGTCATACGCAGCAGTTCGGTGAGGAGGTGGATAGAGGTCGGAAGTGCCAGATCTAGTAGGACGGGATTGGATAGAGTGTTTAAATTGTATGCTATGGAAAATATATAGGAGGGTCGATGAGTTCTAATGATCTGGTATAGGAAGGTAGCTAGGAAGTACTGACGGCGATAGGATGGATAGAGCCACTTCAACTCGGTGTAATACTGGGTAATATGCGTATCTCTTGAGATTCCATAAACAAAACGTAATACGCAATTTATTAGGCCTCGAGATCTCCTGAGAGTCCACCGTACACCATACAGCCATAGTCGAAGTGGGGGAAAACAAGAGAGGAAACTAGGATTTGACGGAACTTATATGGAAGGAGATAATTTAGGCGATTGAACTGTTTTAGTGTGGAGATGTGTGGTTTCCAGGAGAGGGTTTGATCAAAAGTGACATCTAAGTTTTTAATGGTAGTATGGAATAAGATAGGTGAGTTGTTCAGGAGAAGATTGAGAGATGTTGGGAAGGATTTGAGGAGTGCGGGGAATCCAATCCAATCATCCAATGATTTATGACTTTAGCCCCGTATGTCAGAAACGGATAGAGGTTATAATAAAAGAAAGAAGATTTATAACTTTAATAACACACTTTTTAAGACTTAGATGTTTTGTGGCAGCAGTTAGTACACAATCAAATAGATCTTTATCAAAATACTAAAAACTTATTGAAGGTGACAACATTTCGGTGATCCAAGTAGTAAATGAAGCCCAAGATTTAACCTTTCCATGATCAATATATTTGTTCAATAATGATAACTCGTTAAAAATATTATTTTCGGATTATTTATCAAGTAGAAACAATGGTGGTTGAATTCTAACAACTGATCAGCAATGCTATCTCAACAATTATTCGATATTATTAAAGTTTAACATTATAAAATTAAAAAAATATTCTGGAAAAATAGTCACATAGTCGCCGAAATCCGTATATTCTCTTCCCGTTCCTTAGCTTGTACATTCTTTCTAAAAGTCATGACGTTTTTAAAACTTCGCGGGACGCGGGACAAATGGTTGAAAATTGAGATTGTCCTATCAAAAGCGGGACGCCTGGTCACTTTAACTTTGGTGGGTTTCACAAGATGTCAGGAGACCATAGATGGAATACCGAGAATGTCCGAAAGTAACTGAAACACTTTATAAGAAACTTCATCTGAAAAGAAAGGACAGGTCGTGGGCTAGTTTATCTTACTAGTGAGCATAAGTCGAAAACAGCATACATTTAAAGCTGATTAAAGCCCCGATTTTAAATACAAATAATCAGTAAGGAGTTTGATGAAGTTGTAAACCGCGATCTAAATAAAGGAGCTGTGAACACGACAATATTCATATTCAATATCCATATTTACTTATGTTTTGAAATTCAACAATAGGTAAAGATTTCGCTGTGTATTTTTTGTTTTTCATGTGCTTTGTAACCTTCCAAAAATATCGTTCAGCTGAAATCCAGCAGACGGTTCCTAAACCCTGCGTATATCGCTCGCTGTTCATCACTGCTGGAATCAATTGGTTGATGAATTCCTTCAGTGAATTTATTGCTAAGTTTAGGAACTTGCTGGTTCGCTTTGAGATATTACACAATCTTCTCCCTGAGGATTTAATTTACAGTTTAATCTATTTTTAAAATATAATAAGTAAAAATATATAAAATGAATAGGTAACTATCTAACATTACGTATTATTTTGCATATATATGGGCTCAAGGAGATTTTAAAGCTTGTTCTGACTTAATAAAAAGAGGAAAATAAAAAAACCCATGATGGGAACTCTGTTAGTAGTAGTCCCTAAATATCTCTCATGGGTTAAAAATCAAACCTGTTTGTTTTTACTGGTCACAAAGAAGACAGCAACAGGATCTTTACATCATTTTCAATTACTATTACAATAATTAATTTGGGAATGATAGAACATAAATAAAATTTATGTTCAACTATTCTTCTCTTTATTATCCACGACAGTGAACCATTTACCAATTATAAATACAATTTGTTATTTATATTAAAATAATTCAAAGTGGTTTTGGATAAGAATTACTGTATTTATGGAAGTTTGATCGGATTTGAACAAATTAAAATTTTCAATTAATAATAATTAGGTAAACTGAGTCTCCCTCACTTATTCCTTATTTTATTAAACTATTTGCTTCCAATATTTTTCAATTTTAAAATTTCCCAATAATTCATTATCTTCATGGTCTACTATAATTTCATATATAAATATATTTTGATGATACCAGTCAAATACTAGGGGATCCAGGATTTAATTTTGGGGGGCTTCAGCCAGAAAGATTTTTTTTCCATATGCATATAACGATAATTAATTTGAAAAAAAAGAAAGAAATTAATTACATATATGAAATGGTGTTTAAGTGGTTCTTGAAGTCCTATCAAATATAATTACACGAACATGAATACTTTAAGAGATAGTTTTTAATATTTTTTTCTGTAAAACATAGTTATATTTTACCATTTTGGGGAGGGCTTCATCCCGAAAGCCCCCCTCCCTACCGTAGATCCGCCTGTGCAGTCAAATACTAAAATTTCTATATCGAGGCAGTTCAGATAAGCAAAGCTCCCAATCGATCTCTACAACACACCTAGTCAGCAATCTGTTTTTTAATAGAATAGAATAGAAAATCATCTTTATTCTGGGACTAGGTCCCTTGTGAATATATTTTTACTTAATATATTCATGTCTTTGGTTAAAGAATGTATGATTATAATTAATGAAAGTCTTGAAAGCTTCTTCATTAACCTCTCACACATTCTAATGTAATCCTCACACATGTTAAAGATGATATTACACACAAGACATAAAAAAACATAGTGAAAGCCAATACTGTCCTCATATGAAAGAATATATTCAGGACACTTCGCTGGTCGACATAAATGGTCTTGAGAGCATCTTTACTTATAAGTTTTTGAGAAAATTAAGCAAATACAGGGCGAGCCGAGAGGAACAGGATAAACTTGAGGAGTGGGTTGATCCCAGGAAAAAAAAAAAAAAAAAAAACAACTGCTCTTATTTTATTTTATTCCCTAATTGCAAATAAACAATATTTTATAGATTAATTACCATTTGGGTTATTGAAATCTTATTTATTTTCAATTTCAACTGAAACTTATTTCAATAACTTCTAAATATTTTCAGAGGGTGATAGTCGCCCTCCTTATTGTATCATATCTTCCTTTAATGATGACAGCAGCATTTTTAATAATTTGAATTATAATGAATCCCGAATGTCACCTTTTACTTTGTACACTTCATATTTGAACCACTCTCATGAACAATAAAATCCAGTACTATGAGGTCTGAATTTCTTGAAGGTCAACTAATTGCTATCCCCCCACATAAAAATTTTGAGGGGGCTAGAATATCGTTTTGCTTCTCCCCAATAATTTGAAGTAAAAAAAAAAATTAAATTCAATAATAAATAAGCTACATGAATGAATAAAATATGTAAATTAAAGTCGACTAGTTGGCTAGGGCTTAGTAGTAGGTATGTAACTATTTTATTGATAATGAAATGACACTTTAATTTAAATTGGAATTTGTATTCAAAGATAATAATATATATCAACATATATTAGGGCTTTATGATTCAATTACCCATCAATTTTCATGTGATATTCTTATAAATTTTCTGAGACATACTAATTCGTCGCACTGAGAAAAACATATTTTTATTTGACATTGTACACACTAAGAAATCAAAGATATTTTTCATAATATAAAGTAAAGGCTGTATTTATTTCACCATGTTTATTTCCTTTTTTATATATCAGCTGTGTCGCCATTTAATTTAATAATACTCCTTATGTACAGTCCTATAGACTATAATCCAATTATGGACTGTTAATTTAAATTAAATGGCAACATAGTCGATGTAAAAAAAAATAAAATAAATACAGTATTTACTTTATATTATTAAACATAATTTACCCTAAAACAAAAAACATATATGAAGATATTTTTCACTTTTTTACATTATTCATTTTTAGGTGAAAAAGTTTTAGAAATATACCAATATTATGAAGGCTGTCTCCCCTACCCCCAGTATATAACATAAACAAATACGTTATATATTCAATTATATTTTTTAAAATATATTTTCAATTGTATATAAGTAAAAAAAAAAAAAAAAAATTATATATATATAAATCCTAGCAAAAATACTAACATATAAACAAATTAGTTTTAAACATTCAATATTATAGTAGTTTGCTTCACAATAATTATGTTGAATTTTTACACATAATAAAAACTCCCGCCATTTTTGTTTTGTTTTTTTGGTCCATCACTTCCCTCTCTCCCCCCAGTCAAAATCAAAAATCTATGGTCTATGGTTGTCTCCTGTGACGTGATTCTCTAAAATGAAAGACCCAATTATAAAACCATCAACAATATTACACCACACTTAAAACTTTTTTACTTTCACTTACCTATATATAAAATATATAGAAACGGAAAGTATCACAAACATGAAAATTTTCAAATCTGGGTTTTTAACGAAAATATATGTTTTGAGGTCCTCTGAGCTTAATATAATAAGGACTCCAACAATATTATGTAAATATACATATGTGACTTTCATAGATGCTATTGTTGGTATTATTTAATATTTAAATTGTATTGATTACATGGGTGGTAAATATTCAGGACGCAGTCTTTTTTAAAATTTTTTTTTATTTTTGCCAACGTTTCAACCCAAACATGTGGGTCATCTTCAAGGCGTGGTTTGAGCACTGAGGTTGTTCATGTACTCAATTACTCTATTGATTACAGCGATATAAATATTAAAATCTGTATATATATATATGTGTACTTATAAAAATAAAAATACCCACAATGCAGTATAAATAGTGTTTATAAATTTTACTTTCACTTTTACTTTGTCTGAAAATACTTATTTCTGATAAGAAGAGATGGTAAGTGAAAGTTGTGTGATGCAGACACTGCACCAGATTTTTTACTATTTATTATTGTATGAATATAATGTTTATTTGTAATTAGCCTATAAAATTTAAACAAATGAAAATCGGATATGGACAAGATTTTTTTTATTATTTTCCTGTGTTCAACAAACTCCTGTAATTTGGCCATTTCTTACTGATTCACACTGTACAAACTATTATACACAATTAAAATAGGTGGAATGGGAAAACAAATAAAATAAGATTTATAAAAAATAACACAGTTTATTTCAAGTGATAAGTATTTCTGTTGTGTTTGTTGCAACTGTTTCCTAAGTTGAATTTCAGTGTTAAATGGTATATCCTTTCTATAGTTTAAAAGACACAAAAACAGTCTCAAAATATTAAGTTGAAGATAATACATTACGAAACAACGATATACTTAGCATATTTGCAAAAAACATTTATTCTACATTAACTTTTATCTAATACATATATCAGTTTAATCCAATTCGAAGATAAAACCTGAAGAATAGATCTTTATCGATATAATTTTATTAAAAGTTTTGACTAATTACTGTAATTGAGAAGATAGGTATAGTAGTCGGTATTACCACTAATAGATGCCATTGGAATCAGTCAAAGGTACTGTCGATCACACTGTAAGCGTTTCATGCCTCATTTGTCTGATGATATGAATGGACCATGTTTTAACAAATATTTTTTTTGGAACATATTAAGTTGAGATAATATATCATACCAGTTGAGTTACAATTTATATTATTATAATTTGTGTATTGGTAAAAATTAAAAATTTTAATTTTCAAGTTTATGGCAAAAATACATGTAAAAAAAAATTACTTGTAATCCATTTGCTGAAGTTATATTTCCTAAAAGTGAATTCTATCTAATGAAGGGTAACATAGAAGAATGGATCAAACTAAAACAACAGAATAAAATAAGACATTAAATACTTATAAAATATTCAATTTTGTAAAAATCTTAAAACATTTATAAATTAATTAATGATTGCATTTGGCACCAATTCTTTTTTTGCAATTAATTTAGAATGTTTTCTCTAACAAATCAAATAGGCATTAATTGTTGAAGCCTATATTTTATATTTTAGAAATTCTTCAAATAAAGGTCCATTCATAATTTACAATATACACATTTATAAAACTTAAATAAATAAGATTTATCTATTAAAACAAAAATATACATAAAATAAGTACTGTTAATAGTTGTGCAATTAAAAAAACACATCCAATTTCAAGTGCATGTGGCTACTAATATATTTAAATTACCTGCTTAAAAAACAATACCCAAAATTCATAATGAGTAAATTCAGGAACAAAGAAAAACCACAATAGATTATATAGCCATAAGTAAGCAAAATATTAAAATAAAAACAATTTGTGTAAAATTTATAATAAAAAAAAAAATTAGGCCTTTCAGAATAATAGTTAAGATTCTATGTTTAATTTTATATTAAAAGAAAATCTAAGTACCATTTTTTTTTTTTATGAACAAGTGTCGTTCGTCAATATACAAAATAACAGTCAATGAGCTGTTTAATTAAAACAACATAACTAAACAAATCTATAAATTAGTAATAAAATGCTATTGCTACCTAATATCAATAAAATCTTTTAATAATTCATAATCAGCTCAGAGTTATAACTAAATTAAATCAACGTAGCATAAACGCTTACGAACACAGCTGATTACAAATGATTGCACAGTCTTCCTAATGTTAAAACAGAATTTACATGCTCAATCCAATTTTTCTTCATAAATACATTTTAATAATGTGACTGTATATATTTCTCATATATATACTTAAATAACATAAACTCATATAACCTACAAATCTGTGCATTTATATTACAAATCCAATTTTAATTATATGCCTATAAATAGTATATAATACATTTTAAATAACGCACAAATGCGTTTATATAATATTTTATTTTCTAACAATATGAACAACACTCAACAAGGCCTGTTCTCTGAGCAACTCTAAATTCTTTCTTTAAATATAATTTTCATATAAATATATATTTACAGGGTACGATAATAAACTCATATTTACACAATAAAAGCACCAATATAAAATATTAAATATAGTAACTAATTCGATAAAACAATTGTTATTAATACAACAAATATTGCCAAAAAAAAAGAAAAGATTATTTTAAAAATAAATACAGCAGTCAATAAGGAGTGCATAATAAGTAGCCAATTTAAGTACCGGTTATCTTTTAAACAATTTGTGACACTTATTAAAAAGCTTTTACGATTAACGACGGGGTAGCAAATTCGATGTAGTAAATAAGTGATATTAAATACTGTTATGGATAATAAACATATAGGCCTTCTTTAATTTAATAAAGTTGGTAATTATCCATAACCAAAATGTTTCTTCCTCATTTTGAACGAGGCAAGGTACGAAGGAGAAAAATCATCCTACGAAGGAAGGTTAATTATCATGTCAGGAAAATTTGGTTTAAAAGCTCTACTCGGAGCGCGACAGTTTAAACACTAGCGAAACAATCGCCTGTATTTGTTGTTGTTGTATTCCAACATTAGCTAGAGATCCGAATCGGTTTCTGTCAGTTCTGGCTGTCCGAAGTTCCTTGTGATGCTCTCGGACATACTGCGGATGTTCGCAAGATTTGACATATCAGTTGAAGCATCCCGGGCTCGTCGGTTAAAATTGTTAAACCTGAAACAGTAAAGTAATAGCTTTAATGTTTAGTCATACATATTAGGAATATTTAATTAAAATATGCTAAATGTTTGATAACAGACATGGGGATCGGTAAAACAAAATAACTAAGAAATAAAAACCACCTAATTGATTGAAATATGAGGCGCTTACTAAAACGAATAGACTTCATGTTCAGTACTCATCATCATCATAATCCATCCTCTTGAACCGCATTAAGCAGCGTGAGGAGGAAGTTTATAGAGCCTTCTCCAACTCTGCCGGTCTTCCACAAGATGCCTTCTATCATTCCATTGAAGACCTCTTGTCTGGAAATTGCTCTTTACCTCATCTTCACATTTTCTTCTAGGCCGCCACCCTCTTCCTCTCTTTCCGTCTACTTTAGATCGATAGGTTTCGCTAGCTATTCTGTTTGGTTCCATCCGCAGAAGATGTCCTAGCCATCTCAGTCGATTCTCCTCAATCACATCATTGGCCGGCTTAATATTGAGGTTCGACCTGATGGTGGTGTTGCGTACTCTGTCTCTTCTCGTTTTCCCCTCAATCTTTCGGAGGAATCGCATTTCTGACGCTTGTATCCTTGATCGATGTTTCTTTGTCAGCGTCCATGATTCTGAAGAGTACGTTAAAATGGGAAGAAATGTCGATCTGAAAACAGCTACTTTTGTTTTCTTTTCCACCTCACGCCTGTTTAGAAAACCTTTCTTAACTGCTTCAAACATCCTGCTCGCAGCAGCGATTCGCTCAGTCACCTCTGAATCGATGTATCCATTTTCATTAAGGTGTGCGCCCAAGTATTTGAAGTTTTCTACCTGCTCGAGGATTTTGTCTTCGACTCTGATGACGCGCATATTTCTCCTAGGCTTCTTCCCAACCCTCATTACTTTCATTTTTACAGTGTTGATAATCATATTAATCTTCTGCAATTCTTCTTTTAATTAATTAATATTGTACTGAAGATTTCTGTCACTGTCCGAAAAAATAACGTCATACGTGAATGCAAGTATTGAGAGGCTCACTAATCTCAGGTTGGCATATCCCAGGTGAAATTTCCGCATATTTCCTTTAGCCCTTCATATTGCTGAGTCCATCACTAGTATAAACAAAAGTGGACTAAGACTACAACCTTGACGGATTCCAATTGTTGTTTCGATTTCCTGTGAAGTACAGTTGGCAAATCTTACTATATTTCTTGTCTTCTTACTAAAATGAATAGATTTCATGTTCAGTACTCATCATCATCATAATCCATCCTCTTAATTAATTAATTAATCCATCAGCATTAAGCAGTGTGAGGAGGAAATTTATAGAGCCTTCTCCAGCTCTGCCATTCTAAGAAATAAAAACCACTTAATTGATTGATATTTAGGAATGGTCATCGATAGTCGATATAATTGAAATATTGATATTTCCTCTACTGCGCACTTTTTTTTTTTTTTTTTTTAAATCCTTTCTTCCCTACCTCGCCTTTTAGGCTATACGGGATTTTTCCGGACCAGAGGTGAGGGCGGGGAATTTAAAATCCCCTCTGGGACCGGGATGCGAACTCGTGACTATTTTCATATCATAGAATCATATATCCGGTTGCTGGGCAACGGCGGTGCAGTGCACACGCGTTAGCTCATTCGGCCACCCCGCCCTCTCCCTCTACTGCGCACTACATTCTATATGAAACAGGCAAGAAGAGTATAATTTTTTTTTTTAATGATCAGATTCATAAATGATCTTGGCCCAATCACCTCTCTGCACAACCATTCGCCTTGAAACAATACTTCCTTACAACATACTGAACCGAAGACCCTCCATGGGTTGTAGTGGTACAGGTTTTTTTTTTTTTAATGTTGTGATGGTTAAAAAGAAAGCAGGTGGTTTTAGTGGATTGTGTTTTTTTGTAAAATTTCAGAATTTGGATGAGTGATAAATAGTAGTCAGGACGCAGTCATTTTAAGATTTTTATTATTTCCGACTTTTCAAGCTAAGCATATGGGTCATCATTGAAACATCGGAAACAATAAAAATCTTAAAATGATTGCGTCTTGACTATTTATCACCCATGATATGTAGAACAGTTGACAAAATTCCTTCAATATTTTAGATTTTGGAATTATCACCTTTTGTTAGTTGGCTCATCATATATTAAATCTGTAATGCTTATTAAAAAAAAAATAAACAGAATACAACTTATACCAAGGTTAGATTTTAGGACACATAGCAAGACACCCAAATACAACTATCCATGTTTTTTTTTGTGGTTTGAGTGTTGATCTATGAACAATTATTATATATCACACAAGGGGTTACTTACCTAGGATAGGCTGGGTGACAAGTGTCGGAGTCGTAGAGGTGAGAGAGACTGTCGAGGGATAAACCAGCATCGCTGTCCTGTAAGCGAGATGACGCACGAGATGAGAGAGAAGTATTGTCGCCGTCGTCCTGGCAGCCGGCCTCAAAGACAGAGTTAACATCGGAGAGGGCACCCTCTGCGTCCGTAAGCCCATGCTCGTGAAGGACGCTGATATTCTCCAGAGCAGGATCATCGGTGGTGTACCCAGTGCTCTCCCTGTCGGCCAGCAAGGGCTCACTGGCGGCCTCTTCCTCGCTCCACTCAGACTCATACCTAACACCTTCTTCCTCCTAGAACAAACCACCATTGAATTTAGAAGATATATTATGTGATAAAGACTAAGTTTTGAGTAATCAACGATTAAAGTAAAACTTTTTCAATTGCAATGATTTGTCCACAAGACTGGGGTTCTGTTTTTCTAAAGCCACTTTGACATTTAAAACAAAATTTTAAATTAAATTAAATTAATTATTAAATTATACATTGCAAATATATATATTTAATTGATATAAACTTAATATATTTTCAATGAAAAAATACTGATCCTTTTTTGATTTTTTTTAGAGATATAGATGTTAACCTTTTACTTTATGTGAGCATATAAAATATATTCTCTGAAGTTATCTTGAATTTATTTATTTTTTAGCTTATTTCTAAAAAGTATTTGAGTTTTCCAGAGCATAATGATTAATTTTATAATCATTTAAAGTTGGGTGTACACACACATCACAGTGTCAGAATGAGTTGATTTACTTAAGTTTATCATTATAGGGTTAATGGACATACAATTTTGAAATAGCTTCTGATTAACCGAGATTCCAAAAAAATCTTAACTAAAATTAAAATAATAACATAAAATTCGGCACAAACCTCCGCTTGGACTTGGGCTGCTATCCTCTCCTCTTCTGCTTCGAACTGCTCGCCCTCCCTCAGTTCTTCATCTCTCTTCCTAACCTTCTCACCTTCCATTTCATCATCACTATATAGAAATAAAAAAAAAAAAAAAACATTAAATAAATAAATCAAAATGGATTAAACTATATCTTTATTAAGAAACTAGAATCCTTAAAAATGACACATATGTTCAAAAATCAATAGTATTTATAGTCCGTGGTACAGACCCGTTTTTATCAAATTATTAAAATCCCTCTGAAAATTCGTGAATAGCTTTACCTCATCGTAACCTACAACTATGTTATAAATGAAAACTCTTGCAATTGGGGCATTTTCAATCTAGAGATTGGCGAACTTTGTCTATCTAATTAGGAACTAAAAACTCATAAATACCTATTTGCTCTCCACTTGGATATCGATAAAGATAACTAATTAATAGATACTAAAAATATAGATATGACAAAAGCGAGAAAAAAAGTGGCCTACAAAAATATTGGGCCATTTGGCCTATATAACCTCATTATTTTGAAATGTTGGAGGTGTAAGTCACGCTAAACAGTCCAATATTTTTGTAGGCCACATTTTTTCTCGATTTTGTGATCAAATTATCTTACGATTCACAAAGTAAATGAGTATTTAAGAGTTTTTAGTACCTAATTAAATAGACAAAGTTTGCCAATCTCTAGATTGAAAACGTCCAAATTCTGAGAATTTTCATAAATAAAATAGTTGTAGCTTATGACGCGATGAAGCTATTTACTAAGTTTCAGGAGGATGTTAATAATTTGATAGAAAGGGATCTGTACCATGGATTATTATACGTAAATAACTTAGGAAGATCCTTAGAATGCTAATTATAGACTTTGCGTGCTTTTATTAATTTTAGAGTATAAGTGCTAATTTGAGGAGGAAAGTATTACCCACTCTACTTAGTCTACAAATTATAATCCAAGCATTGTAATTCATCTTGATGAGGGAAGAAATATTTTTAAATCAATATTAATACTCAATTTCTGTCATTTTAGTTACCATGCTTACTATGTGAAAATAACCACCTATCTCAGTTTTGTTATTCATTATTTCGTCGATAGAAATGCAAACTATCGAATCTGCAAATCACCACTTTTCAGGAAATAAAAAAAAAACACTTGCGATATCATTATCAATTCAGCCCAAACAAAGAGAATGTTTTTATTTTCACTTTAATATGTGCCTTTATGAATGTTTGAAGATTTTGTATTCTCTCTATAAAAATATTTAATTACAATTAATGAAATGCATTTTCAGTGCAAGATTAAAAATTCAATTTTTCATATTCGATAGTTAGCACTTGTATTATGATTTAGTCTAATATTTGTTAAGGTTTATCACTATTATTTACTTTTGAAAACAATTTCTCTACAACTTACGAAATAGTGAACAATATTGAAAGAATGTAAGACAAATGAAATGTTTTTAGAAAAATTCAAGATGGTGGCTATTTGACAAACTGTCTGAAGATATGTAGCAAAGGAATGAAGAAGCTTCTTTAAAGAAAGCCTTCCATATATCTTATATTGATATTTCATATTCTTTAAGACTTAAGATTCAGTCACACTTAACCTTTTGCACAAAACAGTTTTTTTTTTTTAATTATTTCTACTTATGTTATTTCTTACTGATAAAATTTAAAAAATGCTAGAAAAATCACAAGGATTCCACTGTGAGGATTTCAATATGGTTATGATTTGGTGAGATTGTTGGGTAAAAAAATGGGAAAGGAATTTAAGGAACCATAAAATGAAAATAAAAAGAATAAGTACTTAAATAAATATAACTTAAAAATAAAATAAACCAATTTTAGTTAACATAAAATTAATTAAAATAATAAGAAATAAACAAAATTCGGCAAAACAAGAGAAATGCAAATCCTTATTTGGCCAGCTGACTACGTCCATGGTGTAATGTTAAAATCTCTATGGGAACCACAGAGACTAGAATTTGGTTCAACAGACTTTAAAAATACTTTATTAAACTTGTTAAGATAATTGAGTAGCCAGATAATATTAATTAAAAATTAAAAAATAAGATCATTTAGAATTAAAAAAATATGCTTGGATTTGCTTTTCAAATATTTTGCAATCATATCTTATTTTTGAGGCATTCTTCTAAGAAAAAAATGATGTCAGAATTACAATTATATAAGACAATGTTCAATGTATTGTTCTGTCAGTTTCTACTTTTCAGAAACCAAGAAGTAAGAATTAATTCTATATTTGAAATAATGTGAAGTGTATCAGCGTTTTATTATAAATAGTATGAAACAAAAGAAAGAAAGTCTAGTAAATAGAGTCTTTATAACTTCATCATCATTTCTATTATGTATATTATTACTTATATTTAAATGTTAATAATTTTTTTAAATTCAATAAATAATATAATCATTTGAAAATAAAATCTAATGGATGATTCATTTTTGAAACATACGCTTGTCAAGGAAAATATATTTAGGCTAACTTTAAACCTCCAACTTTGAGGCTCTTTGAGTTAATTAATAAGTTTCTACGTATATAAGCAAAAATTGTGAATATAATTTGATGAAACTGATATAATGCCAATCTGCAAAATCGATGAATATTTTATCAATAAATTAAATTTTAATTAAATGATAACAGTAATTAATAAATTTTGTTCTTATTTTTGTTAATCAAAATTGTCAGAAAGAACCTATCTAAGATTTGGTACCCAAGAAGAGAACAAATGGAAAGATAAATCTTTATACTATATTAGAAGTAGTTTTTATAATAGAAATGATAATTGATACGAGATACAGAAAAATATTTGCCATTATAACTTTGGTTCATTAACATTTTTTTTAATGGACTCTAACCTTAATTTTGGATAGAATGCTTTTTAATTTAAATATCATATAATTATAATTTTACTGTGGATATAATATGGAGTAACAGAAGTAATAATTACTGTCAACTGTTATTATGCTGTGTGATATAATAGTTTAGTACTCACTATCTAATTAGAAAGTAACTTTTTGAGAAAACATATAGTCCGTGGTACAGAACCCTTTTTATCAAATTATTAACATCTGTCTGAAACTTCGTAAATAGCTTCATCTCATCATAATCTACAAATATTATATTTATAAAAATTCTCGGAATTGGGGCATTTTCGATCTGGAGATTGGAAAACTTGAGATTGGTACTAAAAACTCGCATATACCCATTTCCTTTCCACCTCGATCGTAAGATAATTTGAGCACAGAGTTGATAAAAAAGGTTGCCTTCAAAAATATTGAGCCGTTTGCCAAGATAACGAAGTTATATAGGCCAAACGGCTCAATATTTTCGTAGGCCACTTTTTTTGTTGATTTTGTGATCAAATTATCTTATGATCCAGGTGGAAAGCAAATGGGTATTTTCGAGCTTTTAGTACCTAATTAAATAGAAAAAGTTTGACAACCTCCAGATTGTAAACGCCCAAATTCCGAGGATTTTCATAAATAAAATATTTGTAGGTTACAGAGAGATGAAGCTATTTACGAAGTTTCAGGCAGATGTTAATAATTTGATAAAAAGAGGTCTGTACCACGGACTAATATATTGTGATTGATCTGATGCATTTCTTAACTGAAAGCCTCAAAAATAATTTTAAATCAAATAAATACATAACATAAATAAAAATAAATAAATAAAAATAGAAATACTGCACTCTGATCATTTCCTAATTGGATCACATAAAATATAAATGCTATCTAAAATGTTGAACGATGGTTAACCCTGATAAACTATAATCCTGAAAATCGTTATTAAGATTACAATCCGGACCTCATCGAAGGGAACTATACCGACCTCTGTGTTTAAAACTCCTAAAATGTAAAGTTTTTGAGATAAACAGTAGTTCTCGGGCAAAAGCCGCTTATTGCTATGGTTGCTGTAGGATACTTGTAACATTTTTAAGTTTTAGAAATTAAAATATTTCTATTGATGATAGTCTTCGACAAATACAAATATCTTAAAAAGATATTTAAATGGAGTAGAATAGCTTTTAATAAATTTAAAAAACAAACAAGGTATGGTTTTAATACAATACTCTCCGTGATAGCTGTCTTATTACTTTATTATAAAACTGGAAAGATATTTTTCAGTGACAAAGAATAACGCACAATTTAAGTAAAAGGATAGCTATCGAATGTGAGAGTTCTCACTAGAGTACATTAGTAGTGTAGCAGACATCCCCCAGTATTTACTCCTTCATGTGACATTGGGTGAGGGAATGAGAAGGAATATATAATATATAGGAATGTGAGGTTGCACAGTGAATTGTACTCAATTGTGCAGTGGACAAATTGTTCATTGAAAAATTGATATCGATGAACAATCGATGAAGAAGGAAAAATCTGGTCAGGTAGCAGCAGCTGGAAGACGACGCCAGGCACTGGAGGTTGGACATTGAGGAGGAACACATACCTGGGAAGAGAGTCTACTACAAAGTTTAGAATATCAAGTCTATAGTTATAACACTTTAATAGAATCAATTTATTACAGTTATAGAAATAAATTGTTTTGTTAGATAGGAGTGCATGGTCATTTATTTATATAGTTGTCCCATAGGCCTCACAATTGAAGAATAATAAACAAGGTCAGTCAATTCATTCAAAGTGTATTTACTAAGTCCCACATTTCATTTATATATATTCTTATTGTTTCTTCTCACCCAGTGTCACAAAAAGTATTGGATTCCCGAATTCCCAACGACAGTTAAACACCCTCAAAAAGTCTATATCCAGTGCTGGGGTTTTGTTTTAATATTCATGAGTGTAAATAACCTAGTCCCCTGATATAAAAGCGGAAGGCTATTCGCAATTCCCGCTAAAACATGTTATTTACAGTAGACATCTATAATCAATAACGGAAGGAATTTGTAAATTGATAAATTTAGTTATTTTGATTTAATGAAACAAAACTGTGGGCTTCATTCATAAAACAGAATGTGGGCTTCATTCTTAATTTAAATGTCATAGCTCATCACTTGCTGAAGAGTAGAGAGGCATAAAGATACTTCGACGACTGAAGACATCGAGACCAGAGCGCAGTAAAAGAGGAGATAGAGATAGGACAGACAGGACTCACGTAATGCCGAGAAGGGACTGTTGGTTGTGGGCGAGAGAGATGATGCGGGCCACGGAGGCCATCCTATCTTGATGGCCTGCGTACCTGGCACCGTGGCCTGCAGGCGGCTCGCCGAGTAGCCTCCTGATCCTCCGTTCGAACTCCTCTTCCTGGTCCAACTTCAGCTCAGTTTGGCTCGAGCTGTCTTTCTTGCCGGAGCTGTCGCTCTTGTTGTCTAACGAGCCACCGTTGTTACTGTTCTGCTTGCCTCCGGTCTGCTGCCGCCTGTTTCCTTCTAAGGCCTTATCCGAACCAGTCTTTCTCGAACTTGAGCTACTACCAGTCTTGAACACTCGGGGCGATTCCCTTACTTTAGAGCTGCGCCCACTTCCCCTAGAAGCCAAAATATTAATCACAACAGATAAATTAAAATGTGTAAAATATAAAAGCAGCACAGTCAAAATTTGTAATAACAGTTCTAGTTATAGCAATTTCAGGTGAAACATATGTAGTTTTAATGATCCAATTTCTCCGTTATAATGTTTTTAATATGTGACAGGTTGATTTGAAATACATTAAAAAAATGAAAAACGGTCTAGTCTATATTAAGGATTTAATTCCTTGGAATGTTATTTGTTTAGAATGTAATTTTTCCTTCTACTTTGTCTTCATGTTAAAGAAAACATTGATTTAATTAAAAAGATTGATAAATTAATTTAAATCGAAATAATTTTTCTGCATTTAAAAATATCAATTATTTTAGCTACCTACTTTGAAAAACAGGGCTAGGTGTTAAATGGGACCAATAATCAAAAATTAGATCTGTTAAACACAAAGGCATTGAAAGCACTGTGAAAAATTGCATTACAACGTTAAGATAAAAGATCTTATTCCGCAAGAGAAGGCCTCAAGTCGTTGATTCTTTGGCAATCACATACTTTACTGCCTCTGTTAGTTTTACTTGGGTATTTGGATGAAAAAAAAATCATGTAAATTTCATCTGCAATAGAATTCAAGTAATAAAGAAACTTTAAAAAAATGTACATATTAAGCTAAAAACTTTAAATAATAGTGTACCTGGGAGGTGTGGCCTGAGTCCACAGTAGCATGACTTATACCAATGCCAAACATGATGTAGTCAAAGTTTCTCCCAGCTTTTATAAAAGCTCAATATCCACTTATAAAAACTAATAAAATACATTTTGAACTGACTGTCATTTAGTGATGACAGGTTTAAAGGAAGAAATGGAAAAATATTTCTTGGATGAAAGGTTTGCAGCTGAAAATGCTATTCTATGGTAATCAGTATAAGATACTCAACAGTAGCTAAGTGTCGACAGGTCGTGATGTAGCCGTGACTCTTCTCTCATGGTGTACTTCTGTCCCCACCACTTTTCTTTAACAATAATTATCTTTGCGAACATGAATTAGAAGATCTTGGGACTTTTTGCGCTTTGAATATTATAACTTGATATTTATCAATTAATAAAAATTGAAAATTCATGCTAGCCAATAGAAATTTTTAAATTTTATATCGTGAAAAAGCTCAACATGTCTGAATTATAAGTGAATGTAAAAATAATAAAAATTTGGTTGTAAACCTTAAATAAAAAATAGATTAACAAACATTCTGAAAGGAAAAAAAATGAGATAAATCTTTTTGTTGCCCTTAATAAGAATATTTACCTCTTTGCTCTAAACAGAACAGATTTATAATAATCCAAAGGATAACCCAACCTACTTGTTCAAGTTGAAAAAGAATAAAATTATTTAAACAAATCATAACAAATACATACCTGGAATTATTGTTTCCATTTTTGGCAGGAGAGAAGGATCGCGACGAAGGCAAACTCTCTTGGTTGTTGTTGGTGAGGAAGCACGGAGGTATGTAGTCATGGGACGCACGAGGCGAGCCCTCAGGAGAAGAGCACGGATTGACCTAACGGAGGAAAACAATTGTTATCTTAATTACAACAGAAATTTATTTTAGAAGACATTTTAAACTTGTTGGGCGCCAAAATTATATTATTTTAATTTAAAGGATATTTCATTATTGGTTCCATAGGTAAGATAATTTAAGCAATGGGTTTTTTTTTCAGCATACTTACTGAATCCTTCATCATGATGTGAAAAACAAAAACAAAGAATAAATAAATAAATCTTTTATCATTAATATATGTTTAGGAGATATCTTAAATAAGCAGAAGAAATCCTTAATTGAATACGATTTTTTGATATAGAAAAGGCAACTGATTACCAAACCAAAAGATACCAGTGGTCAGTTGACTCATTAGTAAAAAAAACAATATTATAACAATTGAAATTTGGTTTCAGAGTAATTTTTTTTAAAAGTTAAAAGTAAAAATTTTAATTAGGGTACTCTTTAGTTAGTTCCTGCTAAAAAGTCCTCAATCTTATCACAATGAATTTTTCAATCACCTTAGGTCAACAAATACCAATTCATCCATCCACATCTGTCTTTTATACTACAACATACCATATCAAAAGAATAACAATTGTTTTCTGTTTTGTCATCTCATTTGACACTACTGTCATTGTTGTTAGTTTTTTCATTATGTTTCTGTGTCAACCTTTATAAAGAAAATAATAGTTAACTTCCTTCATATTCTATTTAGGATTCCCCGGCCATATGTGTAGGCGATATATCCTGGCAATACAATATCCTTTTACTGTATCGCTAAGGATTATCATACTCTATGTGACTGCTCCGTTCTATGTAACCAACAAAACACTAAATCATGACCTCAATATCCCATTTGTGCTTGACCTTATCCCTGAAATTTTTTTGAAATTCCATCAGAACCTTATCAATCATCCAAATCCCCTAGCCCAATCCCTATCTAGTTCCACTCATCTCTACAACCCTCATCGAAGGTTGAAGCGGCAGTGGCCCAGAGATGCAAAAGATAGTTATGAGAAGGAATTAGTCGAGGGTGCGGTCAAAAAAAATAAAAAAAATTAAAATATATAAATAATTTTAATTTTTGCCGACGTTTCGACCCACTTTGCAGGTCGTCTTCAGGGCTACAAAAGATACAAACATGTTGAAAAAATAAAAATAAAATAAAAAATAAATATAAGTATATATAAATTACGAAGAAGTTGTCAGATACAGAAATAAAAGATAAAGAAAATAAATACATGATAAGAAAATAGATAAAAGAAAATAAATACATGAATGTTAACGAATAAATGAATGTTAACGAATAAATTGATTGAAAATTGAATAACTATTGTTACAGTAAAGTTAAAATATGGATAAGATAACAAATTTATCATATCAACGGTCAACCAACTCTACATCAAAAGATAGTTATATGATTATATCACTGCCGACGGAAATATCGTATTGCACTCTGTGTGTAGGAGCCTTAAGATGTTCAAATATTTTAAATAAGGAAAATTATCGTAATTAATTGAATATTTATTAAAAAATTGAATATTTAATAGTTGACCGTTGCATTATAAAGGAAGGAGATAGTCCAGGGTGGTGGTCATAAATAGGCTAAATAGTGGAAAAACTATTTTATTAAAAGCCAACGTTTTGACTCAACTTTGCAGGTCTTCTTCAGGGAGGTGTGTTCAGCTAGGAGTTTCACTTAGAATTGAGTTCTAACTCCTAGCAGAACACACCTTCCTGAAGAAGGATCGAAACGTTGGCTTTTAATAAAATAGTATTACCACTATTTAGCCTATTTATGACCGCCACACCAGACCATCTCCTTCCTTTATTTATTATAAATGTTTGACAGAAAATGATCATTTTAAATAATTCACCGTTTATTTAAATAATAACAGCAAAACACATTTGAAATAACCATATTTATACAGAATATCATATTATAAATTGAAAATAAATCTACATTCCAAATTTGAATAAAGCCAGAATAAATACAAGAACCATTTCTTTCTTGTCAAAACCAAATGAATAGGATGTTATTTTATGATTCATTTTGTTATTTTTTTTTTCATAAGTTCATAAGAACTTTTGTTTGTTGTAACAAGTAAAAGAGGTGCAGATTGCAAATGTACTCTCACATGTGACTCACAAACCGGAGTTTATAGACCACTGCCTCATTTTTTTTGTGGCAAAAATGCAACACGGCCATGAAGGCCTATTGTACGCCTCTATTAAAGTCACTCCTGTTACAGCGTAATTCCTTTAATTTCAATAAACTGAAATAGGCTTGTTGGGTTGATAAGCTCGTTTGTCTTGGGATCAATAATCCTATTAATGTCGAATAAACCGATTCTCAGTTAAGCAAAACTGTCGCACCAACAAGTGATATGATAAGTTATTTACCATCCTCTTGACCACAGAACCTACAAAGAGACGACTCCGTTAGCCAGAAAATGAACATGTGATAATTCAGTTTATAGTGTCCTGTATATACCGCTGTAATTTTCGTAAGTGAGCTCCTGCTCAAGTTAATTAGTACGTTGACAACTGCCCCATACTCACTAATATTAAATAATATCAATCCGATGGCCTTTGACTAAAGGCTATTACACTAATATTATCAAACCTCACCTGAATATCCGAAGGGAAGAGATACTGCCTAGTGTCGGCATGGTGATGAAGTGGCGGAGAGGGCGACGGGGAGGCATCAGTCGTCTTGCTGTAGCTCTCGTCACTGGAAGACAGCGACGGGGACCCTCCTCCGGGCGGCTCCCAAGCCCCACGGCCGGTCGGTGGTCTCGGCAGTGGTTTCATCGGAGGCCGGGGCCACGGAGGGGTATACCTGCAATTGCGTCTCATGGCACTTTAAACACAGCAAAAGGAGATAATTTTATAATTTTTCCAGTTATCAATCAATAGTAACATAAAAAAATATTGCAGTAATTTTATAAGTGTAACATTTATTTTTAAGCAATAACTTAATAAATAATTTATTAAATTTAATATTATTGAATGTCTAAAGTTAATCAAAATATCTAGAATTGAAGATCTGGTTTGTTCTTGAATAATAGAAAAAGATCAAGGCATAATGCATAAATCTGAAACAAAATAGCTTCATAAGCAGAGTGAGTTGTTCATCCACGTTCAATAAGAGAGTTAATGGAACTTTTTTTTGGACCTAAGACTTAAGAGTCCTATTATGCCACTATATTACTATGCTTCTTCAGTTACTTGTTGAAATTGGATTCGAAACACAAATATTTTATTGATGTACATATAAATATAATGGTTATATTAACTTGGACTTTAATTATTTAATAGTTTTATAGCTTTACATGAGTTTTATTGAACTTACATAGAAGTTTAAGAATCTCATGAGAGCATATGCAGCTTATATTGGTGCATCTATGGGCACTATCTTTATTTATTGATGTTAGAAAGCAAATGGCAGAGGTGGTTGGATGACGTATAGGACGATTTGAGACGGATAGGAATAAGAGGATGGCATTAATACTATCATCCACGGCCCTAAACTTATTCTCCTTCCTTTCTTGAACCTTTTACACTGAAAGGCAATGTGCCTTGGATCCTCCAGGCATTGGCATGTAGGGCAGTAACTGTTCTCAGCTGGATCCATTACAAGTAGAAATTTATTTGTTCTACCATAGTTAATTCTAAGATTCGTCAGCTTCACTAAGGTAGGGCCATACTTAAGCTATTTAAGTTTAAAAATTTTTTTTACTGCATTCAATTATTGTTTGGAATAACAAGCTTACAGCCCTTGAAAACCATCAACTGATCCTCTTAAAACAGCCTGAGCCTAAGCCTAGCAAAATTGTTACACTAGCAGATTATATTTGAAAAGCTGTTTGTATGAAGATAGTTCCAAATTTCTTCGTTACGGCGAGTGGTGGGGGCAGATCAGAAGATCTAAAAGATAACATTTAATCCGTACAAGCGTCGGTTCACTCAGGGCATTCAAGCACTGAGAGCCAGAGACAACAGATGCTCCGAGGGCAAAAGATGTCTGTACCAACATAAAAATGGTAAACTGTTTTTGCAAAATTTGTATAACCTACCAATTCATTAAAATACAGTCCACTGCATAAATAAGTAGAATGCTGCCTAATAAGAACTCATGAGAGTTATTTGCCTTGCCTTAATTAAAATTTGGAAACTTGCCTAAACAAAAGCTGTTTCCTCCTCATTACGAAAGAATCCGCAAAACGTGTCTCCGTCAGCCTCAATTTGAACACGTGATAGTTTAATTTACATTGACCTGTATAGATCACTGTAATATTTACTATGAACCACCCTGTCCAATATTTGAATGGCATTGTTTACTAGTCATACAACTATTGTTAGAATTTAGCACCATAGATTTTCACAATTCTACTTTCGATAGACGTTTCAGCTAATCTGTACAGGTCACCTTCTTGGCAGGAAGTATGCAACACCAAGTTTGACAAAGAAAACTAACTTTTGTATGTTTATGAAAACAGCACAATTAAGTTTTATAAATAAATTCATAATAGATTATAAGGAACATAGAAATAAAACTAAAGGAATGAAATATAAAAGATTACCTGGAGTTCTCCCTGACAGGTAGAGGCGGAGGGGGTATTTCCTTGATAGGAGGAGGAACGGCCACTCTGTGCAGCCTGCTGCGGTCTGGCGCAGCTCCCTGCAAGAATGCCAATGGTGTTGCCACTCCACCGTACATGCTCCCTATTAAACAATTATTAATTATTCATAACAACATAAAACCTTATTATAAATAAATTAAACCCCATCAAATCACCTTTACCCTCCGTCGTAAACCTATGTCCTCTTGTCCTACAGTATCCTTTAATAATACCCCACTTATCCCTGTTGAACAAATTCAATACCTTAGACTCCACTTAGACAAACGTCTAACTTAGAATCCTCATACCAGTTATAGAATCCTCGTTCCCGATTACTTCAACACTTCCTAGACAAACACTCTAAGCTTCCAGTTAATTACAAAAGACTTATATACATGACTACAATAAGACCTATTTGGACTTACGGAATTGAGCTCTAGGGCTCCAATAAGCCATCCAATTCCTTCCGTATCCAATCCTTACAATCCAAAATCCTTCATAAAATCCTCACTGCTCCTTACTTTGTCACAAACAAAATCATCCATAACGACCTTAATGTTCCTTATCTTTCTGACCTGGCCCAATCCAGATACCTATCCTTCCATAACAAACTTCAAAACCATCCAAACCCTCTCGTTTCTAACCTTGCTTCCTCTTCGATCCCTGACAACCCTCCAAGGTGTCTGAAAAGAAGATGGCCTCGAGATCTCCTTTTGTAAATACCTTTTTAGAGTGCTACCAGAGGGTAGTTTCTCATCAAGTGAATTCATGTTATTATATTCTTTTGTTCACATTTACTGAATGTATTTTTATTTGTAATACAGTTGTAAATATCATCAATAAAAAAAAAAAAATGAACGAAGCTTCACTGTTATAAATTATAATTAGAAGAAATTAAAAAAAAAAAATTAATAAAATTACATAACCTATTAAGAGGAAGAAAATAGAATTGTAGCGATTCTCAATTTTTTTTTCCCTAGAAACTCTTTTAGGACTAAAAATTGTTAACCCTTGTAAGACAAAAAATCATAGTACTCTTGCACTAAAAAAAATCCACAATTAAATTATCCTTAAAGTGATGATATAGTAGAATCATTACCAATTTTTAGTGAAATACAGATAATTCAAATAAAGTTTTGTCTGGATATAATCTTAAAATCGATTGATTTTAATTTTAGATATGTTATTAATAGATGAAAATCCTCCATACAGTAACTTGAGCGATCTGGGTTTAGAGTACTGTCTCATGGAGGAGAAGGAACGAAAAAGATTTATTTACTAATGACAATAAATATTTACCAGGAGAAAGGGCAGCCGCTCTAAGGGAAGACATTTCCTCTGCACGTAATGTTCCAGGTTGTGCACGATCGGTGAGGAAGTATGTCGTCATTTCGCCTTTCCCTTTTACTTTTACTTTACCACGGCACTGGAACTCGTATGGTTGGTTTCGGAGGGTTTGGTAAACATCCTCTGTAACCTGTACAACATAGCGAAATAATTAAAATAAATAAAATACTTAATATAAATTATGGAAAAGGAGCCAATGATTAACTTATTATCTTCTATATATATAAAAATGAATGTATGTATGTCTGTCTGTTTGTCCTTTGTGCATTACTAAACCATTCATCCGATCGCCATGAAACTTTGGGAAGTTGTTCCGTACAGTCCTGGAAAGGTTTCTGACATAGTACTTCTGTCTTACAATAATTTTATATATGTAAAACAAATAAAAATGTAAATGTTTTTCTGTTCAAAGCCGCAAAAAAATGTGTCGCAATAAACTGTAGCCCCAAAACGGCTTTACCGATTTTAACGAAACTTGGCTAAAGTCTTCTCCTTGAAACCCTTTGAATTTATGTGAATAACATACTTTCCCGAAAACAAGCTGAAAAATGTTACAATGAATTCAATATTTTATTTGACGACAAATAAAAAAGTACAGAATTTTTGACTGATAATACCCATATTTATATGAAAGATTTCTGAATTGCTGACAAAATAAAAAAAAAAAATCATCGAAATCGGACGGTTCGTTGCAGAGTTATAGAGTTTTAATCATTTACTGCTTTCTCTTCAGAAAAGGCCATTTCCTTTTGCTTCCTCACTACCGAAAGTAGGCAAGCATTTTTTTTCTTCTTTTTATTGATTAATCGAAAATTTTATAATTACTACAGTAAGTGAAATTATCATTTGAAGAAGTTATATGATTCTCCTTATGTAGGTCAATACTATTATACGTTCTTTATATTCATTTTTTATTTTAGTTTTATAAGTTCAACTCAGACTGTTTCTGATGATTATGAATGTTCAATTTGAATCATGAGAATAAAATCATTAGAATTAGTTTAAATTGAAGCCATTTTACAGACAAATTTCTTTCCCAACTTATTAAAAATTACAGATGTCCTTTGCTACTAATCTACTCATATGTGCTTTCTATTTTCAGTTTGCCAGGCTAAGCCACAACAACGCGTGGACGGGTAAAGCTAGTAATTTTATAAAATAAGTTAACTTTTAAAAATTATAATTAAATGAATTATAGAGGTAAAAAGCCTATTTCTTCGATATAAAGCACAAACCAAAGTTTTTCTAAAATTTATTTGTGTTAATATTTTAGGGAGCGGGGTAGCTCAGGACTAGTAATTTGTTTATCTAGCTATGGGTCGACCCTGGGGCTGGCATACCTTCCTGGGGGCAAATCCATCCTCTATAAAGTGGGTTCTCGTAATTAAATAATTAATTACTATAGTAGACAGCCCCCTGTATTTACTCCTTTATATGACATTGTGTGAGGGATTGAGAAGGAATATATAATATATAGGAATGTGAGGTTGCACTGTGAATTGTATTCAATTATGCAGTGGACAAATTATTCATGGAAAAGTCTCATATCGATAAACAATCGATGAAGAAGGACGCTGGAAAAAGGAGAGCAGGTAGCTAGCAACAGCTGGAGAGTCACTTTAGGCCTGGACACGAAGACGAGAAGACGTCATCTGGGAAGAGAAGCTTACTGCACTGAAGACTAAGAATATCAAGCCTACACTTTTAAGACTTTTATACAATAATTTATTACAGTTATCAAAATAAATTGTTTTGTTAGACAGGAGTGAAAAGTCATTTTATTTAGTTGTCCTATATGCCTCACAACTGAAGAATAACAAACCAAGTGAGTCAATTCATTTAAAGTTTATTTACTAAGTCCCACATTTCAAATATGTATTCCTATTGTTTCTTCTCACTCAATGTCACAAAAGGTATTAGATTCCCGAATTCCCAATCACAGTTAAAACCCTCAAAAAGTCTATATCCAGTGCTAGGGTTTTGTTTTAAAATTCACGAATGTACATAACCTAGTTCCCCGATATAAAAGCAGAAGGCTATTCGCCAATTCCTGCCAAAACAAATTATTAACATTTAACTTTCAGTAGGTTATTTACATTACGGTGGAAAACCTGGCAGTTGAGCATGATATTGACTCACGACCTCCTTGCACAGCCGTTGTCCTTGTAACAGTACTTCTTCACATTGTACCGAATCCCAAAATCCTTCATGGATTGTAAGTGGTAAGTATTTTCTTTTTTTTAAATAGATTTCCTTAGTGGATCAGAAAAAATTTGTTCTAGATAAACCATCTGTAGTTGAAATGTTGTTAACTCTCTAAATCATATATCAGGTCATAATAAATAATAATGTAATAATACTAATAAATAAAAAACAAAGAGTATATAATCAAAGAATACTGACCTGAGTGTGATTCGGAAGGCCTGTAGAATCCATCCGAGATGCCACGTTGACGGTATTACCCCAAATATCGTATTGTGGTTTACGAGCACCGATGACGCCAGCAACAACAGGTCCCGTGTTGATTCCTTTAACAATAAAAAAAAAGAAATTAATTTTGAACGTTATTACAAAAATAAATTGAAAAAAAAGTATAGCACTCAACAACTTTTTTGGTCAGGACAAGTAGCAGCTTAAGGTTATATCTGACATAAAACACAACTGTCATACATTAAATAATGATATACACAAATTAACATTCATTCATTGTTGACACAGCAGACGCACGTAGCGGCCCTTGGCCTGCTCAATTTCCTTTGCCCAGTGATTCCTGTTGGCTGTGCACCTGATGGACATGCCATTTTTTTTCAGGTCTTCTTTTACGTTATCTATCCATCTTGCCTTCGGTCTTCCACTAGACCTAACTCCCTCTGGCTTCCCATGATAAAGCCTTCTCGCTGTCCTCGCTTCATCAATTCTCAGGACATGTCCTAGCCATTTCATTCGCTGCACTCGAGCGAATTGGGAGATAGACAGATTACTGTACATTGAGTATACCTCCTTGTTTGTTCTCAAGCGGGGAACTCCTTCCTCCGGTTTGGGTCCTATTATCCGTCTTAGTATTTTCCTTTCAAACCGATCTATTCGTTCATCAGATGCCTTTGTTAGAGTCCATGTTTCGCACGCATATGTAGCAACTGGCCAAATAATCATTTTGTATATCCTAGACTTCGTTGTACGACTTAACAATCTACTTATCAGAAGGCTCGCTAAAGAAAAGTACACTCTGTTCGGCAGCCATTATTCTAGCTCTTATCTCCTCCTCTTCGTTATTGCTATTGTTTATTATGGACCCGAGATAAGTGAAGCTTGAAAAGTATGGTTTCCCAAGACATACCGCTGTAGTGGATGGACAAGCTTTTTCTTCCTTAAAACAAGGACCTTTATTTTACTTTCATTTTACAAGGATGCATAGCCCCATTTTTCCTGCCTCATTCTCCAACCCACTGAATGCACTCTTCACTGCTTGAAGTGATCACCCTGCAAGACCACATCGTCAGCATATACGAGCAGTTGGGTCATTCTGTGGGATATTGTTCCTCCGTTATTTAATTCTGCCCTTCTCATGATGGTCTCTAAGGCAATATTAAAGATGAGTGGGGCTAATGAGTCATCTTGCCTGAGGCCCGAACAAACTGCAAAGGAGTCGCCAATCCTTCCTTTTACCTTAACTACAAATTAACATACAAAGAGTTATATTTTAATATATTACTTATTTTTAATAAGATTGTACAGATCCTTTTCCTGGCTCTAAGGATAAATCGATTTTGATAAATGAGAACTCAAAAGAAAGAGATTTTCAATGAGAAGTTATCAATCCCAAATTTGATCTTCAAGTCAGTACTACAATTTTAATAAACGTCATTGAAAAAAGAAGGAGATTTTAAAATCTCTATAGGCCCTAAAATGTACAGTTTCTTTTAAAGAAAAACCTTAATGATTGCTGAAATATTTTACAAATTAAAATATTACTATTTACTTTACTACGTTGCTATATACGACAAACTAAAAATCTATTGAAAAGCTAAACAAAGGAGAATAGATCCTGAGATTCCTTTGGGTAATTTATAGTGCAGAAAGAAACACATTAGTAAAAATAAAAATGTATTGATTTTCTCCGTTGTTAATATTAACAGCAGTGATGAAGTTTTTATCAAGGTTTAGCCGCTAGATTCCAAACTTAATAAGCGAGAGAACCATAGATCAAGAATCCTGCTCTTTTGCACAAACCCAAAAGGTACTAACAAGTACAATCCTCGATTGCCTAGGAATAGTTGAATCTTATTAATCGACTACAGAAATATTTTCCTCGAGAGTAACCTAATTACTTATTAAGTCAACTTTTATCAAAATAGTCATTACAATTTACAGGGTATTTCGTAATTACATGGCACTATTTTAGGTATGTGTTTGTTCACTAACAGAAAATAAACAAAAAAGTTCATATTAACGTATATCTCATACAAATAAAAGTGTTTTTCTAATAGTGTTTATATCCCGAACTATATTAAAGAAAAGAATAGACATCTATGCGAGAGTTATAGCACAGGTATACTTAGTCAATTACTGTTACATTACATCAAAAGTTATATGTTTGGAAAAAAAAAATGGAATCCACTTACCGACTCTCAACATAAAGTTATTGTACGAGTTTTCATTGATGGCAAGCAGCTTGTCCCTCATTGCGAAGACAAATTCAACAAGGTGACTGAGGTAGAGTGCAGCGGAATTGTCATCATCTATCCTGTGGTCTGGCATGAGCCCGACGGCCGCCATGTACGTCGAGCCGACGGTCTTGATTTTGTCTATACACCTAAACCTCTCTTCACCGAGGAGCTACAAAAGAATACATAATGTTAGAATAGGCTTTAAATAATGCAAAATGAAAGCATTATAAGATGCAACAAAAGTGTTTCAAGAAAATGATAATAAATGTACAATTGGCTACTTGTATAGGTAAAAAATATTTGAGCTTAAATAGAATTCAAGTGATAAAGAACATATTTAAGATTGATATGGCATTTTTAAATAATAAAAAAAAGTTTATATAGCGAAGCTATGGTGGAGACTTGGGGAGGAGCCTGAATCATCTGTAGGATGATGTATACATGTAGTAGACATCCCCTTGTATTTACTCCTTTATGTGACATTGTGTGAGGGAATGAAAAGGAATATATAGGAATGTGAGGTTGCACGATGAATTGTACTCAATTATGCAATGGACAAATTATTCATTGAAAAATCTGATATCGATAAACAATCGAAGAAGGTTGAATAGAACGGAGCAGGTAGCAACAGCTGGAGAAGGACACTGGAGAGAAGAGAAGGCACTGCATTGAAGATTAAAAAGATCAAGCCTAAAGTTATAAGACTTCAATAGATTCACTTATTACAGTTGTAAAAATAAATTGTTTTGTTAGACAGGAGTGAAAAGTCATTTATTTATTTAGTTGTCCTATGTGTCTTACAGTTGAAGAATAACAAACCAGGTGAGTCAATTCATTCAAAGTGTATTTACTCAGTACCACATTTCATATATTTATTCTTATTATTTCTTCTCACTCAGTGTCACAAAAGTATTAGGTTCCCGAATTCCCAACAACAGTTAAACACCCTCAAAAAGTCTATATCCAGTGCCGGGGTTTTGTTTTAATATTCAGGAGTGTAAATAACCTAGTTTCGAATCAATATTAGATAATCGAGTAAATATTACAAGGAATATTTACATCGCCCGCCTAAAGGAATATTTAAAAGTAACCTTTAACATATTATTTACATACTGCTACCAAACACAATACTGCTCAACCTCTCTCAGCTCCTAGCTTATTTTATTTATTTAAAAAGTTAAACCTGGTGAAGGGTTTACTGAAGGAATCTAAATCTATAGGGAGGATTTTTCGTTGTGAGGACGTGGATAAGGAAAACATCAAGAAGGAATTGTCGTCGGAAAGTAGAATAGAGCCACTTCAACTCAGCGTATAAGCAGGAAACATGGGAAAGCCTGAGAATCCCAAAGATATAGCTTAAGGTACTATTTCGCTGGTGCTGGCCACGGCAGCGACCATTTGCGGTTGACCACTGCTTTAGTGGGATAGAAAGGAACCTATTTTGTTGGTGCTGCTCAGTAGTCTAGGTATGACGTCATATCTAAGCTGCTCCTATCTGAACGCTCCTGAAGCAGTGGAGCTGTTGACGGTTCGGCGGTTGTAGGTTATGTTATCATATCAGAGCATTGTTTTGATGATAACAGTCACGTTGATATGTCTTATTTCCTTTGTTTCTTTCAAATTATAAGAAATATTGTTTAAAACTTAAATAACGCAATAGTAAATTATTCTTTTAAGGTTGAAGTAACAAGATTATTTATAATTATACCTAAATCTAAAGGATATTAAATAAATAAAAGAATAAAAAATCGGTGATAAGAGATAGTAAGTCCATTTTTATATCTTCGAAGGTTATAACAATCTCAGGGAGCAGTTTCAGCGAAATAGCTACTCAACAGCGGCTGGCAGCGTGAAATAGTACTGGCAGCAGTGGGCAGTGTCAGCGAAATAGTACAGTTATGAAGAAATTCATGTACTTTGTACATATACTGATAATTATAATTGCTGTTAATAAAAACACATATTACGCATAAAAGCATATTACTTTTTTAATTAAAACCTATTCAAGTAAATTGTTTATAAAAACAGTAATATAAAAACTTTTATTAATTAGGTTTGAAAATAAAAGCTAAGAAATAGCATGTATCAATAAAAGTAAAAGTTGAACGAAAACTTTTATACATCTAATCTCTGGGATAGGTAAAAGTTAAGTTTTTCATTCGACCACTGGTTAATATTTTAATATGGCTGTTGCAGACAGGTTTCACTTTATAACATAACCAAAAAAATAAAAAGACTGATCAAACATAGTTACAAGTCCATATGTATCAACAACATTTTACAATCATGTAATGAATAAATGAGAATATAAACACAAGATATTTTGATAACTAAATAAAATAATAATATTCTATTGTACCTCATCAAAATCGGCAATGATTTCATTGAGAAGCCGCAGACACTCGACACCTTGATTGTTGCCATCCAGCTCCATGTAGAACTCGTGGTAGTTGGTGATGGAGGCAAAGACAACGCCCACTCGCGAGTAGCTCTGATGATACAGCTCCTGCGACAGAGTGCACTGTACCACGGTACATACAGCATCCATTAAGCACAACCATGCTCAATCAATCATACACAATATCCACCACCATTGTTTATTATAGTTAAGTCAGCTGAGCCATATAATATAACAACAATATTAACTGAACTTTTTAACATAAAAAAAATTCCTAAATGAAATATCTTATTGGTGACAATAAATAATTAAATAAACAAGCAGTAGAGGAAGAAATAATTACCATATTACTGCGGAACTGATTGTCTAAGAAATGAGTAGCGACATGTGCAGGAAGTAGGTTGAATAAAATTTTCTTATTCGACAGCTGCAACGCATCCATATCATGTTTTTCGTCATTTGCCTGCAAAAAAAGATCATGATATTGAATCAGTCAGTAAGAAAATAATATGATTACATAAATTTAAGAAATATTATAAATCATAATATTAATTTGAATTTAGGAGTTCAACACCATATTTAGCTCTGTGTAAATTTATGTCGGATGAATAATAAAGGCTATGACCCATAAATATTCATGGTGGCAAGAACCACAGTGCCCAAGAGGAAGACCTAGATAATCATGAATGGATTATATCTCTAAGATCGGACAGAAAAGAGACATGCAACTTAAGGCTCTAGCCCAGGTCTGTGAAACTTTGGATTCATAGATCAAGACACTTTCGAACTGTAAGGTATAAAGGAGGAAGAGAATGAAAAAGGTTAAAGTATTATAATTATATACTATTATAATAATAATAATAATACTTATTATATAATAATAGTTTTATAATTACAAAATTTTATCTTTGTGTAGAGGTGATGTATTTCATTAAAATAATACCTGAATTTGCCACAAGAAGTCGAGTCTTGCAGTCCATTCTACATGTCTGCCGTGGATGGCAACTGCCAAAAGGAACATCACAATATAGAGAACACTAGTTATATGGGTTGGAACGGCACTCCTAAAAAAGAAAAAAAGGAAAAATTGTTAATAAACAAAGTTTAATGAATATCAATACATTGAGATTATTCATAAAATATGATCATTTATAAATGACAGAACTTACCCAAGTTTGCGATCATAACAGTTGAAGAGCTCCTTGTGTGATAGCTCAATCAACAGAATGTGTAAGAGTGACATGAGGAGGAGAAGGAAGACCTTGATGAGGGTCGACAACCGCAGAAAGATTGCTGCTGCCAAAGACGCTAGGCAACAAGAGATCGGGATGTAGTGGGGTAGTGGGCACGATCTGTGATCGGACCAAGAAACCATTGCTGGGCACTCAGCACGGCAGGTGAACTGTATCAAATTAAACAAAATCGGATCAATATTATTTTTTAAAATATTTTTATCCAAATAACACTATACTAAAAACATCGAAATTGAACATTTCTTTTACCTGAGTGGTATGAAACTGAACTGATAATTTATATTTCTTTTCTTCTTTTGTTAGGAAAATTTTTAATTTATTCAGAGGTTGGCAATAAAAACTTCCATGAATGCAAACAAATTTTGTATTAGTTACATTTTACTTATAGTTGCCGTTTCGGGATCTATTTTCCAATCATCAAAACTATCCTTGCAATTCATTTATATAAATTTTTAAAATAAAAGCATTAATATAAAACTAGTAGGCCCGTGTGAAAAATTCGCACATCATATTGTTATCAAATGCCAGATTAATAAGAAAATAAAATAATGCAACCTATCAAAAGATAAAGAAATCAAATGTTACTTTATTGATAAATATAATCGACAAAGAAAACCAAAATTAATTTAAATCTTCATTAATGTTTAGAACCAACATGTTTACAAATTTCAGTAATCTGTTTCTTTGCTAAAAATAGTCTGATTTCAATGATTTTTTTTTCCTTTTATAGGCAATTAAGTAATCTTTTATATAATCACGGGCATAACCAAGGGAAAAGTGTGTAATTTTTTAGTTATTCACAAATAAAGATTATTTTCTTTTATAACTTGTTTGCCTGAATTTTCTGGGTGATTGGACTATTTTGCCAGCCTGAAGAAGGAAGCCTTCAAAATTGGTATCTCATTCTTGAGATTTGGTGAAAAATTAACGATGATATGGCTTGCCGATCAAAAACACTATCGATAAATAATATAAACTCCTCCTATCTCGATGATAGACGTCAAGTCGACGAAATGAGACGTGTATTCAATGACAGTACTACAATTAATGTAAGGTTGTGTGGATGCGAACCCTATGCCTTGTGTTATCTCGAAAATAGTACGTTTTTGGGCTTAAAAACGCAGGATCCGATAATTCTAGAGGAACTCTCAGGGTCTTGCTGTACGCATCAAAATCTTCTAGATCCAATTTGTCCCGTATCGATCTACAGACCTACCACTGTTCAGGTATTGAAGCCTAGAAAAATGTTTGTATCGACTTTATTTATTTTAGAAAGAAAAACAAAAGTGGAGAATACGATTCGCTAACCCCCCGTGAAATTCTGAATCCAACGGTACCCCATTCATGGTATTTGAGCATGACAGGAGCTTATATTTGGTACAAAACCGATTTCGAGCCTTACTGTAATAATATATGTAAGGATAACTGTTGTTACAAGTTTGTTAATTTAAAAGTTGTTAATGAATTAATTAGCTATAATATTTAACCATGTGTGCTCTTCCGTCTTATTTTATACATTCTATCAAAGGTGTTATGCAGAGCCACTATATCACCTGATTAACAATTGTTATCTCTATGAACCATTAAGGGTTTGTCTTTGTACTTCATTATTTATTATAATTTAAGTATGTAAGTTTTTAATGGTAATTATTAGAATTGTTAATTTTATTGTGTTTTCATTCTGTCAAAGTAATGTGTGTTCCTAGATGTTTTGTATCTGTTTCGTAATTTACTGTTATACTGTTGTTTTTTGTAATATAGATGGCTCAAGTAGATTTATATTATAATTTTTTTGTTCTATGGCGATAATTTGTGGTTTGTTGAAATTGAATTTATGTTGCATTTTCATATTATGGTGTGCTAAAGCTGTGTTATTAGTGTTTTTTCAGTTAGAGGTGTGTTGGTTTAGTCTGGTATTAAGTTTTTTTTATGTTTCACCTTAGAAAAAAAAATTAACAATTCTAATAATTACCAATAAAAGCTAATATACCCATACTGAAAGAAAATAAATAATCTAGAACGAAGTACAAAGACAAACCCTTAGTGGCCAATACAGATACCCAATTGTTAATCAGGTGATATTATGGTGGCTCTGGAGAACACCTTTGATGGAATGTATAAAATAAGACGAAACAGCACAAACCGGAAATATTATAGCTAATAAATTAATTAACAAACTTGTAATAACAGTTATTTTATATTAATGCTTTAATTTTAGAAATTTATATAAATGAATTGCAAGGATAGTTCTGATGATGGGAAAAGGGGTCCCGAAACGTCAACTATAAGTAAAATGTAACCAATATAAATTTTTTTTATACAATCATCGAAGTTTTTATTGTCAACCTCTGAAAAATAATTTCTAATTTTAGTAAACACTATGAAAAAGTGGGGCAGCTATTAAGTCATTAGGCTGTTGTACTGAAATAGAATTTTTTAAATACTTGCCAGAACGTGGAGGAAGAAAAAAATACGCGATGAACAAAGTTTCATGTATGAACTTACATGAAGGTAAATTCTATTCATAGTTTTAAATTTCAAGAAATTCAATAAAGGAAGTTGCCAGTTCAATAAGAATGAACCTAAAACTAGTTTGAAAATGAAGTAATTGATTTTAAACATTGAAGAATTTAATATTTTCCTTCCATTGTATAACAATTGTAATGTTCTCGTTCCCTCCAAAATCAAACAACCAGTTTCTTTTTCACTATACCATTTATTTCTCACACATATATAAATTCCCAGGTTGGGTTCTGACAACTGAACACTAATTCAAAATTAAATAACTGTAAGCTACACTAATTTACTAATTATTAACTACACTAATTATACATATAAAATTTATAATTGTTTTCAAAACCATTGATTGTCCTGGTCTAAACTTTGTGGCTCTATCCCTCTGTCAATATAAATGGCATTGTTGGCACTCGCCCAAATGTTTACGCTTTTCAGTGAAATAAACTATTCTTATTTATGAATGTTCCATTTCGGTACCACTGAATTAATTCTTCCAACAAAAAGTAATCACCACTAGTGGCCTCTATCAACACTCGGACCGGCTAGGACTCCTTTTAGACTTGCTGGCTGGTCACCTTCTACCGTTACATGAGGCTTGCTTCCCCGACCATCAGCACTTCCTGTCAGTAGTTCGTGATGTTACCACCTTCGGGCCAATATTCAAATACCTATGTAATGTTGACATTACACAATATACATATTCTTCTTATTTAACATTCAATATACAAGTAGAAGTTCAATTTACAAAACTTATATTTCTTCTTCTTCAATGGACATTCTTCCCTTATATGGCCAGGTCAGGAACTAAAATGAAGAATTCAGTAGTCCTCCTCAGGCCCTCCAGGCTCCCGTGTAGTTTTCTTTCAACTTCAGTAGGAGAGGGATAGATCAGCCTCCTTCGCTAGGAATAGATCCTGCACATCTTCAGTCTGTGGATAACATCTCTGGGGTCATGATGTGGATGACTTCTGATCCAACATTGGTTTATATTAGCTTTGTAAATTGTTTTAACTTCTTCTAGGCTGAGTTTATAGTCGAACTTATGTTTAGTTAAAGATATTTGCGCTGTCATTAAATCATTTTAAAACTACGTTGGAGGTATTAGAAGAAAGAGGTTTATTAAGAACATAATCTGTGAATAAAAAAATAATAAATGAAATGATACTTACAACGTTGACCTGACCGACAGTGTATATTAGGACTATTGTGAAGACCGTTATGGCGAACCTGAGAACGTAACTCTGCGATATATCCCAAGCTATCCACCTCAATCTCACTGCCAACAAGAGCATGAGCACCACCTGCAACAAAATTAAATTTAAATTAAAATGCTTTAACAAAGGAAATAATAGCTTTGCTAAATATAAAGACTCTTTAGAAGTGGCAGTGTCTCTGGCATGTTTTAAGAGATAACAAGTTGAGAATAGTAGAGCCCTCTGTAATTTCAAATCGAGCGGACTTCCAGTAGAACAGAAGAGGAGAAATCATCCTGACAAGGCAACGGATCGGATACTGAAGACTAACACAAAATGACTAAGGGGGCGTTTGACTGTTTTGAATGCTGAATGTAGTCAACAACTGACTAACTGTAGATAGTAGAGTTGGCATTATTATGGGAGAGTAAATCTATACAAGATTGAAAAGTAGATAGTTGAACTTTATTATTCAATATCAACTTCATTACTATATAAATATCATTATTATATCAACATTATTTGGAGGGCAGCAGCAAGCTGATGGAAGATAATTTGATAAAGTAAATACGATTTTGCGTCCCTGTGCCGGAGGTGTTAAAATAGCTTTTAAACTACGGCGAAAATCCCCTGGCTTTACCTCCTGCCCCGGAATAACCCTGTATAGCCTAAAAGACAAGGAAGTGAAGGAAAAAAACAAAAAAATAAAAATAGTGTAAGAGAAAAAATGACACCTACGTGAATGAAAAGCCCCAATTAGAAATAAATAAATATCATGATAAAAATTATTTTTTCTATATTCACATTAAGACATGATAACGTTTTTGTACACATTAATTTATCAAAAAGTAAGTATAGAAAAATAATAAAGTATTTAAATTTTTTATAAAATTTGAAATGTTAATTTACATGTTTGTTTTATGATTTTTTTTTTCTCTTATATATTCTATATACATTGTTATGATTTTTCTAAGAAAATTTAAAATTTAAATTTCCTGACAATTAATATATGTTAGAGTTGAGGTAGTAGGGACAACCCAAACCTTGATGTCAGTTCTTCCCATACCTTCAACAAGGTCAGTTCTTCCACCATAACTTCGTATCGAAAATTGGACCATTGTTTATATTAACTTTGTTCCAGCTCTTGAGGTCTGCTACACTTCTTTAAATATTTTTCTCTACTTACGGGAGAGACCCTGTATAGTCAGTTGGCGCCCGACCATCATTTAGTCTACATCTTTTGTAGTCATAATAAGACTATGTCATATTATAACTAAAGTCCTCTCCTAAAAACAGGTAATATTCCTCTTATCCTGAACCACATTAAGAAATCAGCAGCATCAAGTATAAGAAGTCAACATGATTAGAGAAAACCAACCAGCTATACAATTTTAATTATATGAGAAGAAGTTGGCCAGGGGAGCGATCAAATTAAATACTATATACTACATAGTATTTAATTTAGCTGCACCCCCGCAAAACTTCTCAAATTATAATCACAGTCCACTATTTCCGTGTCAATTTTAATTATAAATATTTAATTTTTTTTTTGTAATTGTGTTTCTTATTAGATCTTAGATCATTTAAAGAGGTCGAATCTGTAAGGCTTTAGCTCAAAGATAATGTAAATTAAATTCTAGAAGAAAGTTAGTCGACTGTTCTACATATCATCAGTGACAAATAGTCAGGACGCAATCATTTTTAAGGTTTTTATTAGAGTCGATGTTTCAACCCAAGCATGCGGGTCATCATTAGGGCTGAAAATTTGTTTAATACAATCAGAGATATAAATATTATAAGACAGATAATTGTTAATTATGAAAAAATGGTGATGGACGATACATGAAATGGACAAATGAAATATGTAATATGTTATAAAATTATACAGTTAAATTTCACTTGTCTATTTCATGTATCATCTAGATGAAATAGACAAATGATCATTATCTATCTGACCATTATCTATCTTATAATATTATAAGATAGATAATGGTTAATAATGAAAAAATAGTGATGGATGATACATGAAATGGACAAATGAAATATGTAATATGTTATAAAATTATACAGTTATATTTCATTTGTCTATTTCATCATCATATATCACTGACTATATCAGTCTATATCATCCATCACTATTTTTTCAATATTAACCATTATCTATCTTATAATATTACATCTCCGATTGTATTAAACAATTATTCAGCAGTGATGATGACCAACATGCTTGGGTTGAAACGTTGGCACCAATAAAAACCTTAAAAATGACTGCATCCTGACTATTAATAAATTACCACTCTCACATATTTTCATTTAGGATTTTAATTAATATATAATTATCATATTTTGTTACATATTCGTGAAAATATAATTGCATATATATGTATATTGTTGGAGGTAAAATAACTCACTGAGATCCATATAAATGCAGTGAGGAAGAGCAGCAAGAGGATTATGGTACGGGGAAGAATGGCCGCCTGGAGTCCTCCAATGAGCAGGAGCAGGATGAGCGAGCAGGCGAGCGACGTCGAGTAGCCGCTGTCAGATTCAGCTTGGTACTGTTAACAATATCATATCTATGTAAATTAACAAATATATCAAACACTACATTTTATCATTTAGTTCAGATCTAACTTAAAGCAAATTAAACAATAACAATTATAAGATAAAAAAAAATTCAATCATAACAGCAATTGATAGATTATTCTGATGTTATCTGAGTACATCAAACTCATTAGTGGTTGAACAAATCGTTTGCGAATGTCAAGTTTTTACCTTTTGCACCACCAGAGTGCAGTACTTAAACAGCTGATACTTAACCCTGAAGACATTACCAAAGCAAATCCCAAGGATTAAATATGCTTGGTAAACATTCTTCAATTTCTATGTTATCTCTAATCGACAATTATTATTATAAAATATAACTTTTAAATCTCTTAACATAATAAGTAGGGAATTTATATAATTAAAATTTTAAAAAAATTAAGAAGACAAATTAATAAAAACAAACCAAAAACTATTTATTTATTTGGCTAATATTGATCCAATTAAAATTTAATTTTTTTTATCTTCTAATATTGACTTACAAAGGGAGTCAACAGTCAGTGGGTCATTGATTTCAAACAAATTTTTTTCGGTGATACTAGATCCAAAAATATTGCACACATCCCGGTGTTCGTTCAAACTTTATTCATTTATTTTTGCCCTAATTTTTATGTTACTATATATATATATATATATATATATATATATATATATATATATATATATACATATATATATCAATTGATTTATTTTTTTGTACAAATAAGAAAGAAATATTGACTACCGTATTAATTCCAGAAAAATTAGACCAAGTCAATTTTTCTTATGAAAAAGAAAGTTAAGATTCGTTTTTAGTGTTCCTTGAAACTGTTAAATAAGAAATTTTTAAAAAATAAAAAAATGCAAAATTTAATACTTGATTTTCTTAAAGATTTTTTTTTTCTGACTGTAAACGCTTTCATAACTATACAAAAATATTGGACTTTTTCCGACCGCTAAAGCGTTCATAACTTTTCAGGATTTTCTTTAAATTCAACTTTAGTACAACCACTAAAAAGCTGAATTAATTACAGCTCTTCCAAACCACATCAATAAGTTTAGTTAGTTTAGTTTAATTCCTTTTAAAGCTAGAAATAAAGAAAATTTATTGCTTTGGATCTAATTTGTTTACCGTTGCGTTTACTATTTCATGTAACACATAGAGCCTTAAGCCTCTGATACAAAAAATTTGATTGAAAATGGCAACCCATTGACTGTGATCACCCCTTGTTAGTGTAACTATTTTCAGTAATTATTCAATCTATTAAATTAATTTTAAAAATTACAATATATTGTAATATACACCTTTATTGGAAGTTGGTAAAAATGTTTAAAAAAATTAATGGTGAACAGTTAAAATTCAAGGTAATCTAGTTCTGCTAAAGTCAGGGGATATTTAAATTTGAAAAATAGTTTCACTAGTTCAGGGAAAAGAAAATTACTGCTTTTTAGTTTCTCCAAAGAGGAGAGGGACAAAGGATTTTTGTTTTGACAAGCAGTTATTGTTTGGCAGGGTCTCTAGTTGTTTAGAAATACAAGAGAGAGGATCTCACAGGGAGCTTGTGTTGAGTAGAAGAAAGTATTACCATTTTGTAAGATGAGTTTGGCAGAACATAGGAAAATGTTAGAAGACAAATAAATGAATTAAGTGCCACAAAGGAAGAAACAGTGTATATAAAAAAAAAGTTAGCTTGACAATTCATACTTGACATTATTTTAAAATCAAACAGTATTTAGAGTAGTTAATGTTAGTCTGTCTGAGTCTTTTGATCTGATTGTCAGTAACCCATACCTGAGATAAAATAATTATAAATTTCAATTTCACATATTAATACTCTTATAATTTTGTTGAGTTTGTTTCACAACCTCTTATTTTTTTGGAAGTATCCCAGAATGAAGTGATCTTCCGAGGTTATATTATTAGTTAAAATATAGACACTGAACTCACCTGCCGCTCCTTGTTACTGTCCCTGAACGCTAAGCTGACGAGGTGAACATGCTGCGACTTCTCCCTGTCGACCGACCTGGCCTCTATTGCCTGAGCGAGGTACTTGTTCACCCTGTTCTGAGGCTGGTGGTACACTGATGAATGTCTCTTCTTAAAAGGCCTCTTGAACTTATCCGTCACTTTGTTCTGAAAATAGAAAATTTGATTTCTTAATTAGTTTAATATGAAAGAATACAGGTTAAAAATATATAGTTTGAATAGCAATTATAACTGAAATAAAGTTTTTAGCTGTTTTGAAAGAGATTTAGCAAATTGTAACTAATATAATTGAAATTTCGTGACACAAAACTTTGCTGGTTAATGAAGTGATCAAAAACTTTATTTTGAGATAGGCATAAGTCCCATTGTGAGAATTTCAAATGGATATGGAATATATTAGGAATTGAATTTTCATGAGATCACATGTTTAATGTTTAAAGTAGTAGTTGGATTATCAATGTGCATAGAAATTGTTATAAACAATTTCATTTCAAATTTCACTTTCAAACCACAAACAGATTCACATATATCACTAGATATGCCTTAATAATTTACAGCAGTTTGTTAATAATGAATAAAATAAAAATAAAAAAACTTAATAAGAATATATAATATATTAAAACGTCTGAATAGAAAACTGAACAACGTTTGTCTATAGAAAGAAGCACATTGATCTCGTGAAGTCTGTTATTGAAAACCGAAGTGATAAACAATGTTGTTTCTTGTTTTGTTTTGTTTTATATGATTTATTACATTACAAACCATCTACACACCATAGTTATTTTAACAAACTGAATGAAAATCAATAAAATAATGTTAATTTTAATGTCAAAATTATTTAACAAAGAATTAAAGTATAATGAAGAGAAGAATAGTTGGGGTGATCAGCCAGAAATAAGAAGGCAAAAATAAATGATAATATTTATTTTTACATATGCCGACGTTTTTACCTGAAGTTCAGGCCTTCATCAGGGCTAAGAAAATAAGGTATGACATAACAAAGTATGAGTATGATAACAAATAAAGTATGAGATAACAAGGTATGAGAAACATAAGTAGTGATGGTAAAGAAAAAAATAAATAAAGAAAAAAAATAAATAAATAAAGTAAAATGAAGTTGCTAGAATAATGACAACAGTAAGAACTAAGAGATAAATAACAATAACCGTTACAAAGTGTGGAATGATGAAGTAAGTATAATCAAAAAGGGTGACATAAGTGTTAAAATGGGAATCTTAGAATAAAATGTAAAACATAAAAAAGAAATATGAAGTTATATAAGAAATGAAAATAAATAGTAAAATTAAGACATTGAGAATGGAGTAACTACTCCTCTAACTACTCCATTCTCAATGTCTTAATTTTACTATTTATTTTCATTTCTTATATAACTTCATATTTCTTTTTTATGTTTTACATTTTATTCTAAGATTCCCATTTTAACACTTATGTCACCCTTTTTGATTATGCTTACTTCATCATTCCACACTTTGTAACGGTTATTATTATTTATCTCTTAGTTCTTACTATTGTCATTATTCTAACAACTTCATTTTACTTTATTTATTTATTTATTTTTTTACCATCACTACTTATGTTTCTCATACCTTGTTATCTGGTTATTTTCTTAGCCCTGATGAAGGCCTGAACTTCAGGTCGAAACGTCGGCATATGTAAAAATAAATATTATCATTTATTTTTGCCTTCTTTTCTGACTGATCACCCCAACTATTCTTCTCTTCATTATCCACGACAATGAACCATTTACCAATTATGAATTAAAGTATAAATTTTTTAAAAGTTTATAATATAAACATGTACAAATATTTATTTTTTTATAAAATAAAATTCACCTTTCCTTGGGACTTGTGCTTTCTAAAGAACTGAAAACATCATTTCATTGATCAATATCTCGATTTGAACTTAAGTTGACTTCACTAATTTCAAAATAAATGATTTAATTAATCGAAGAGTTTCATAAATCCATAAATATTATATTGGACAAGATGTGGAAGACCAAGTTCTCATAAAATGTAATAATGAGCCGTTAGAAAAGGTAGATAACTACCAGTACTTGGATACGATTTTCAGCAGAGACGGAAGGATCGACCAGGAGGTTTTAAATAGATAGATGAATAGGGCAATGGTGTGTTTTATTCTATCTGCACTGCAATATTAGGGAATAGGAGGTAAAGAAGAAAACAAAAATAGCTTTGTTAAAAACAGTATTTTTGTTTGTTCTTTTGTATGGTGCAGAGAGTTGTACAGTCCTGGACAAACATGCAAGTAACGGCCATAGAAATGAAATACCTCAAGTAATACCTGAAATATGAAGAGACCGCTGAAGGAACGAGAGGAACTGAATATAAGGCCTGTAAAACAAGTCATGGAGGAGCGCCAACTGAAGTGGTTTGGCCATTTGAACAAGATAGGTGATAACCGAAAGGCAAAGCGGTTCCTAGAAGCAAAACCAAATGGAAGGGGATCTTAGAGGCAGGCCAAGGCTGTTGCATTGTGGAGAGACTTGTAAATAACCTTGTCCGGGGGCAATTGTAAACAGCCTTCCGTTTTGTCGGGGGTCTAGGTTATTTACACTCGTGAATATAATTTTCTTAAAATAAAACCCCGGTAGTGGATATAGATTTTTTGAGAGTGTTTCGTGTTGTTGGAAATTCCGGGAACCTAATGCTTTTGTGACACTGAGTGACAAGAAATAATAAGAATATATATTGTAATGTACACCTTTATCGGGAGTTAGTAAAAATGATTTAATAAATTAATGTTGAACAATTAAAAGGCAAGCTAATCTAGTTCTACTAGTGCAGGAAAAAGAAAATGGCTACTCTGTAATTTCCCAAGATGGAAAATTCCAAAGAGGAGAGGGACAAAGGTTTTGTTTTGGCAAACAGTTGTTGTGTGGCTGCAGTAAAGAGAGGATGGGAGAAGTGATCCTGGCTGCAGTGGGAAAAACTCAGTAATAGTGTTTGAAGACAAATGAATTCAGTGCAACAAAGAAAGAAACATATAATATAGAAAAAGGTTAGCTTGCCAATCTATATTTGACTTTATTTTAAAATCAATGTTTAATTTTAGTATAAATAGTGTAAATAATAATAGTTTGTCTGAGTTGATCTGATTGTCAGTAACCCACACGTGAGTTAAATAAATATATTAATTCTCTTATAATTTTGTTTATTATTTAATAACCTCTTATTTGTTTAGGAAGTATCCCAATGGTATAAAGTGATCTTTTGAGGTTATATTATTATGATTTGTCAAATATAAGAGAGATGTTACAATATATATATGAAATGTGGGACTGAGTAAATACACTTTGAATGAATTGACTCAACTGGTTTGTTATTCTTCAATTGTGAGGCCTATAGGACAACTAAATAAAAGGACTATTCACTTCTGTATAACAAAATAATTTATTCCCACAGCTGTAATGATTTGATCATCTTAATCTTCAACGGAATGGACTTCTCGTTTATCGATATGATACTTTTCAGTAAACAACTTGTCCACTGCATAATTGAGTACAATTCATAGTGCAACCCTACATTCCTTCTCATTCCCTCACTCAATGTTACATTAAGGAGTAAATACTAGAGGCCATCTACTACATACTCGGGCGAGGCAGAGGTAGCACCATGGTGGATATGAGAAGGAGGATCAGTGGACGAGATCGGCCCAGGCTATTCCTCCACGCTGGACTTATACCACTTTCAAAATAAACGACTCAATTAATCGACGAGTTTCATATGTTCATATATATAAAATTTTAGTCTTGAACTCCATAAAAACAGGATTATTACCATTACTAAAATGTAGAACTAATAATGAAATTATAAAATGACTCAACCTTAGGACTACTGATGTTCCTAATTGTGAAATCGGCTGGGTTAAATGGTCTTGATCCAGGCTCGGCGTGAAGGGCTCTCTGTAGATCCAGGACCTGGAAAATAAAAAATACTATCAGAATTGAAAAACTCGAAAATATCTAATAATTAATAAAGAAACTTGTATGCCAAAGAGGTATTAATGCTTCTCTAAATTAAAAAAAAAAAAATCAAATCAATGACCTGGTTTTCACTATACATCGTGATGAAATCAAAACGATATAGAATTAAACAGGGCCAACTTTCTATACGTAATTAATATGATACTGTGGCATTCATTGAGCCTTGTATTTTTTAAATAAAAACTTCTTTAGTGCGCGTTTTGCACTTTTTTGAGGAGAGTGAATTAGACTGAGCCGTCAGATTTCCGATGTGTAACGTCGGTTGGAGTCGACTAATTAAAGTGTTTTTCCATATGGATTAAAATATCTCAAAAACTAAAAATCGGATATGCATATTAACGAGAGAAATGTTTATCATTACATCCTCTCTGTAATGGGTTATTATTCAAAATTTTATCTTAACGCTGTGTTAGAGAGGCGAAAAGAGAAATTATAGCATCAAAGACAAAATGATAATGAGTTTTATTGAAGATATGGATTAAAATATCTCAGAAACTAAAAATCGGACCTGCGTAAGGGAGGATAATGTTCAAAATTTCATCCTCTTTATAATGAGCTATTATTTATATTTCATATTATTAATTTCATCTTGATGTTTTCACTTCTATCGTGTGGTCTAAAGAACACAATTTAGTTTTTTTTTAAAGTTTAAATTTCAAAATTAGAAAGATGTTAATGTTGTCAAATGAAATTTCTCTATTGTCAGGATATAAAGCAATTGATAATACTAAACTTTTCTTTTACTCTCAGCGATTTTCATTCCTAACAATAAAAAGAAAATTACTATAGTCCATTGTACATATATCATTTATCAAAATATTAACATCTAACATTTTTTATAACAATTTAACATTATAATTTTTGAAATATGACTTTTTGTTCAATATATTTAAATTATATTTGATATACAGAGGCTCAACTCTAACCACCATCACATTTAGTTAAAAGAAGTGAAACATATTAAAAATATATAAATTAATTAAAAATATGAGTTAAGAAAAAATATTAATGAACTACTCAACTGAATACTTTTATTATCATTATGCCTAAAACAATTAAGTATAAATGTAATTAATTTTATAATTAACACTACATGTTAGTTTTAGCGTATGTTCCCTTGATTTTTCATGCAAAGCAAAATTCGTTTGGAACGGGGCTTCTCAAACTTTTGCTACTTAGCAATCATTACATTATTAAAAAAAAAAAAAATAATCTTGACTCAAGCTAAACTGATACAGTTATTTATTCTTTATTATTATTTTGCAATATATTTACAACTGTGTTTACACAGTTTTATAATTATGACGAGAATTAAGTTTTTAGCTTGAGAGAATCAGGCTTTGGATTTTGAATTTTTTAAAAATAATCTTAAAATAAAAATTATTGAAAGAAGTTAGTCAGCAGTTCTGCATATAATGCGTGATAAATATTCAGGACGCAGTCATTATAAAGTTTTCATTGGTCTATTTCGTGTATCATTAATCATTATTTCTTTTTATTACTAACCATTATCTGTCGTATATTATATTTCTGATTGCATTAAAAAATTTTCAGTCCTGATGATGAACCACATATTTGGGTTGGAACGTCGGCACCAATAAAAACTTTATAATGATTGCGTCCTGAATATTTATCTCCCATTAAAATAAAAATATTTATTAAATTATTGAAGTAAGTTAATTGACTGTTTTACGTATCATGGTGATAAATAGTCAGTATGCCGTCATTTTAAAGGTTTTTATTGTTGCCGATGTTTCAACCCAAGCATGTAGTTTATCATCAGAGCATGTTTCAAGAACTGAAGGTGTTTGAGTACTTGAACACCTTCAGTGCTTGAAACTTCATGCCCTGATGATGGCCCACATGTTCGAGTTGAAACATCGGCAACAATAAAAATCTTAAAAATGACTGTGTCCTGACTATTTATCATCAATGAAAAATATTTTTTGCAGACCACATTACTATCAATTAATACAACAAATGAATTTTCAATAGTAAAAAGTGAGTTTATTAATAATTTTTTAAAAGTTACTTAATATAAAATTTGAGAAGCCCAGCTCTGAAGAATTCATTTATATTAAATTGAAAAAAAAAAGAAAGAAGTTTATTTAAATATTAGTATGGTTTTAGTCAGGAAGAGTAACAGCGATGATAGCTCAAATTAGAAAGTAAAAAATAATTAGATTTTAATAATACTAAGAAAATAATGAATTGCTTTGTTAGAATTTCCCAAAATAAAAAAAAAAAATATTCATCAACTTACTTCTAGAATAATCTTGACGATAAATAATAATTTATTAAGAAAAAGTTTTAAAGAAATACTTTACAGGTGTGAGTAGTCTTCGCTGTTGACACTTACCGGATCCTAAAGAAGCAAATAATAAATCGTAAACCATGCAGTTCAAGCAAAATCAAACAAATAAATGAAATAAAAATAAAACATAAATAAATAAAAAAATCATTAAGACCTGATTGCTAGTAGTTTCAGTTATTTATAACCAAAAAGAATGAAAAGTGACGAGGAGTGACAAGACTTTAAGCGGACCCTACACGGTCAGTTGAAATGGAATTCTGAGGCACTACTGACATTCTGATTGATCGTATAAGCTTGATATTGAAGTACTGATGGACGTGACAGGTTTTAGGAAATCAAAGGTTCAATCACGAGAAATGGAGGAGAGACTGAGGTAAGACTTAGGGGAGACTAACCTTACTACTAAGTAGGTTAGTTTACCTCGGCCTTATAACTACTCTATATTCCTAATTTTCATTTAAAATAAATAGTTTTTCATATCCATAGTTTATATTTTTATAAACGATCTTCAACTAATTTTTTAAATGTTGTGTATATTTGTCAGTTCTCTTTCTTTTTTTCTCAACAACTTTATTATTTTTCCTTCATTTTTGTAAATATTAGACCTATATTTTTCTAACTATTATCAAAACAATTTTCAGGCATTAGGAAGTAATTATTATATCGCTACTTTTCTCTTGATGTCCAACGACAAAGGCCAAATAGTCTTGTTTAATGAAACACATTATTATTAATGGACAATTTATCAGACTCACATTGCCTGTAATCTCAACATCAACTGAGCTTAAATGGCGTCAATCTGAGTGATACTTGTAAAGCTGACATTATACGATCAGTCTTGAATGAAAGTCACAAGAATGAAAAAGATTGCTCCAATCATGATGAACCTTACACGTTCAATCATTATTGACCATTTTAGCTCAGTTGACATAGAGATAACAGTCAGCATGGATTCGGTGCATTGTCCACTTATAATAATGTTTTAATTTAAAAAGCTTATTTGGACATTATCCTTTATAACATTGGATATCAAGAGAAAAATCGAGTTATAATCATTACTTCCTAGTGCCTGAAAATCGTTTTGATAAAAGTTAGAGAAATATAATTCAACTACTTATGAAAATTAAGGAAAAGTATTGCGAAAATAATAAATTTGTTGAGAAATATGGAAAAAATTACTGACAAATATATACAACAGATAAGGATTAACGTTTTAAGTAAATTGTGAAGTTCTCACGTTTTTTTTAATTTACTGCCCACTTGACTATTTAAAAAACAATAGTTGAAAATGGTTTATAAAAATATAAACTAGGGATATGAAAAAATGTTTACTTCTTATGAAAATCAGGAATTTACAATGGTTGTAAGGCTTAGGTAAACTAACTTATGTAGTAGTAAGGTTAGTCTTCTCACCATTTTTACCTCAGTCTCCCCTCCACTTCTTGTGATTGAACCTTTGTTTTCCAGATTTTCAGAAATCTGCCAGACACGTCCATCTGTACTTTAATCAGTTCCTTATATGATCAATCGGAACGTCAATAGTGCCTAGGAATGCAATTCCGAATGACCGTGTAGGATCCGCTTTAAGGCTGGTAGTTAAGAAAGTTCCTTGGAACCACCTTAATAAGGGTTAACTCCAAATAATGTTACAAACTTTGGGATATTATTTATGCCAATTTATCCTTTGTTAGGATAGCCACAGTTACATTACTTAAGTAATTCTATTCAATTAATTATAAAGGTCACCTTAATGTTAAGGTTGGCCGTCTTCCTTTTACTTTCTTTTGTTGTTAACGTACTCATAAATATGCCTTCCTTTGTTTTACCTTGAAATAATTAGATCTCAATTGCTGGTGAAATTTTAGTTTCTAGGAACATGATGAGAAATAACAGATGCAGGATTTGAAATATTCAGGCCCTTGAATCAACAAAAGCGGGTATATCAATGGAGGGTTTCGTAAAGACTAGGAGCAGCTGGAAGAATGCTCCTTTCAATCCAACAAGTTTCCTCAACAGAAGAAAAGTAATGAAGAAAACTATGTTATTCATCGACAGATCAACGTCCTTGCCCATTCTTTCTTATTCCTCGGAATCATAGAGCCTTACATCTAAACACAAGGAGCAGATCCAGACAATGGAAATAAGGTACCTGACAAAAGTTAAAGTCTAGAAGAGACAGGATCAAAACAATACTATAAGGTCAAACCTCGAGGTACATACAATAGGAACCACTGTAGAAGAGAATAAACTAAGATGGTTTGGGCACCTCCTAAGGATGAGCATGGACAAGAGTGGATGCAAAAAGACCAAGAGGAGGACCACAGATCATCTGGAGGAAGGTGGACCAAACTAATTTGATGACTCTGATACTGCTATTTTTTAAAACACAAGATACATCGTCATCCGTTTTACGTTAAATATTTAGCCACTTTAATTTAAATTTTTGTATACAAAGCAATGAATTTTAAACTTCAAATGAGGTTTATCTACAATTTAAAATGGTTAGCTATACTTGTAGCTAAGGACTTCCCTTTGTTAAATAAAACTCTCAGTAGCTCCTAGTCTACGATCATTCATCGAAATCTAAAAACCAAAATTGGGATAGATTTGTGCAATCTTTTATCGTGAATTATCTCTGTTATATTATGTTGGAATGTCCCAAATCATATCTTAATGTCCAAATCAAAATCTTTAAAACAAAACTTCCCTCAATCCACTAATTCACAACTTTCCGAATTTTTATATCATCTAAATTTTTCAACCACTTTAATTAAAGTTGTAAAAATTTAAGAATCCCAATTGAATTCCTTATTTCTACATCAAATTCTTTATCCTTTGATACTCGTTTGCCAAAATCCATTGCTCTGGAGACCTTGAAAAGGTTTTTAAACCGAGTGTTTCAGAGTTAAGTGGTCAAACTGAAAAATGAACGAAGGACCTCAAAACAAGAAAAAAATGTTATCTGAAGGTATGTCCGCAAACGCTTTGTTTAGGAGATATTCACACCTAAAGATTTTCGTTGTTATGAATTATTTACGTTATATAAAATAAATAAAACCTATTTATTTGTTTCAACTACTTAGTAATTAAATGTAAACATTAACATTTGTATTAAATGTTGTTCAAAGTTATTTCCTTGAGCATTAAGACAGGCTCGGCATCTTTTCTCAATGGCAGAACGGCACTGGATATGTGTTATTGTTTCACAAGATTCAATTATCCTTCTTCTAATGAATTAAGGTCATTGACCGGACATGCATAGACTTTGTTTAATGTCATCACAAACAAAGAAATCCAGTGGTGTCAGGTCTGGAGAGCGTGCAGGCTAAACCACTGGTCCTGCACGGCTAATCCATTGATTGGGATATGGGATATGATTGAGCAAGTCCGGTCAATGACTTTAATTACTAACTAAGAAGGATAATTCAATCTTGTTAAACATTTACACATATCCAGTGCCGTTCTGCCGTTGAGAAAAGATGACGATCCTGTAATCCTGTCTTAATGCTCAAGGAAATCACTCAACAATATTTAATATGAATGTTAATGTTTACATTTAATAAAGTAGTTAGAACAAATAAATGGATTTATTTATTTCATATAACATAAATAATTCATAACAACGAAAATCTTTAGGTGTGAATATCTTCTAAACAAAGCGTTTGCGGACATATCTTTATAACTTCAAAGAAAATTTTTTTCTTGCTTTGAGATCCTTAGTTCATTTCTGCAGTTTGGCCACTTAAGCCTGAAACACCCTGTATAATGATACAAAATAAGAGAATTGACCAAGTGCTTGCTTTTGAATCCTTGTTTAAAGAAATTGTGAGCTGAAAGAGGCTTATTTTGAATTTCTGCAATGTTCAGTTAAGGAAAAAACATTGAAGGGCTACCAATTTTTTTTTTTTTTAACTTCAATGCAGTATTCAAACTGATCAGGAGCCTCAAAACAACAAACAATATAATATTCACACAATCAATCTATCCAAAATTGCATGCCTCTAAAAGGAATAACTAAAAACATAATCTACATAATAAAAAATTAACATAGACCAAAACAGAACAAGTGACAACCAAATTAATGACATTTCAGAGTAATGAAATAATAAGCAACAAAAAACATCTATCACAAATATAACACGTTACACTGAAAAAACATTATTAGAACATAGAGAACAAATTGAACAATCAAAATCCAGCAAAAGCTTCCCATGCACAAAATTTCAGCCATTCTATTCACTCGGCTAATAAATATATACATAAATATAAGGATGTGCCATGTGTGCACGCATATATGCGTGTGCATGTGTAGATTATTAATAAATATCTGTGGCTTAATACTAAAAAGGGCTAATATTAAAAAAAAAAAAGCCCACCATGAGTTATCTAGAAAATAAAATGGTGACTTGTGAACCATTGGATAGGAATAAATTAATAGAAACATGTAAAGCCTCAAGTTAAAGGTTGATTTGCAATGCAAAGGAAGTAGTCCGTGGTACAGACCTCTTTTTATTAAATTATGAACATCCGCCTGAAACTTAGTAAATAGCTTCATCTCATCGTAACCTACAAATATTATATTTACGAAAATTCTTGGAATTGGGGCGTTTTTAATCTGCAAGCTTTGTCTATTTAATTAGGTACTAAAAACTCATAAATACCCATTTGCTTTCCATCTGGATTGTAAGATAATTTGAGTCGATAAAAAAGGTGGCCTTCAAAAATATTGAGACATTTGGCATGACCTACAACCCAAATTTTCAAAATAACGAGATTTTATAGGCCAAACGGCCTTTGTATATTTGTAGGCCCCCTTTTTTATCAATGATCAAATTATTTTAAGATCAAAGCAGAGAACAAATGAGTTTTCTGGCCTGTTTTAACTGAGTTTAGGACGACGCACAATAGGCCTTTTTGAGGCCCTGGTGCAATCCCCCCCTAAGTCGGAGAAAAAAAAGAAGAAAAAATCAATATTTATGAGATTTTAGTACCTAATTAAACAGACAAGGTTTCCTCCTCCAGTATTTGAAAACAACCCAATTCCAAGTGGTTTCGTAAATAAAATAGTTGTATGTTAAAATGAGATGAAAGTATTTATGAAGTTTGTTTATGAAGGATGTTAATAATTCGATAAAAAGGGGTCTGTACCACGGACTAAAGAGTGTAGATAGAGTTGGAAGTTTTAAATTTTTCAATACTTCTGACTGAAACTAGGCTCATAGATCTCATTAGTACCAAGCCACAGATATAAACAAGAATATATAATATGACTAATAGTATAAAAAGTTAAATATATTTATATCGGTTACCTTAGAAGAAAATAAAAAATATATACATTCATATATAACTATATCTATAAATATTAGGCCAATAGAATCAAAACCAGCTAAATACAATATTTAAAATTTGTCAAAATTGTAACATTATAAATTCATGTACAGTAGAATTCCGATAATTCCTGTTGTAGAGGGACAAAGAATTAAATACAAAATATCAAGATATACGAAATTTCCTATTGTTGGCAGTAAAAATAAAAAATATGAAATAACAAAAATTGATCACTATACTGTCGCAGTCATAGAAATGGCATCATCTATTTCTTTTCATTCATATGCTGATAACTCATTGATTCCATAAATTGTTTTTGTTTACTTATTAAGGTTACAAGCTTATCTCCTGTAAGCTCAGTTATTTCATCGCTTATTTTTGTTCCATTAGTGTGATTTTTGTCAAATTATATTACATTGTGAGAATTGCCATCTTCAGAAGAAGAGGCTATCAAATATTTTCAACCGGGATAATTGCAAAGGTGAAATATTGTGATGAAGGTCATGGAATGAAGTTTGGCGGGAAGAAGAAATGGAGATGCTTTTGTAATCCTTGTAACAAAAACGTTTCTATAAGGAAAGGTACGTGGTTAGAGGGATCAAAATTTTTTTTTTTAACTGCTTTAAAATTAATTTTTGGGTGGTCCCATAATTTAACAACGATACAGTGGGGCAAAGAGCAGCTGAAACTATCCAAACCAACTATGCTAACGTGGAACAAATTTTTAAGAGAGGTTTGTGCCCATAACATGTTATACAGGATAAAGCAAAAAATTTTGAAGGCCTGGCAAAGTCGTTGAAGTAGACAAGGGTCTTTTTTCTAAAAGGAAAAATCATGTAGGAAGAGTTGTACCTAAGCAATGGATATTTGGTGGAGTTTGCCGAGAAACAGATGAGTGCTTTATCGTCACTATTTTTATCTTATGTTGTAAAATAAAAGTATTTAATCAAACTATTTTGTTATTATTACACTTGTTTTCGTCTATTTAATATATATTTGTTGTAAAATAAAAGTATTTTTTTATTATAACATTTATTTTTATTTTTGTTTACAATTTCAATAATATGAATATAATACAATAAATATGTCTATGAAGATAGGAATTATCAGTGCCTTATCAGAACTATCAATGTTAAGGTTATAAACATTGGCAGATAGCAGTCAGTCCCAGCCGGCTATTTAAGGAGTACCCAAGAAAACTTAAACAATGTTTCTCAGTTCAGTTTTAACTAATTCTATGATAAAAGCTATAATTATGACGTATCAAAAACCGCTCTAGTCATAAAACTATTAAAAATGTGACGTTACATGAAGTAAAGGAATTTTCACAGAAAATAGTAACGAGTGTTTCAGCTGCTCTTTGCCCCACTGTATCGTTGTTAAATTATGGGACGTCCCATAAATTAATTTTCAAGCAGTTAATAACGAAATCCTTGACCCCTCTAACCACGTTCCTTTCCTTATAGAAACGTTTTTGTTACAAGTGGTACGAAACCATCTCCATTTCGTCTTCCTGTCTAACTTCATTTGATGACCTTCTTCACACAATTTCACGTTTGGAATTATCCCAGCGTTTTGAAAATATTTAATAGCCTCTTCCTCTGAAGACGGCAATTCCCAGAATGTAATAACATCCATAATTTGAAGAAAATCAGATAAATAGGACAAAAATAAACAATGGAATAACTCACAGCTTACACAAGGAACAAAAATAAACAATGGAATAACTCACACGAGATGAAGGGAGGTTATGTGATGTAACATTAGATAACAAGGGAGGTTTCGTCCCAACCGGCTATCAGATAAGTACCAAACATTATTTATACAGTGACAAACTAACATACATTGAAACTTATAGACAGTTGTTCTTGAAAAATTGCGTTACTATCTGAAATGATTGCACATAATTCTGGTGCTGCCATATTTTAGGAAACAACGAGCACTTATTGAAGGTCTTAATATATAAATCTATAAATATTTCTCTAACTTTATAGTAATGTCCTAGAAATATTATTGTTCTTTAAAGTAATGATTTACCTTCCTCGCTGTGGATGCCTTGTGCTCGGCAGGCGTAGCGATGTTCGAGAAGGGAACCTCCATCGAGTACTTGATCGAGTGAAGAAGCTGGACTACGACACTGGACACGTTCTTAAAGCTCAGCTTCCTCCTCTGATGGTTTCCGAGAGCTGACCTCACCTGTAGTGTGTTGAATAGAAGAGGCTGAAAGAGTATTTTAAATTAAATACAAAAAAACAAACACTTAGTTATTTCTGAATCAGATTGCACTCCGGTGAAATTACTTCCAGCAGGAGAAAAACGGAGGAAGTTCTGTAGGAAATCCTAACGACTGTCATGAAAGCATTTGAAGACTGGCAAGTTTTAGTAAAATAAAAGACAGACGTTACTCGAAGGAACTAATCACAGGACAAGATGAAATCTACTAACATGCTTAAGATTCAACAATTTAAAGTAGACGATCAGTACCGGACCACTGACTAATCTTGAATAAAGACAGATTAAATGCGAGTGCACCTAAACAGAATAACTACGACTACTTCACAAGAGAAGATAAGAGTTTCTAAATTACCTTTCTTCGCCTGACAGGCGGGACAATGAAGTAAGTGGTGACACCATGATCTCGTAGATATTGATTTCTCGTACCTCCATGGCCAGCCTCGACTTCGTATTCCCCTCCAAGGAAGTCGAGAGTTGATTGAGTAATATGGACTCGTCTGACAACAAGAAAATTCGAAATTTAATACATGACTTATATTGACTAATATCTAATAATCAATTTAACTTAAAAGTATCATAACTTGGAGCTTCCTGAACACTAGAGTGTAACTTAGACATAGACAAAAAAAGTAGAGGAGACATGCTGCTACCTACAGTAGGTATTGTGAATTATATCTTTATTTTCATAAATGACTTAGCCTTATATCGCCATCTTTAAAATAAAACCATAATGTTGATTTGGAAGGAGATTGCCACATTACGAACAAGTGAAATTTTACTCTAGAAGTGTTTAAAGTTTGCACGTTCAGATGTATCACTATCACTGTCCCTGATTCATTTTAAAAGGTCAAATCAGAAGATTTTCTTAATCAATAACGTTCTCTTTTTTAATAAAATAAGCATTAAGCTAGAAAAGAGGCATAAGGTGATTATGGTATAAATGGAAAAATCCGAAATAAAAAGTCATAAGTGTCCAACATAAAGGGAAACACATTGTAATATACACCTTTATTGAAAGTGGGTAAAAATGATTTAATAAATTAATGTTGAGCAATTAAAAGGCAAGCTAATCTAGTTCTACTAGTGCGGGGAAAAGAAAATGGCTACTCTGTAATTTCCCAAGAAGGAAAATCCCAAAGAGGAGAGGGACAAAGATTTTTGTATTAGCAAGCAGTTGTTGTGTGACTGCAGTGGAGAGGTTAAGAGAAGATATCCTATCCTGGCTCCAGTGGGTAAAACCCAGTAATAGTTTACCATCTTAGAAAATCTTGTTTGGCAGGGAGAATAGTTGTTTGGAATTGCAAGAGAGGGGATTTCCCAGTGAGTTTGAGGAGTAGAAGAAGTTACTCGGGCTGAAGCCCCCCAAAATGGTAAAATGTAACCATGTTTTACAGAAAAAAATATCTCTTAAAGTATTCTTGTTCGTGTAATTATATTTAATAGGACTTTAAGAACCACTTAAACACCATTTCATATAGGTAATTAATTTCTTTATTTTTTTTCAATTTAATTATCGTTATATGTATATGAAAAAAAATCTTTCGAGCTGAAGCCCCCCCCAAAATTAAATCCTGGATCCGCTAGTGACACCTGTACCTGTATTTTGGTGGGTACAAGTAAGTATCGCTCGACTTGGTTCAAATGACCTCAAATTAAAGTACATTAAATGTGGATGAAGAGTAAATGGGTGGTTGAATGAATCATTTTTCTAAAAATATATATAACATTTATATCTTCCAAAGTAAATAATTAAAAAAAAAAATTAAAATGTCCAATAGAACAATGCTTACCCTGGTTCACCACCAGCTTCCATGTTGTTTGCCAGAGTAACATCGTTCGACCAAACATCATATTGCCACTTCCGCAGTCCTAAGACTCCACAGAGCACACGCCCTGAGTGTATTCCAACCCTCATGTTGAGCTGAACGTCGGTAGCCTCAACCACAGACCTATAATAAATATATAATGATATTATTACTAGAGAGAATCACTTTATTATCATAAAAGGGTGCTGCCCAATTACATTGGGTTGCTTTAAACACAGATTTAACATAATACAGATTTAAAATTAATATTAATGTTATATTCAAGACTTTTATTCTAATAAACAAGATTAGGTACTTATTTAATAGCAGGTAGCATCAAAACCTCCCTTCTTATCTAATCTCATATCATATAATCTCCCTCATCTCATCTAACCTAAGTTATTACCTTGTGTACTTTTTGTTTCTTGTGTTAGCTGTGAGTTAGTGTTATTTAATTATGGATGTTGTCACATTGTGGGAATTTCTGTCTTCAGAAGAAGAGGCTATAAAATATTTTCAAGACGCCGGGATATTTGCAAAAGGTCAAATATTGTGATGAAGGTCATCGAATGAAGTTCGACGGGAAGGAGTCAAATGAAGATACTTTCGTAGTTGTAGCAAAACCGTTTCTATAAGGAAAGGAATGTGGTTAGTGGGGTCGAGGATTTATTTTTTAACGACTTTAAAATTCATTTATGGGTGGTCCCATAATTTAACAACAATACAGGGCGGGGTGGGGCAAAGAGCAGCTGAAACACTCGTTACTATTTTCTGTGTAAATTTCTTTACTTCATGTATCGTCACATTTCTAATGTTTTTTGACTAGGGCAGTTTTTGATACAAGTCATGATTATAGCTTTTATCCTAGAACTATCGAGACATGGAACAAATTTTTAAGAGAAGTTTGTGTCCATGACACATCCCTTCCTTGCTATTTTAAATACCATAAAACTATTTTCCCTATCAAAATAAATCAAGTTAAAATAAAATTTTTCATATTTTGTTTATATCGGTTGTTTATAGTGTTTCTTTTATATGTACATATGCTGTTTAAGTGGTTTTTTATTATTTCATCTATTTTTTGCCTATTTTTATTATTTCATTTATTTTGATATATATGTTGCAATGTTTTCATAATGTTTTTTAATTATATATTTATAATGTTTTGGTATATTTTAATATATATGTTGTAAAATAAAAGTATTTTTTTATTATTACATTTGTTTTTGTTCACAATTTCAATAATATCAATACAATACAATAAATATGAATACGAAGATATAATAATATGAATATAATACAATAAATATGCTTATCAGTGTTAAGGTTATAAACATTGGCAGATAGCAGTCGGACGCTACCCACTATTAAATAAGTACCCAAGATTATATGTGATGGATATTTTTTCAAAAACCATAACATTGTTATATGAATTCTACAACTACTATTTCGCTGGTACTGCCCAACACAGAGACTGCTGGCAAGTGAGCACTGCTTTAGTGGAATTGTTGGCATTGCTCGGCAGTGTAGCTGTTGACAGTACGACAGTTTTAGATTATGTTATATCGGAAAAGAATTTTGATAATAACAAGTCAAGTTGCTACATTTCATTTCCATTATTTTTCATTAAGTCAAACGAAATTACATTAAAATCATTTAATATAAATAAATGACATTTATAAGTGAAATAATTGTACTGACAATAAGCAATAAATTTAATATCAGATATACACCATCAATTCTTAACATAATATAACCCTATTAATATTTCGCCATATTCTTTTTATCATGAGAATGATATTTTCCATTCAAAATATAACAAGAAACCATCACATTTTGGAAGGTGGGCATTAATATGTAGCAGATAATGGTTAACATTTTATATTACAAACATAACCTAATCTCATTATTCAATTTTGAATACTAATTAAAAAAAATAAGTTTTTATTAAATAAGATCAAAACTGATCCAAGGTTATACAATGCTACTTAATGACTAAAGTTAATTTTTTTTCCCGTTATTTTTTGTTAAACTGTAGACGTAAGATGTGCTATCTCTGGTCTGCATTTGTGCAATCTATTCTTTCTTTTAATTAATTTTTTTTAATGGGGTGGCGGTCATAAATAGACTAAAATAATGGCAAAACTGTTTTATTTCAAGCCAACGTTTCGACCTGACTTTGCAGATCATCTTCAGGGAGATGTGCTCGGCAAGGAGTTTTAGTTAAAACTGAGCGTGAGTGTGAAGTATGAATTTTAACTAAAACTCTTGGCTGAACACACCTCCCAGAAAAAGATCTGCAAAGTAGGGTCGAAACGTTGGCTTGAAATAAAATAGTTTTGCCACTATTTTAGTCTATTTATGACAGCCACCCCAGACCATCTACTTCCTCTAATATACACAACGGTCAACTATTAAGTATTCAATAATCTTTTTTTAGTCTTTATGATGCCTCAATTGGTAAACATTCACCAATAAAATTTGAGAGACTTAATTTTTCTATTTTCTTCTCTTTATCATTAATTAAATAAATATTTATTTACTAATTGCTCCATTTACTTAAAACTAAGATTAAAAAAACAACAGAAACTTACGCAATAGCGTCTATCATATCCAGACCCATTTCAACACAGCATTTTGCATGATCTGACCTAGGATCTGGCAGGCCCGAAACACAATAATAACAATCGCCCAGAATCTTTATCCTCAAACAGTGATTATCCTATCGGAGAAAAAAAAAGAAAAAAGAAAAATCAATACTTTCATAACTAAATAATTTAAGACAATATTCAAAAATAAATACTTCAACTCATTAAAAAAATGTTTGGTGTGGTGTATCACACACTTTCCCTGTTATTTCAGCAAACAAGTTATAACATCAAAGGAATATCCCTATCGTAAATATATAATTCTCATTGGTTTCAGTGTACTTTGACATATCAGATTTTTATGATTGCATAACTTTCCTTTACTATACAGCGTGTTTCAGGGTTAAGTGGCCAAACTCCAAAAATGAACTAAGGACCTCAAAACAAGAAAAAAATTCCTCTGAAGGTATGTCCGCAAACGCTTTGTTTTGGATATATTCACACCTAAAGATTTTTGTTGTTATAAATTATTTACGTTATATGAAATAAAAGAAACATATTTATTTGTTCTAACTACTTTATTAATTAAATGTAAACATTAACATTCATATTAATTGTTGTTGTAAGTGATTTTCTTGAGTATTAAGACTTTATATATACTCAATATATACTTATAGAATTATATTTCTTCAACAGCAGCAGTGGCAGAACAGCACTGAATGTGTTATTGTTTCACAAGATTCAATAATCCTTCTTCATAAGGAATTAAGTTCATTGACCGGACTTGCTCAATCATATTCCATATCCTAATCAATGGATTGGCTGTGCAGGACCAGTGGCTTGGCCTGCACACTGTCCAGACCTGACACCACAGGATTTTTATGTTTAGGGTGACATAAAACAAAAAGTCTATGCAAGTCCGTTCAACATCCTTAAATCCTTACGAAGAAAGATAATTGAATCTTGTGAAACAATAACACATATTCAGTGCCGTTCTGCCACTGCTGCTGCTGAAGAAAGATGTCGAGCATGTCTTAATGCTTAACGAAATCACTTCGAACAACATTTAATACGAATGTTAATGTTTACATTTAATTAATAAATTAGTTAGAAGAAATAAATAGGTTTTATTTATTTCATTTAACATAAATAATTGATAACAAAGAAAATCTTTAGTTGTGAATATCTCTAAAACAAAGCGTTTGCGGACATACCTTCAGAGGCAATTTTTTTTCTTGTTTTGAGGTCCTTAGTTCATTTTTGTAATTTGGCCACTTAACCCTAGAACACGCTGTATAATAGATGGTTGAGTGAAAATAAAAATTATAAATAATCATTTGATAAAAAATGTATGTACAAAAAAATATGTACGTTAAAAAAATCAGAATAAATTCTTTGATTACTATGAACAACTTACATTGGCTAACTGATCAAACCTTCCGAACAATTCATTTAAGAGGCGAACTAGCTCTTGTGCGGTGCACTGAGAAGCGAGGACAGTGAATCCGACGATGTCAGCAAACAGGATACTGCAAATAAATAAATAATAATTATAATTCTGAAATAAAAATAAAATTATTTATAAAAAAGTTAGTCGGGGGTGCGATCAGTATATAAAATACTATATTACATAATAGTATTTTTTATTGAATTACCCGAAGTTTCGACCTACGTTGTAGGTCTTCTTCAGGGTGTTCCATTAGGCACTGTCGGAAGCAGTATGGAGGCCTACAACTTAGATCGAAATGTTGGATAATTCAATAAAAAAAAAAAATTGAAAACTTCACTTAACAAATGAATCAAACTACTTTACTCTCTTTTTTTCTAAATATTCAAAACTAAAACTAAAACAGAAACTGAATACATATACATACTTACCTAAGCCTCTATGGACGTACTCATCACAAATATACGGCATCGCTAAAAAAACCCACCTACAAAAACTTCAAACGTTCCAATCAAAATTATTGCGACTCATAACAAAAGCACCTTGGTACGTGACTAACAAAACTCTACATACTGACCTCCACCTTCCAACAGCTGACCAACATATAACGACCCTTTATCAACGATTTTACACAAATTTAAATGGACATAATAACAGACTAATAAGAGACATGGCCACAACTGACATACCCCAGAACATGAGGAGGAGACTAAAAAGGCGTTGGATGGGAGATCTCCTTCCTTAAACAACCTAAGTAATTGGAACAAGTTAGGGAAGAGGTACTGCTGAGTACTTTCCTTCCCCATGCCTGTCATGTCATTGTTTCATGTATCGCCATCACATTTGCTGATTGTCAACAATAAGTTGACAGGCGCAAACACATCTTTTATAGACAAAAACAATTTTTTATTAGATTGTAATTTTTAAAAACTTAACCTTTTTATTTCTACAATAACTTTAGCAGTATGAATAAAAAAGATATTCGGGTATCCTAATGAAACGGATTCAATTTTCATATTGTACTTTTTATTTACATTAAAATGACAATTTATAAAAATTAAGTGAATAACAAATGGAAGTGACATTACAAAAACAAATGCAATAAAAATGATAGATGAAAAGTTAGAAATTAGAATTATGAATTTAAAAATGAATAAATGTTGAATCTGAAACGCCAAAAATAAAATAATAGAAGTATGACTTTTATGATTTTAAAAATTCTCATCATAAATAAATATAATTGTTTTTTAAAAATCTATTTATTGAATAATAATACAATCAGCCACTGCTGGAGGGCTATAAGCATTAGGGCTAAAAGTTCTCATTCATACAATATATACAAATAATAAAGAAATAAATATATATATAAGAAGTAAATAAATAATACTGATGAAGAAGGTAAATAAAAATAAAAAATAAAAATAAACAAATAAAATAAAATAAAAACTTCTGAACACAATCATAACTATATACAATATATACATTTGCCCAAGAATTTCCGAGCCAGGCTTTTCCCTCCACACGCGGAAGGCAAAGCAAGACTCCGGAAGATCCCAATGCCACTTTTCTAGCCGCATTACTAGTATTAGAAGCCAGTGGAGACTGAAAGAGGGCACTACAGCCACACACGCTCAGGACATGAGTGGAGAAGCTGGCCATTGCCAGGACTCCAAAGGCATATTTACAAAAGATCTCGAGGCCACTGCCGTTTCAACCTTCGAGGGGGATGGTATGGATGCTCGGAGCTGGATAGGGATTGCGCTAGAGGATTGGGATGATGAATGAGGTTCTGGTGAAAGTTGGAGAATCTGGATGGGATGATGTCATGGACATATGGGATGTTAAGGTCATGGTGTAGGGTCTTGTTCGTGACATAATATGGAGCATTGACTATTGTTCGAAGGACTTTGGACTGGAAGGATTGGATGCGTAAATATAAAATAAAACTATAATATATCTTCAAAAAATAAAAAATAAGGAAAATATTAAATAAGTATTAGATACAACAATGATATACCTGACATTTTCGTGCCTTTGAATATATATCTTGTGGAACTGCCCCTCGACGGGTGACTTGATATCGTCTTTCATTTCCATTGCGACGTGCTGAGGCAGCACGGACAGTAGCAGTCTCTCCTGAGATCAAATAAATTTTTCAATATTATGTGTAAATATAAAATCAGAATAAAAATGTTAAAAAAGTATTTTATTTAAAATATTATAAATAGAAACCAGATCTTTGCGCAGTAAAAATCCGAAACACATGCAGCAAAAAATCTAAAATATTTAAAATCATGCAGTAAAACCCAAAATATATAAAATTGTGCAACTAACACCTAAAAACATAGAAAATCAACTGTTTTGTTTAATTTATAATATTAATACATCGGAACATAATCAAACCATGTGCGAAGGTTCTGAATTAAAATAATGTGTACTGAGAAAAAAAAATTAAATACAATATTGAAAATAATATTTCAAATTACAATGAACAAACGACAACACATAATGTGATACGATCATGATTAACATAAACCTAGAAGAAGGAGAAATTTAAACAGTGATAAACACTCAAATCTTAACATTGACTCAATCAACTCATCAAGACAAAAGGGTCGCTCACGTTCCTGTGAATCTCAGGGTTTGGGTTTGGGAATCAAACCTGTGCCATAGTGGTCTGAGCAATCGAGTAGTATATGGGACTTATTTGTTTTAATTTATTATTAATTATTTTTATTTTTATCATTTGTTTTTATTATTAAATTCCATAAACGGCATTTGAACTCATGCATAAAATTTTTGCAGACACTTTAACTGGTAACAGAAAATTAATGCTGTCTGCATATTGTTGTTACTGTTAACTGTTAAAATGACGCTGTTGTATGAAACTTGTATTATTGTGAGCTGAAAATCTTTACCAGCTGCCGAAGAAACAAAATGGCACCAATTATGTGCAACATTAACAACTAGAGCCATCAATGGATAAAATCAGGGTTTCATATTTACACTCCTGACACTAATCTGTTTATTAAAAAAATAAATAAATATGAAGTTAAAACCAGAAATATAGGATGATTTAAAAGCCAGTGAATGGCAACAAACATTCATTCAACTCAACAGATCAGAATGAGAACGATAGATTTGGCAAGTTTCCAAAGTAACCGAGTCCTTAAATCAACTAGATTTGTTTTTACAGGGAATGAATGAAACAGTGGTCATTACTATGAGGTAAACAAATTATTTGCATTTCGGAAGAAATGGAAAAAAAACAGCACTGCCTAAGTGATCATAGAGGATATTTAGATAAGAATTTTAACTTAGCAACTAATAGTTTAGTAATCATTGTTGGACATATGTTTATTACAGTTGCAGTATTCTTATGTCTGTAAACACAACAATAAACAATGTAAGGTACAAGTACCTTTATATTATAAACAAACTGACCAATTTTTCATTTTCATCCTCCAGTTCCAGCCTTGCGGCAATGCAGTTCCTAGTGTCGAGAAATGCCCGCCTCTGTGCATGCTCCATGAGCGAGTGGAGAAGGAGGCCTATCACATTGGCACAGGAGAATATTATCACGTTGGCAGCGACCTGTAACATTAATATTTAAAAAAAATATTAGCCATACTAATTTACATCACATTGATAGTGCAAGTAATAATAACAGAGAGGAATAAAAAATGTATGCTTTATAAGTGCTAATAAAACATTAAAATATACTTCACTGAAAAAATATCTAAAACCACCTATTAGTGTATGTATGGGTGATTCAGTGAAACGTGAATTTAATTTGATTAAATTTTTGATCTTTAGTTTTACATTTAATGCTCAATTAAAAAGTAAATTCACTCCATAAGAAGATTCAGAGACATTCACTTACCAACAATACTACTTTAGTTTAAAATGTCATAATCTGGTTGATATTTAGGTTAAAGCAGTGCTTGAAACACTTAACATTTTTTATAATATTTTTTTTTTATATACATTACATCATGCCATACTGATAAATTACATGTTTATGGTTACAGTAACCTTACATATGACATACTAGTGGTTTGAATGATACTTAGAAAATTGAAATTAATTTTTGACAGTAGGAAAAATCTTATAAAAACATACATAAGATACAATAGAAAACTTTTTTTTTTTTTTATTTCTTTATGACATTTACAACTGTATTACATAAATACATCAAGTAAATTTGGACATTATTGATATAATGACATGAATACACTTGCTGAGTAACTACCCAATGGTAGAACTCTAATGATATGAATACATTAGGAGATCACGGGGCCATCTTCTTTTCAGACGCCTCGGAGGGTTATCAGGAATCGAAGAGGAAGCAAGGTTAGAAACGAGAGGGTTGGGATGATTCTGAAGTTTATTATGGAAGGATAGGTATCTGGATTGGGCCAGATCTGAAATATAAGGAACATTAAGATCTTTATGGATAATTTTATTAGTGACAAAGTAAGGAGCATTGAGGATTTTACGAAGGATTTTGGATTGTAAGGATTGGATGCGAGAGGAATTCGATGGTTTAGTGGAGCCCCATAGCTCAACTCCGTAAGTCCAAATAGGTCTTATTATAGTCAAGTATATGAGTCTTTTGTAATTAAAGGGAAGTTTAGAGCGTTTGTCTAGTAAGTGCTGAAGTAATCGGAAACGTCGAGCGGTTTCTTGTCGTTTGAGTCTAGTATGAGGATTCCAAGTTAGTCGTTTGTCCAGGTGGAGTCCTAGGTATCGGATTTGCTCAACAGGGATAAGTGGAGTATTGTTAAAGGAAACTGTAGGACAGGAAGTCGTTGGTTTACGCAATAGAAAACTAAATATATATATATTTACTCACACACACACACACGTACTTACTCACACAACACACACACACATATATATACATACATACACACACACACATATATACATGCAAATACAATTTGTTAATTGGGGTGATTGAAACACTTAAAAAAAAAAAATCTTTAATCCAAGAATGTTTGAGTTTGAGTGAGATGTTTTCTTTTCCTCAATAGGATGTACGGTCAAGTGATATATAAGCGTAAATAAATTACCGCATACCAAAATATATTCAAATTTCCTTTTTCACTGTTTCGTCAACAATATGAATCTTAAATAAATATGAAGATCAGTCAAATAAGAAGGTAAAAATAAATAATAATATTTATTTTGTCATTTGCCGACGTTTCGACCTGAAGTTCAGGCCTTCATCAGGGCTAAGAAAAGAACCAGATAACAAGGTATGAGAAACATAAGTAGAATAGGTAAAAAAATTAAAGTAAAATGCAGTTGTGACAATAGTAAGAACTAAGAGATAAATAATTTAAGAGATAAATAAATAAATAAAAATTAAAGATAAATAAATAAAAATTAAAGATAAATAAATAAAAATTAAAAATAAATAAATAATTAAACATTAAATTTCTTTATTTATAAATTCTTAAATTATTTATCTCTTAGTTCTTACTATTGTCATTATTCTAACAACTGAATTTTACTTTAATTTTTTTACCTACTCTACTTATGTTTCTCATACCGTGTTACTTATGTTTCTCATACTTTTCTTAGCCCTGAAGAAGGCCTGAACTTCAGGTCGAAACGTCGGCTAATGTCATAACAAATATTATCATTTATTTTTGCCTTCTTATTTTTGATTGATCATCCCAACTATTCTTCTCTTCATTATTCACGACAGTCAACCATTTACCCACAATTAAATAAATATGAAATTATCATTTTATGTAATAAAAAAATAAAATTGATACAGTTAAAAAAAATTATTTATTTTTAATGAAAATATATCTTAGTTCGAAACAAGCTGAGCTGTTGATATTACCAATTTCTTTTTAAATATGTGACTAATGAATTTTAATTTGTTTGAAAATTTAATTTGTAGCAGTAAGGCACTGAAATTACTTACTTGCAAAACTTTATTTTAAAGAAATATATTGTTTGCACTAAAATTAAATTATTTAAAATAATTAAATGTTTAAACTTAAGAAGACTACACATATTCTCATATAAATGCATTTTTGTTGTATAAAAATGGTGATCAACTATTACTGTAATAGTTAATGGACAGAGGAATGCTTTTCTTAAGCCTTAAAATTTAGTTAACTGAATAATTAATGCTTGAATAGAGATATAAAGGCGTTTATTGTTTTGTATTTTCGTGATGAAAATTATATTTCTCAGCCTTAATATAAATTAATTACTGAAGTAGCAATAATCACAAATTGAACTTTTCTGATCTCAAGATCGTTCAGTATACGAGCGTTCATTTTTTTACCACCAAACATAAGCTTCTTTGTGTTTGATATTTTAATTATAATATACTAGTTGGCCCCTGCGAAAAATTCGCAGAAAATTTTCTTTAGTGAAGAAATAGCAAAACAATATAGTCTGTGGGCCAGACCCCCTTACCGTGCACCCCCCACATCCCTATAAATTGCATATCGTTGTGTTCCTTGTGACAATTTATTAAAAAAAAGCCAATGTTCCCACAAAAAAAAGTGAACGAACTGCCCCAAAATGGCGTCCAAACATGGCGGATTGACGACTTTGACTTTACTTAGTTTTTTTGTTACTGAGAATCAGCATTTGGCTTAATTTCATTATAGTTGGTCTTTTATTAAAGCTGGATAGTCATAGAATAATAAACCATGAAAAAATATTAAAAACTAATTGTCTTAGGCATTAAAAAAAATCGGTAAAGTCATTTTTGTTTACAAAAAAATTGTTTACAAAAGTTGGAAATCAAGCGTCGTTTGTAATCAAACGGTCAACAATAATGCAAAACGTACTGAAATAAAACATCTGGAGAATACATTTCTCTTTCTAAAACACTGATTACTTTTTAAAGTATTTGAAGTAGTTCCGTAGAAAATGTACATAAGCGGCAGAAAAGCGCTACTGGCGTAGGTGCCTTCAGGCCTCTACCACACCACTCAGTACACATAAATGGCTTAGTTATAGTGCTATAATAACGTTTTTGTTATATTATATTGATTGTATTAACGAACAAATATTAATAAAATAATTTATTTGTCAAACAAAAAATATTTTTTAAATTTATTATTATTTTTTTAATTTATTATTATTTATTATTTTAAATTTAACTTCCTTTATTCTATACAGAGGTCGCATAAGAAGGCCTCTATTATAAAAATTATATAATTATAATAATACAACTTAATTCAAAAATACTTTGCAGAATATCTTTAATTTTTTATTTAATATTTGCAATTTAACATTTTGTTTTATATATATATATATATATTGATTCTTAGAGGTAATTTAAATTGTATATACTTCCCCGGAAATGAGTCATATTAATATCTGCTTTATAAACTAAAATAATATATACCTAATCTGAACTACTTTTAATGAATAGGGGATGGATTGTTTAGTAAAATTCAGATATCGCTATAAAAAAATCATTTTTATTTCCTTAATTTTATTCGGAAGTTGGACCATATCATAAAAAATATGAACTTTTAATATTAAATGGATTATTCCCTCTGCACAAAATAAGGATGGAAAGGGCGAAGCTATAAGTTCTTCTAGGTAGCTGGAACTGATTGTTAGTATTTGGTCTCAAAATGAGGAAAAACGCGAAATTGAACCCAAACATTGGAAAAAATACATTAAGCGAACGACAAAGGAAGTGCCAAAATTTGGGAAAAAGAAAACAAGGATCAGTATCTGTTATATGGATAAACGAATATATAGTAGACAAATCAACAGAATATTTCAATATGCTGCTAAAAGGGGGTCAAAATGCTTGATCAGTTTGGATGATATTAAGCAGGTTTATTATGGTGAAGACCATTTCATCAGCAAGAAAGATTTGTTCTAAGCAATTGGCAAGTCAGCTGGTCTGGACGAAGTTACCCGAAATGCTGTGCGTACAAAGGCTACAAATGTATTAAAGGAAAATTATATGAAAGGACTGTAGTTTTGTCTCTTTACAGGAAATGAGATACTAGGAAATGTTATTCGAGATTCCGTACTGTTTATAGTACCAAAGAAAGTCTACTCAAGAATCGTAGAAGTTAAAATAAGAAATATTGTCGATTGTCTGAGCGATATGGATTGAGAAACTCAAGTAGCACATTGGAACATAAGTTGCATATTGGGACTTCACTTTAAGGTAGGTCATAGAGAAGTCCACAGAGAAAGAAAAATGGTTCTCTATCTGCTTAGTGCCTCACACTTTGGATTGATCTAATATCTACTAATCTTTCACAAAAGCTCGCTTTCCTTTCAGATTCCTTCAAAAATCTTTAGGAATTGCACTAAACAGGAGGAGAGCTATTTTCCTTTCTCGGTAGACCTCTCTATAACCTGCTTCAAAGTTTAAGATAGCCCCAACGTGCAACTTCAATAGCAATCTAAAATAAAGTGGTTTTCATTATTATAAACCTCGTTTACTTCCTCCAGACCTGCTTGCCAATTGCTTAGAAGAAATCTTTCTTGCTGATGAAATGGCTTCACCATAATAAGCCTGCTTAATATCATCCAAACTGATCAAGAATTTTGATCCCCTTTTAGCAGCATATTGAAATATTCTG